GATGTCCGAATGACGGAAAACATTCACTCAAAATGCTTTATGTGTCTGCGGAGAATCAAGAAGAAGCGCGGCTTCATTGAAATGCGTATGAGAAATCTTCAGGGTGGTTCCACAGGTCGCGTGGACAATACTTTGCTTGAATATTAATCGACTCTTTTTTTTACATCATAATTTCTACTTTATTTATATATATATATAAACTTCTCTATTCTAACATACTCAAAAGATTCAGTATACTGTAGAAAAAGATACAAATATTAAATTTTTAAAAATTAAATTAAAAATATTTTATCATAAAAAAATTTCTATATCTAAACTAATAATAAATTAATACAATAAATTTAATTAATTATCAACGATAAGAATAATAATAATATAGAAATTACTAACGGTTTAAGACAAGTATTTTAAAATAATATAAATTTCATTCTAAATTCCACTCATTCCGTTGGTAATTAACACAATTTAAATTCACCGAATATCTTTCTCTTTATTACATATATATTTTTTATTTTTAGAATTCCGAAGGTTGTAAAATTATATATATTTTTTTTTGTTTCTTAAATAAAAATTTAAATTTCGAGACGTGAGAAAAAGTCTCACGAGACAATGTTTGTGTTGAATGTCTATGAAGATTAAGAATATAAAAGTATTGCAGTACTAGTTCATAAAAAGAATGACTAGACAAAATATCCACATGTGAGTCTGCATATAATTAGGGGATTTATATTTAACAATTGAATTTCGTTAGTCACACTTCATTTTTAAAACTTATTATGTTTATCCAAAAAGAATATACAACAAATACTATTTTGATAAACTCATATATAGTTTGAAAATTTCGATTTAATTCTCTATTTAGTATCACAATATCCTTTTTTTCTATATAGAAAAAAAGACTTTTTTTTCTTAATTAATTGTTTTTTTTTTTTGAAAAAGAAATTCCTCTTTTTTTCCAAACGTGACAAAAACGGAACAAAAATACTTTTACACTACATTTTTCCAGGTGAAAACTTGTTAGAGAGAAACTGTCGTGATACATGCGAGGATGAAATCAAAGAAGCATGCGAAAACCGGATGCGCAGGTGAAGTCCCCAAAGGCTCATGGGGTTACTTTATATTAGCATATGTAACAATAAGTTCTTTCAATATTTTTGCGACCAACCAGAAGCGACATGCAAAACATACATATGTCTATACATAATCCATTTTACTTTATTGCTTCTCATTTATTTAAAAAAAAAATCTTTTTTTTAATTTTACCAAAAAAAAAGTTTTGTTTTCTAAAATTAGAAAAAAGTATATGATCGTAAAAAGAACCACTTAAAATATTTAAAAAACGATCTTTATACTCATTAATATCCTATTAGTAATTTTATCATTCCCATATATACCATTAGGAATTTAATTTTCTATAATAAAATTTTTGTAAACAAAATAATAAATTTTCACTTCCGTTTAATAATATTTAAAAGTATATAAATATATTTCGCAAAAAAAATAAAAAAAAAAAATGGAAAATATTATTAGCCTTCATAAACCTGATTTTTAAAAAGAAGCACGATCAAAATCTTGGTCCAATTCCAGCAGAAAGTGTATAAATTATTTTCATATATATATATCCTCGTTTGCACTACCGTTTGCGATATCTTTTATATATATATAGTGTAGCACATATATATATATATATGATGACCGAATCAACTTTCAGTAGAAAGTCCATCGGCTTTGGTGGACAGAAATGAGAATAAGGAAATGAAAATATCAGTCTCGTTCTCCGTGGAATCGCCCCATTACTTGATTTCAGATTCTCGTGAAATCGCTATAAAAGCACATAGCAAACATTTCGCATCAACTCGAAAACATTTTATACTACATAACCTATAAAATACACCAGTCACGTATAGAGCAAGCCACGTGCGCGCCCCAAGTGCGTTTATATATATATATATACCAACAGAAAGAAAATAACAGAAAGAAAGAAAGAAAAGAAAGATCCTTAACGTGCTCGCATTATTTCAAAATTCATACGACGAACATCGCTTCGTTCAAACCAACAGGCAATCGATTCAGTTAGAGCCGACATTTTTTACCAAAACCCTCCACCCCGCTCTTTCTCTTTCTCTCTCACCATAACAACGAATCCTTTACGCTCTTTGTCTCTTCAACTCTCCTCGGCATTGCTTACTTGTTTGATACGCTTTTTATCGGTCCTTGAAGAGAAGCTGAAGACGGATCCGGAATTGAAAAGGGAATAATAAGGAATATAAAAATATTCCCTATTTTTTTGTTACCTCTTTTTGATTTATGGTTTGTAATATACTAGAATTTTTACAGAGGGTCTTATTGTGAAATTATAGTTTAAACTAAAACATTCCCAACATTGGAGAAATAATTTTTGATTTAGAAAATTTTAAATGGTTTTTTAAGATGTAAGATGGTTACAGAAGATGATTTAAAAGTTCCAATGTACTTTAATTTTTTGCAGTGAAGAAAGAGGATTTATGAAAATAATATTAAAATTTGAAAGGACGTTAAATGATATGTTCGTTAAGAAAGCAAATGCTATGTATACGCAGAATGATGGCAAGCAATAATAAATGATAAAAATGACGAGAAGGGTTGCCAACTGAGAAAGAGAGATGATGAGTTAAGAGAGTCAGTTAAGATGGAGGAATAGATAATGATGCTCATAATGTATGCGTGAATGTGTACTCTCTGTAAAAGATCAAGATGTAGAATCATATTTTTATAAATATATACATATGTACATCCACCGCAATGGCGTCGAATCATGCTGAACCCTCGACTATATATATATATATATTATGTCTTTTCTAGTTTTCAAAAAAACCCTTGCCTTTCGCACACCAATTTTTTCGCCATTACTGATTCTTGGTTTTTTAAAATTGTCTTTTCTAGTTTTCAAAAAAACCCTTGCCTTTCGCACACCAATTTTTTTTGCCATTACTGACTCTTGGTTTTTCAAAATTGTCTTTTCTAGTTTTCAAAAAAACCCTTGCTTTTCGCACACCAATTTTTTTACCATTACTGACTCTTGGTTCTTCAAAATTGTCTTTTCTAGTTTTCAAAAAAACCCTTGCTTTTCGCCCTGAAACCAATTTTTACGCCATTCATAACATTTATTGGGTTCCATTTTGAATATTGTATTTTAAACTTTATTTACCAAAAAAAAAACCCTTCAGATCTTATCTTATAATTTAATCAAGACGCGATTTTTCCCCCCATTTTGATCCCCATCGTGAAATCTATTCCTAAAGCACTGAAGCGTATATACTTTTGCTCGAAACCTATGCAAACACTAAAAGAGAAAAATATTTGCACAGGATAATTCAGGGCCTCATTATCAGGAGCAAGAAGCTACAGGGGCCAAAACTATATGACGGTTGTCCAGGTGGTGCAGGTAGTAGCGTGTACAAGAAAAAGAAGCACGTTTTTAATATATATATATATATATATATATATATATATATATATATATATGTTAGCGAAGAGAAGAAGAGAGCGCAAACTTAACGCAACTTGGAAGAGCCAAAAAGGGGGGTATTCGAGAGATTGATTCGACATGCATAAATTAGAGAGGATAAGCCTTTATTCCGCGTTATGCGTCGGGATTGGGATTGGAATTGGGATGCACATGAGATGCGAGTATAAATTGATGACTGTTGGCAAAAGCCAGGGGTCTATAATAATTAATCTTCGCGTATGTCTGTATATTCACTATATATATATATACACATACTCTATATGGCATCTGCGCAATTTTTGTCGGGGGCGATAAAAAAAACACAAAAAAAATTTCGAAAAAAATTACCTAAAAAACAAATTGTCTTTATTTAAAATTCGACAAAAAATACTAGAAATAGAATTGAAATATTTTTAGAAAATATTACTTAAGGAAAAAAAGTAGTATTTTTACGAATAAATTGTATTCAATTTACAAATGGCAGTAACCTCATTAATTGGAAAAGTGAACAAGACGGATCTGTGCGTATATGTTGAAGAAGGTCATTATCATTAATAATAGTTGTCTATACTAACATGTTGCTAAATACTTAACAGATTCTAATCATATATATATATATAGTGAATGGTCCTTTTTGATAATTATGCCAGAGGGAGATGAGGGGTGTTTACCCTAAAAGAGGAATTCTTTTTCATAAAATTTTTATATATTGAGGACGTAGAAAGCAATCACGACAGTGGATCGGTATTTCTGTTTTTATGAATCAAAGAACGCGAGTCACTGAGGCGAACCAACATCGATCACTATATATACACCATAACCAGTCAAGGATGTCAATATAACGAAGTCAGGGTGGTTCGTTAGCCACAGATCAATTACTTTCGAAAAAAAAAAAAAATTTTTATCCATAAATTATACAAAAATAATAATTTTTCTCTTTTACAAAAAAACCCATCTTAAATTTCCCATTACAAAAAAAAATCCAACCCTCTACTTTATCGAAACAAAAACACAAACTACTTTTGATAACATATATTATATATCGTTTGACAAGAAAAATTTATCGTGGATACATTTTTCATTACCGAAATCGAGGATAAATATCTTTTTGAAATCGGAGACGTAGTCTCTCTCTCTCTCTCATGTTTTTTTTTTGTTTTGTTTTCTTATTTCAATCCTTTTGGTTCTCTCACTTAAAGTCAACGACTTACGCCTACGGCCGATCACGAAGCTGGGATGTATCGTATGTTAGAGGATTATCGATAGCATGTCGGTGGGAAGGAATCAAGAAATATGAAACGAGAAAATCTCGAACCTTGAAGAAATTGAAAAATAAAAAAGAAAAGGAAATAAAATAACTATCTTTTATCGTAAAAGTTTCTATAGCTAGAGAATAATTGGAGAATTAGAAAAAAAATTGATATTTTTTTCAAATGAAAAAGAAAGTTTAACGAAACATAACCTCAAAACTATATTAATTTGATACTAATAATTTCTTTTTTTTTCTTTGCAGAAGACGAAGTAGAGGTGAAGAGGACTCGGGTGGTGTAGCAGAGGAGGATCAAGCTGGTTACGGAACAGTGGCGGTATCACGTGAGCCTGAGGACGAGGAAAATTTAGGAGCAGAAGAAGCTGCGGCACAGTCCCTGCAAAACGCGACCGGGGTCCAGGGTGCGGCCGAACCCGGCGACCCGGAAGTCCACAAAAGGGTCGCGGCCGTGCAGGTACAGGTGCAGGGTATGGAGGGCGATTGGCGGGCCTACTGCGAGCATCCGCTATCGGTCGCTACCGCAGCAATGCTTAATCTTCAACAACAACATCAGGTGACGGCAGTTTCCGGTCATAATGATGATCCGGCCGCCTCCTATGTCTATGAATACTACAAACTTCCCGAGAAGGCAACCGAAGTTAAACTACCACCCACTCATGAATTATGGTCCACGTAAGTGTTTTTTTTCCTATTTCTTTAGATGATATATTTTTTTTGTCTTTTCTAGTTTTCAATAAAACCCTTGCCTTTCGCACACCAATTTTTTTTTTGCCATTACTGACTCTTGGTTCTTCGAAATTGTCTTTTCTAGTTTTCAAAAAAACCCTTGCCTTTCGCACACCAATTTTTTTTTGCCATTACTGACTCTTGGTTCTTCAAAATTGTCTTTTCTAGTTTTCAAAAAAACCCTTGCCTTTCGCACACCAATTTTTTTGCCATTACTGACTCTTGGTTCTTCAAAATTGTCTTTTCTAGTTTTCAAAAAAACCCTTGCCTTTCGCACACCAATGTTTTCGCCATTCTCCTTGCACTGAAAAAAAATTTCTTCATTAGTACTATTATTTTTTTATACAAAAAAAAGAATTTGATTTAATTTTTTTTTTTCTTCTGAAATCCGTCTTTTTTTCGCAATCGACGGTGAAAGCAAGATTCTAAAGTGATAAGAGGTGGACCAATTTGAAATGATAAATCGCGTCTCGAAGCAGTGATGTTATTTTTTTCCCTGCATGGATACACTTAGTTTTCGCAACCGAGACTCTTTTTTTTTTAATTTTCTTTGTATTCAACCTCCTTTTATTGTCTCACAGCATATGCATTTTGCCGCACATATATACATATATGTATAATCAAGTTGAGCGCCTACGTATCTTTAAGTACTTACGTGTATCTCGTTTTTAATATATAGCTCACGGTGCAAATCGCGTTATATCCTACGCGTAATTTGCGCACAGCTATATGAAATTTAGTATATCTTGCAGATATATTTATATACAGATATAATGTACCTCAAGCAGAGGTCGACCGAGTTTATAAATCGTCCTTTAAAAAGCAAGATACTTCAAGTCATATGAAATTTTATACGCCTTCGATGTATATATGGTCAGTGAACGACTTAAATTCTTGTGAAATCTACCAAATAAACTGTGTGCGATCTTTCTTTCTTTCTCTCTTTCTCATAAGTTGTAAAATTACATTGGTTATAGGACTTTATAACAAAAACGATTTTCTGGTCGCGCCACGTTTCGAAATAATGTTTATCACAAACTCTAATAAAGCTTCAAGAGATTCCAAGCAGACAATTTACAAATTGCATATTTATATATAAAGTTGCAATGAAATACATAAATTCAATGGGAAACAAATTTCAATTTGTTGCAAGTTTTGTAGTCTTCTTTTACGATTTCTTATAATACTAAATTTTCACATTTTTTTCAAGGTTTTAAATTTATATGGAAAAATTATTCAAAAAGGATAAGGATTTTTTGTTTTTAAATTTCGAGCAATTTTCTTTTTTTTAAATTAGTTTAAAGGCGCAAGAAATTGTAATAATACAAAAGGGGAAAATTTAAGAAGTTATAACGGATATGCGTGAAGATTTTATAACGACATACTTTATATTCTGCAGTGACGCATATATATATATATGTGTGTGGATATTCACTTCGTCCCTAGAGTGTAGGTGTCATCGGGTTATACTTATCAAAACAGAAATGAGTTTATATACATTTTACAGGAATATTTTCGCATGACGCGCTAAATATGGCAAAAAGCAATACGTATACGTAAGGGGAATTCCTGCTTGTCGGTAAATTAGCAATTAACAACCTTTTCGTATAGCAAACACACCAGCAAAAAGCACGATTAAGAACTCTGACAAACGCAGCAGTCTTGGAATTTGTTTTTTTAACATAAGATTCCTTCTCACTTATGTTTATTCAGAATATTGTCCCCAGCAGGAATTAGTACTGTATTAAGAATTTAATTCGACTCTTTATATATCCAAATTGCAATTGATTTCTTTTTCCCTTCGTAAATTTTCATTTAATTAACTTCATTATTATCTTTTATTTTTTTTTCCACAAAGTCCCGGAATTAGTAATTATATATATATAACATCGTGTCATTAATAATGAAAAAAAAAAGATGACGATTGTAAATAATTGTATATAAATGACAAATGTTCAATTAGATTTTAAATTCTCATATATATGTTCATTAAGATATAAAAATAAAGAGAAGACACAAATAAGCCATAAAAAAAAATAAAAATAGCTGATTAGCCAAGTCTATTAATGTCCCGACAAGCAGGAAATCGAATTCTAATAATAATAATCAAATAAAACGAAGAATTGAACCGGAATGTCTATATCGATTATCATTAATTGTTGACAAATATAATTTATCTATGTTACTTCCTGAATATAATTTTAGAATTTTCAAATGAAAAATTGGAAAAAGATGCGAATTATAAATAAAATTTTATTTATTTTGCAAATTGCTCTTTAATGAGCTAATTTCTATGTGAATTTGATACGCGTCGCGCGAAGAAGCTTCTGATGGTGAGAAAGTATGATATCTTATTTTTTTTTTTTTTTCAAGTCTCGAAAGGAGGCAATCGATTTCTTTAAGTCCCATGGCTGTCATATTCGAAGGGCGCAGTTGCTGCGCACCGTTAATTAATTTCCACGCACTGTAAATGCGATACATAACATGGAGTCCATATAATGCAATCGAGATTCTTGGGAATAAAATAAAATTATTCACTCGTGTGGTATGGAATTGACTCGCGCGTTATCATTTCACTCTCCCAAGAAGAGAGAGAGGGGGGGGGGGGGAAATTAATGACCAGCCCTGACACATTGTCGATGGCAAATTGTTCAATGTCTCATCGTGATAATCTTAAAAACTATTTTTATTACCTTTTTAAATATCTTGCATGCTAATCCATTTAAATTAGTAAATTATAATTTCCACTATGAAGAATATAAATTTTTGGGTATATAATTTTTACTTAAGAATTATCGTCATTGATCTATTTATATTTTGAAGTGTGGTGTCTTTCGGTCCATTTGCTTCGTTTGCAAACTGCCATGGGTTTTTTTTGGGGCTCTTTTCCGCGATGAAGAAAGATGAAAGAACCCTTAAAGTTGCCTGTAAATCGCGAGGGGAGGCAAAAACCCTCTGTTACCATATGACTATAGTCACCCTTCGCGATACCACTTTTTGATTTATATCGGTCGCTTAGCATATCTCGTAATTTACTGTTGAGAATCCTCAACGTACAGATTTGAAAGAGGAGAGAAAAAAATCACCTTGCCATTGCTTCTGTTACCGATACCAAGGAGGTAGGCCGTGGGGACGTGCTACCGTAATCTTCGCGTCAATCTCTCTCTCTCTCTCTCTTTCTCTCTCCTACCAGCAGTAGTTGTATAGATAGCATCTCGACAATTTGTACGATCGTTAAAACTCCCATCGTTGCGCGGCGTAACCACTGGGGCGGGAAAGGAGTGATTTTAATCCAATTTCATTTCATTGTTTACAACAAAACACTCACATATGTTTGGATGATGTATATCCATTTATATGCGAGTGTTGAAAATTGGATCATCCTCAAATGGATGTCTTGCAGTTTTGAAAAGACAACAAAAAAAACATGGATTTCAATAAATCCGAATAATATGAATTTATTTTTTAATAAAAATAGAATGAAAGAAATTAAAAATAAAATTCTTAACATTTTTTATGTGTGAAGAAAAAGTTGGCTTGGGTACATTGGTTAATGGCAACAATGTCAAGGGAGAGGAAGATCTTTATACGCGATAACTGGGAAACGAAACGCGCGTAATAAGAACGTTGAATCATCAGACTTTTGTTGTTCAAGACGAAGGACATTATCTTTATAATATTATTGTCTTTTCTAGTTTTCAAAAAAACCCTTGCCTTTCGCATACTATTTTTTCGCCATTACTGACTCTTGGTTCCATTTTTAAAATTGTCTCTTCTAGTTTTCAAAGAAACCCTTGCTTCTCGCACTGAAAAAAATGTTTCCTTATTAGTATATACTATATCTAAACTCATCTGATATATTAAATTTTTTAAATTTATTTCTATATTAAAAAATACGCGCAAGTTGGCATTTCCAACCTTATATATATATATTTGCAAACGTGATTTCGCACTCTCAACATTTATATGTATGAAAGTCTCTAGAATTAAGCGTAGACTATAATGTCGTATCATAAAGATAATTTTCTTGAGAGGCTCTCTCTCTGCGTGGTTGCAGTTCTCTTTTATTCCACCTCAGAAGGTCGAGGGTCGTACTGCAGGGGGCATCGCGTCACTATACACACGACATTCTCGACGATGAACATCGTTATAGTCACATCACTTCACCGTCATAAAACACAATACCGCCTCTTATTTTCTCTAATCTTTTGCGCGCGTGAATAATCCTTTGAAATTTTTTTAAAAAATTCAATTTTACAAAATTTTTTCCTATAGATAAATCAGTTAAAAATTAATTTATAAATTATTATTCAAATAAAAAAAAACAGAATGATAAATTTTAAATAGTATTTATTTTTTAAGTCAATTATTATTATAGAATTAACTGAGATATTTACATTTCCGTCGACAAATACGGGTTTTCACGCTCTGTGGATTTATCTGCATATAACATTATATCCTTAATCCTTTTATTTTATTTTCCTTGACGCGCCACTATATAACGGTAAGGTATCGCTTAGAAAAATAAACGCGATGCTTCCCACTGATGATGTCGAGGATTAGCCGTTAAATTGCGCACCTTTCGATTTGACATGGGGGGGAAATTTTTTTTTTTTTTTTTAATTTTTGAAGATGAAAAATTTTTCTTTTTACAATATTTTTAACTTTCTTCAACTCGCACGTATATTCAACATAGATTAGATATGTTTTATATACATTTGTAGAATGTGTAAAAATTATTATACATTATACACGTGAGTATAATATTCAGAGTATGTGTCGAGAGTGCGTAACGAGGACCGTTGGCCCTGGAAATGACCCTCATCGCGTGGGGGGCAAAAAGGGGAATCCGCTTCTTATGTTACTTCCACCCGTGAAACCAGAAGTCACTTCTCGTATAGCTTGGACCGTTGTCACCGACCCAGAGTTATAATAACAATAATAATATTATAATCGTAAATTTAAATAAACGAGAACGTGCGCTCACGCGATACGTGTTAAGCATAAGCAGGCGGCTTTTATGCTATTCTTCTAAGCAAATTTCTGGTTTTTCAAGTCCCATTTCATTTTACGACGTGACACTGGTACTTCAGGGTCAGAGATCACCAGAGTAGCCACGCAGCGCCACTGTTGATCCTTTACTTCCCTTTACAATTTGGCACTTTCACAGAATTTTACATTTTACTTCTTTTACTTGTAATTAAAAAAAAATTTCCTTCAAACTATATAAATAATTTTATAATTGAATTTTTTTTTAATTTTAAAATTATTATTCATTAAAGAAGGAAATCGATTTCAAATAGAGGAAACGAAATCAATTTTACAGAAAAAAAAGAATGGACGTTGATAGATATAAGGCTTAATATTTATGAAGTTTTCCAAAGACTCATTTACTTGCTGATTACTCTTATAATGGGTAAATTAAATGATTAGTCTGACATCACGAGTCGAGTGCATGATTGTTTTTTGATATTTATGCAAACGAAAATCGCGTCCTGAGCTCAACTAAATTGCACTCACATTGTCAAAGGAGGCTTTAATATGCATGAGCTAAAGATTGAACGATAGTGATTCTTCGACAGTTATGTGATTGCAGCATACATCATATATATATAGGCGTTCGATTCATTAAGGTTTTCCGCGAGTTATGAATATCACATATTTTACGCTTCAGTGCACCTACAACTATAACTTAACACGAATCAATAATATGTACAAATAGTTTCATTAAGAAAAAGTCATTAACAAAAAAAATTTATTTTTTAGTTTTCTATATGCAAAAATTAATTTTTGTATTATATTCTAACTGATGTTTAGTAATAAATATCTAGTAATAGGAAAAAAATTGCGCGAAGAATTAAAATTGAATACTACTAATATAATTCTGGTACATTATACGACAAAAATTTTTGAATATTGTTTTTTCTAGTTGCCATTGCTGACTCCATTTTGTTTTATTTTTATAATTGTCTTTTCTAGTTTTCAAAGAAACCCTTGCTTCTCGCACACCAAGTTTTTCGCCATTACTGACTTCATTTAGTTCCATTTTGAATATTGTCTTTTCTAGTTTTCAATAAAACCCTTTCTCCTTGCTCTGAAAAAAAGAAATAATTTTTATTAATAAAATTAAAAAGTAGGTACCGCAAAAATTATTTAGAAAACAAAATTTTAGTAATACAAACATCAGCGAGGTGAAATTTTTGAGGCCAAATGTTAGAAAGCATTCCAGTTAGAAAAAAATGGATAGTTATGTTAGGGAGGAATTTAATCGTACATCAGGTGTAATTTTCGTTGAGTAGCACGCGTCATCTTCTTTAGATATATATAAAACACGTCTCGCGGGTCAGTCGCATTCTGGTTCGATTTCCGGTTTGTTGAGTCCCGATTCCGGTTCCCGGTGGCAGGTCGCGTCATGCCCGTGCGAGTTTCTTTAAAGTACAGGTTGCCCGTATGCGGTCTGACCTCGCGTCTTGACCCTACCTTCACAAGTCTTGACTGGTATACCAGGTGTACACTTGTCGTGTCGTCGTCGATATATGCGACACGTCGAGTACCTATATATATATACAAACTCACGTAAGTGCGCCTATATTCATGGCCTTTAACTTGACTAGCGACTATACGAATTAGTTAACTGCAACTGTATATGTATATATATACAAGTACCACCGGTTATGTGGGCTATATGACTCTACGAGCGATAACCTTTTCTCGCACGTCGTTAAAATTTTTATTTCTTCTCTCATTCTTTTTTTTTGTCTTTCCGCAATTTTTTATGCCTTTTACGACCCCGCAAAACCACACAGACTTACATTGTTCCTCGCGACAAAAGAATTTTTGTGCAAACGAAAATTTTCAGAGGCATGTATGTGATAATTTTTTGAAATCATATACATTTTGTCTTAACTCCTCGAAAGAGTATAATTCGAACTTTTTGAGAAGTTTCAACTGCTCAGTGGTAGAAAAAATTACTCCTACGAAATTTAGTATTACATTTCCTGATTATTATGTTGCATTTTATAATGAAATCGAAAAAAAATTAAGTATAGAATACAATTATAATATTTATAGATATTTCTCTGACGTAAAAAGAGCATATGAATGTTAAATATAAATATTTTAGGCACTAGAATAATAGTTGTATTCATAGATGGAAATTCGCACGAAATAATTTAAGAATCGCGGGGATTAGCATTGCATTAATGTGTATACACACTTTACTCTCTCGTTGACGCTATGCACACACGAACGCGTATGGATCAATTTCATTTAAGCCGAATTCATGGGGTTCTGTGTATTGTAGGGATCTTATAGCTTCGGGTTATGACGGTCCTCCAAGAAGCGCGTCCTCTTTTTTCTCCCTATTTTTTTTCACCTCACATATATATATATACATAAGAAGCAGAGAATATATGCGCACGCGGTATGCTTGCGTACAGACAGGGACAAGACGAAAGAGATCAGGTATCAAGTGAAAAAAAAATCCATTGTATGAAAGCATCTGACCGTAGGTAGAGGAACTTGGAGCCAGTGCAAGAAGAGACCTGGGATTCTCTTTTTGCTGTACAAGACAGAGAGAGAGAGAGAGAAAGAGAGAGATAAAAAAATAAAAGAGAGGATCAACTAGGAAAAAGGAAAAGAGCACATATACATATACCAAAAGCGTTGGCAGTTTATAAGGGTTCCTGCTTTGTAGATATGTATTATCATGCTAAATATAACATGTTAACTACTTCACATAATGCGTGCATCGTTCCACTGTCTTCTTACTTTATCACGTTTCAATTTTTTTTTCTCATCCTTGCATTTTTATTTTAATCATTAGTGTCAAAAATTTAAGTGCGACAAAAATAAACGGTTTCATAAGAATGATTTAATTTTAAAATTAAAATCGCAATCGTATTATAAATTCAAGTGGCTTTTATTGAAATTAGTTGTCAGTCGTGTTCTTTTTGGAAAAAAAAAAGAAATTTAATCACAAATACGAGACGCGAAAACTCGAATAAAATGTGATAAGAGTGTCGTAAAACTGCAATAGAACCAGATGCAACTGGAATATATGAGGAACTATAATACATGAACTGGATATACTGTTTTTCTGGTTTTGTGCGATTTTATCATGGTCGAAAATGATAAATCTAGTAGTATGAGACATCGCGACAAGGCATTTATGATGCTACTTAAGTAATAACAGGTTTCGTTTTATATATATATATACATAGTATAATTGTTGTCCACAGGTGAGGAGAGAAAGATGTTTTAGATAAAAGACATTTGTTTTTAGCGCTTTTAAAAATTTATTAAAAGAAAAAAAATTTCTACTATTTTTTTTATAGGAGTGTGATGGGGCCAAAATTATTGGTACAAGAGGCGTCTGGTGCTGGCTCGACAAATCGAATGGAAACCACCGAAAGCGCTGGTGGTGGGGAACTTCATCATTTATTCCATCAGTACAATCAACAATCCCACAGTCCAGGACAAAGTCTTCAGGGTGGTCTTCCACTTCCTTTAAGTCCACAATCGTTACGTCACGATGGTTCGTCAAGTGCTGGTATACAGGGGGTTAAACGTGAACCCGAGGATCTCAGTTCATCACGTGGTGGTCAACAATCCAGTAAACGTCACAAACAATCGCAACCGGACAGTCCGACGCCACCGGGAATGTATCATCATCATCAGCACCAGCTACAGGTAAAATGACTATGTGATACCGGTTTCGCATTATATTGTGAAAAAAAAAAAATTTTTTTATAAGGAAATTAAAAAGACAAGAATTAAATTTCACCCGGTGGGGAGGGTTAAAAGGTCTTTCGGTATGTAGCGGTTTTTTGTATTATTATTATTATTAACCGTTCGAGAGAAACTAATTAGGGAAATTAATTTCTGTTAGCTTCTGCATGACGCAGCGGGCTAATTGGCAGAGATTATTTTTCTTTATTTACTTGCAAATACGACGCTAATTATGGATTTAATATAAGAACCTATTTAATATACATTACAATTGTATATATATATGGGGGGATAAAATATTTTTACTTTAATTTTTCAAAAGCTTGTTATATAGTATAGATATTAATCGAATTGTCGTTAATTTTAATTATTAACTTCCTTATTGATAATTATTTTGAACAATTATTTTTCACTAAAGAAACTTTTCTTTACGATTGATATAATTCGCGGGTTCATTATGCCAGGTTGAAAAAAAATGGAATATTTGTCTTTTCTAGTTTTCAAAAAAACCCTTGCCTTTCGCACACCATTTTTCGCCATTACTGACTCTTGGTTCCATTTTGAAATATTGTCTTTTCTAGTTTTCGAAGAACCCTTTCTCCTTGCTCTGAAAAAAAATAATTTTTAATTATAAATTTAAAAAATAGTTACACCAAAAATGATTTAAAAACAAAATTATCGTAATACAGTGAAATTTTTGTAGCAAAATATTAGAAAGCATTCTAGTTGGAAAAAAATAGACATATATTAAGAAGGAATCAATTTAATTAAGTTAATTTTAATAATTAACTTCCTTATTGATAATAATTTTGAAAAATTATTTAGTTCGCTGTAAGAGAGAAGGTGAAATGTCGCAATTCCTGTTCTTTGGCAAATTGATATTGAACGTTGTGTAATCATTTTTCAATTAATCAAACTCTGATATGTTTGTTCATATACAAATCGCGAGATTAGTATTAAATTAAATTCACTCTAGTGTGTTTAATTTAACCTAACAGATAGTAAAAAAAAATGGGAGTAATAATCAACTTAATGTTACGGGTCAAAAAGGTTTCTAATTGACAGCGTTTTGTAAGAAAATAAGAATCGTTTCTGTTGAATTTAGAAGAACCTATTGAGGTTATGTTAAATTTCGATTTCTTCTTTCAGGTACAGCAATATGGAAGTCCCTACGATCCCTATTCGTCGTGTAGTCCTCGACTACAATCGGCGGGTTATACGTCAGCATCGGCGAATGCAGCGGCAAACGCTGCAAATTCCAGTGGACTTCATCAGGAGGCAACTGTTTATGTGACTAGCGAACAATTACCACCATTGGCCTCGTCGAGTTCCTCATCACTTCCAACAACAACTGCATCATACACGAGGTATGAGGTCGTACCAAGTTCTTATGCAACGACACACGCTATTCGCACCACATCGAGCAGTAGCAAAGTCCTCACTGTCGATCTACCCAGCCCTGATTCGGGAATTGGCGCCGACGCCGTTACACCGAGGCAAGATCATCATCCACCAACGGCACTTCATCAGGTTTGTCTCTACTTTTATCAAATTACTTCGTTAAAATGACGTAAAGTTTGTTTCACACGTATTCAATAACTTAAAGGTTCATTCATACGTCTATCCGTTGCATAAAGGTCGTTTTACAATTGTTGCGGTAACATAAAGGTTTATTCACAAGTCCATCCGTTGCATAAAGGCCGTTTTACAATTTTGCGGTAACATAAAGGTTTATTCACAAGTCTATCCGTTGCATAAAGGCCGTTTTACAATTTTGCGGTAACATAAAGGTTTATTCACAAGTCCATCCGTTGCATAAAGACCGTTTTACAATTTTGCGGTAACATAAAGGTTTATTCACAAGTTTAAAGGCTGTTTTACAATATCAGTATTAAAACGATAAAAAACAACTTATGAAAAACAGTTTTTTTAGTTTGAAAAAAATAAAAATCGAAGTGTATATGATGAACCAATGTGAGAGTTACGATTGCTCATCTTGAGGCGGAAGGCAATTTGTTCAAAACTCGGGTTCCCTGTGGAATGATATTGTAGATGATAATCTACTGGATATTAGTCTTTGTATATCCACACGTATAGCGCTTTACCTTTTTCTCTTTCGATTGCTCATTGAGTAACGTGTCTCGCCTTATCTCTCATGGTATCTCCACAAACGATCGAGATCAATAGTCTTGCGGGAAAATACGTATAGCAACAGCATATATATATATATATATGCTTCTACATTATTATATTTATACCCCTCTCTTTCCCCCTTTTTTCCTGCCAGTAATTCGCGATAACACCAATCGAGCAATAATAATTTTGACGTATTTATTTGTCTCTTTCCTATATAGCTAATCTAATAAAAAAAAAAAAGAATACGAATATTTTAAAACGAGAAATCATTTCATTTTATGGTATTACACTTTCACAAATTTACCAACAGAAAATGGCTTTAATTTGTCTATTTAATTTCAATTATAGTTATTCAAAAGAAAATAAAGATTCCTTGTAATTTAAACAAGAAAATAGTGGGAATCCCCGATAGATGCGTGTAGAATTCTATAATCGATGGCGAAAAAAATCGATTTCTCGATTAAATCCCTTTTTGATTGGTGGAAATTTATAGGCGCGTTTATTCAAATTCCATAGAATTAAAAATAAATAATTCTTATTTTGATCTTTAAAAAAAATTGTTATTTCTTGCAAAATAAATTGTTTACTTTCTGTCTGATTTTATAATCAGAAATAATAAAAATATTGACTGAAAAAATTTCAAAACAACAAAATAGATAAAAAAAAAATTAATTTAATTAAATATTAATATCTAGTTAAAAAACGATAATGAAAAAAAAATTGTTTGTATTAAATATGGATATTCACTTAATCTACAATTATGTAAATTATTTGAATAAAATTTAAATATAAACGTAATTTTTTTTTGTCTCTCTCGCGGATATAATTCTTTGGATTTTAACATTGTAAGTAATTGATTTGAGCTTGTGTGTTTTTTTTTCTCTCTCTTTCTTCTTCGTTTATGTGCGCCAGTGAATAAGAGTTTACACTTTACGACCCCACGGTGTTTAAAGTTTCTCGAGAGTATATAATATAGAAGATGATCGTCGATGGTAGAGTTTAAAACAAGTGGGTGAGTGGGTGGGACAGGGGAGAGAGAGAAAAAAACGGAGGGGGGGGGCTCGCAAAAAAAACGAAGAATAATGGAAGTTTTGCGGTCTCGTAAAATCAACCGCATCTACAAACCGTGCACGCGTATACCTTCATAGTCGTTAATAATAATAAGTGGTTACCTGTGAAATACCGCGTCTTACGTCTTCATATTCGACAAAATATACTTTTCTCAATATACATTGTCGTTAAAAATTAATATATTCGAAGAAAAAAAATTCACTTAATGAAATCATTTTCTGGGGTTGTAAAAACTAAGCATTAAACTGTTTTTTTTTCTCTTTATCGTGATTATTAATAAATATTTTATATCAATTATATTCTCTATATCAATGAATAGGAAGCTGTGTCAAAGAGAGGAAGCATGATTGGCTTTCTAATATTCACGATAACGGCGCGTAATCACCGCCTTAGAAATTTTACTCTGTTATTACTGGTTATAACGTTAATGCATTTAGAATTAAAAAATTTTTTTTCCATCACGTGAATTAATTTCTATTTCGAAAGATCCATTTTATTTTAATTAACTTTATTTAATTATTATGACTATGCATAGGATAGAATTTTTTTTCAAACACTTTTTTAAAGAAAATTATTTTTTTTCTAGTTTACCCAACCCTGCTTTTAATATTACTACAAAAACAATTTTTTTCTTTCAGTCATCGTTTGATTATACGGAACTATGTCCTGGAGGCAGTGCAACCGCAACGACTGTGGTACTCGAGAGTGGAGCCGTCATTCACCATCAACCACTGCAACTACAATTGCAACAAGGACACACCCAAACCCAAGTTCAAAGAAGTGCTCTCGTCTCAAGTGGTGCAACGACTCCGAATCCAAATCCAAATCCACCAAGGTCACGACCCTGGCACGATTTTGGAAGACAGAACGACGCCGATAAAATACAAATAGCTAAACTGTAAGTTGTGAAAATTTTTCCAAAAAAGGTCCCACATTTTTAAAATGAAGTCAAAATTAAAAAAAAATAAGATAGGAAACATTATAGGCTGCACAAGTTATAATAAGGCACACAAGGTAGGCGGTAAAACTCTATACAGAGCAGGACGTTCACCCGCAGAGTGTTGCACTCAGTTATCTCTCTTTCTCTCTAGAGTTTGTCCGTTGAAAAAAATTGAAATACGAAAGCGTTACCAGTGCCACCTGAGACTTATATCGTTTGGGAAAAAAAATAAGCCTGACCGATACGCTAACTAAACAGGAAAAGTTAAAATAGATATCAACTTCCTCCGGATAGCGAAAAAAAGGAACCCCCTCTCAATTCTAACTGTTTTCGGCAGCCTATCACACAACTTCCTCGTCTTATCACCATTTGATGACAAATTGCATTCTAAAGTTGAATAAAAAATTTCAATTTTAAAAAAGTCGATAAAAAAAAATTAACGATGTAATGCAATAATAATAATAGTAAATGTATTAAGTAACAATGCCCAGCCCGTATGACATTCCATTCGGATCATTCCCACGCGCCAATCATTAATCTTCGACCCATTGCAGTTACGCACCCTACGGCTTCAAGTACCACCTGGAGTCGCCAATCAGTACATCGCAACGCCGCGAGGACGATAGAATAACCTACATCAATAAGGGTCAATTTTATGGCATCACATTGGATTATGTACCGGATCCAGACAAACCTCAACTTAAACCGGGCCAGACTGTCAAGGTAAGAAGACATTTTTTTTGTTACATTTTTATTTGCCAGCAGGAGGAAAACGAGATCGTTTGTTCTAGTCACTCTAATTGGCTGAATATCTTCATACCGTTAACAGTTGGCGACCCTATAAATAGCGTTAACATTTTTGTTTTTCTCTCTCTCTCTCGAGAGTTACGACTTCCTCGTTTAATTACTAATCGAACTTCTTCTCTCCACCCTCTGAATAGCCACTGATTATTTACGAGCTTGCAGACAACTTGGTTAGAGGAGAGACAACTCGAGCGAACAAGTCGACTATATCTATGTACGCTGTTAGGAATATCGGTTGTCAATTTTTGTTAACTAGGAAGCCAAGACCACGGGAGATAAAATATTTCCTCTACGTGGTTCATTAACGTAATTGTTAATTTTATAATAATTTTCCGTTTTTTTTTGAAAATTCAATTTGTTAATTTTTTAAAAAAGGGATTTTAATATTTAAAGTAAAAATTTAGATGCACATGATAAGGTAATTTTAAAAATCACATGGATGATTTATACCCAGTGTGTACTTTAAGGGTTAAGGTGGTACGAAAAGAAAATTTTACATTGCTTCACTACTGTAGGATAGAAGATTTTTGGGGTTGCTGATTATGAATTGAAGTCAAATTTTAGAAATTCAAAATAGCGGTCGAAAAATCACTCAGGGGTTTTTGGGGTTGATGATTACGAATACACAGTAAAATTTTCAAAATCTAAAATTGCGGATTCAATGTGGAGGATAAAAATATAAAAATCAAACCGATTTGCTTAAAAATCGTCACTCGTGGGTTTTGGATCGGATCCAATATAGAGAACAAAAAAAATTCATTTTAAAAATTGTCTTTTCTAGTTTTCAAAAAAACCCTTGCCTTTCGCACACTATTTTTTTCGCCATTACTGACTCTTGGTTCCATTTTAAAAATTGTCTTTTCTAGTTTTCAAAAAAACCCTTGCCTTTCGCACACTATTTTTTTCGCCATTACTGACTCTTGGTTCCATTTTAAAAATTGTCTTTTCTAGTTTTCAAAAACACCCTTGCCTTTCGCACACTATTTTTTGTCGCCATTACTGACTCTTGGTTCCATTTTCAAAATTGTCTTTTCTAGTTTTCGAAAAATCCTTTCTCCTCGCACTGAAAAAAAAATTTTATTAATAAAATTAAAAAATAGGTATTCCAAAAATTGGAGCAAAATATTAGAAAGCATTTTAGTCAGAATTTAAAAATCCAAAATGGCTGATTAACCATTAAACGGATTAACCATTTTGAATTTTTTAAATCTAACTAAAAATGAAACCCAAAATTGTTTTTCCGTGTTATAATTATTGAACAAATACAATTGGAAATTAATTATAATGTCACTATTGGTATATGTATAGCGAGTCGCTTTTTCTATATATAGATTATAAACTATTCGCCCATTCACCCGAATCACGAAAAATTACCTCCCTATCTCTCACGCACACGAGACTCATTTGCGCACTGCAAGAGATGCCGATATCGTGTTGCGGGATATGTGATATTATATATATTTATATATTGTATATGTATATAATAAGACACGTTGTGTGTTTATACCGTGATCGAGAAAGTTCTCCCAAGTGTCGAGACCATTAATATCAAGCGGGCCTCCCCTTGAGGGCGAATTTGATCGTTTTATTTAATTCAACAAACATATAGCCTTATGTCTATGACGCTCATTAACATAACTTCTCGTTTGTTACATAAGTAATACACGTCCGCCGGCATGCTTTTGTGACCAATCGCCGCGGTAGTTCACCAGATCTTCTCATTATAAAGGAAAAATTCGCATATATAGTTTATAAATAAAGTCTAACTGTACTATTAATACAGTTCCTGTTCTTTAGAAGGTTCTTGCCATTTGTTATAAAGTAAAAACTGACAAATGAGATAAGAACAAAAAAAAACATTTCTTGAGGCCTTTTACAATATTTCCTTGTGATCTCATTTTAATAGGTTAAGTTTCCCTTTGCGAATTTCCGTTCATAAAGATTAGAAATTATTTTTTATAATTGAGAGAGAGAGAAAAAAAACCCCGTAATCGGTTACAAGACGAAGAACATGTTCCTTTAGAAGGGAAAAGGTAGCGATATCACTTACGAGTAAAGGGAAGAGATTTTTTTTTTAATAAAATATGTTTGTGATCTAGAAACTCGGTTATACAACTCTCTTCGAACTAGTTCTAAATCATTAACATACGTTGACAACATATGTATATATTGTTCCTTATCAGGGGCTGAATTAATGGCGTATGATACGTCTCAATACTTCCTGCTGGTCAAAATAACAACAAAACGAAAAATATATGTATATATAATTTATACATGTTTGATTAAATTAAATATATATATATGTATCTCTTTAGTTGCGCAATAGATCGCGACACAAAAACTGATAATTTTTTTTTCCTTTCTCTATAAATAGAGTGTCGTGATGCTAATGTTCCGAGAGGAAAAGAGTCCAGAAGATGAAATTAAATCCTGGCAATTTTGGCACGCGAGACAACATTCAGCGAAACAACGGATTCTAGATGCTGGTGAGTTTATTTGAAAATTGAATTTAAAAAATCAGACGCTGTTTTTCACTCTACGTTGACTAAAATTTGATACTTTTTTTTTAAACAAGCTGCAAATTTTTTCCTATATGGATAATGGTAGGTAAAAAAGGTAAACGTTTTTTGTTTTAGATTTGTAATTGCAATGTTTTTTTTTTAGATACGAAAAATAGTGTGGGACTTGTTGGATGTATTGAAGAAGTTGCGCACAACGCTATAGCAGTTTATTGGAATCCTTTGGAATCATCAGCTAAGGTATGGAAAAAAAAGATTTACCTGGAACAACGAAACGTTTCCCCGTAGAAAAAGTCGATCAAATTGGTATAATAATTTTTTTTTGTTTGCTGCAGATCAACGTTGCTGTCCAGTGTCTAAGCACGGATTTCTCGAGTCAAAAAGGAGTCAAGGGACTTCCTCTACATATTCAAATAGATACATACGAAGAACCACCACCACATGCTCACACTTATACACCACCATCTCACAGGGGTTACTGTCAAATTAAAGTCTTCTGCGATAAGGTATTTTTAAATTTCTCCTTTTTACAATAAAAAATGTTTTTTTTTTGAAATTTCTTATTGCAAATACAACAACAAATGGGAAAAATCTTTTCTATTTTCAGGGAGCGGAGAGAAAAACCCGTGACGAGGAAAGGCGAGCGGCAAAGAGAAAAATGACAGCAACGGGGAGAAAGAAATTGGATGAACTTTATCATTCGGTGACGGAGAGAAGTGAATTTTATTGTATGGCCGATCTTCATAAACCACCAGTGTTATTTACACCACCGGCGGAACATGCTATTGATAAGGTACAATTTTTTTCATCTTTAAATCAACGTCAACAAAATTTACTCGAATTTCCCAATCGCCATTTGTCATAAGCAGTTATCATTATTATTCATCATTAATATAAAACAAACCTTTTTTTCTTTCTTCACTGCGATGACTTAGTTTATCACCTTCCAAAATTGAAATGCACTATGTCAGGATTATCTGGAAAAAAAATAAAAAATTAATTATTAACTTTAATTATTAATTGGAAGTGTGAATGTTTATATAAAACCAAATCCACAAGACAAAAAATTGCAAACTTAATTTTTTTCACGACAGTTCTCAACGATGGAGTTGTCGGGATTCTATGGAAGTGGAAGTGGAGGGAACGGAGGTGACACAGACACCTCCTCCCTGAGTAATGGTGAGGGCGGTGGATTAAAAGCAGGTGGCAGCAGTCCATATCCCTCATGTGGGGGAAGACCAAGTTTGCCGGCCCTCAAATTTCACAATCATTTTCCACCCGACAATTTGAGTTCCCTTCACGACAAAAAGGACTCATTGCTGATGCAGGTACAGGAACTTCAGGGTTCCGTTCTTCAAAATGTACAACCTCAAGGTATACCAACTGGTGCCGTTGTCACTGGTAATGTTGGAAATCGATTACACCTATCGCAACAACATCTACGCGGAAGTGAAGCCGAGGAACGTGTTATGCTCTACGTACGCCAGGAGGCTGACGACGTTTATACTCCGCTTCACGTCACCCCACCAACCGTTCAAGGACTTCTCAATGCTGTAAGGAATTTTTTTTTAAAAGATTTCACAGGGTTTTTTTTTTTTTGTTTTCCAAAGTGGTGTTTGATTAAGATCTTGCTGACAATAATTTATTTTGAGAATACTCTTGAAAATACTATTCCATTTTTTCTTTTTATATAAATTTTTTTTGTTTTTTCTCATTTTTATTTTAGTTTTCAAGATCTTTTTTATTGGAGAAAAAGCCATATAGATTTCCCGATTATGCTTTTTGAAAAAAAAACATTTTTCTACTTGAATTTTTATAAAACATTTTCTTTAAATTAATTTGAAAATACCATTTCCTTATCCAGGGGGAAATCTATATGGCTTTGTCTTTTACATGATGCACAATTTTTAAAAGATAAAAAAAAAATTCTTAATCTCTGTATCATGAACTGCTGATGTTAGTTGTAGATATGCTGGAGCTGAAAATTCGCCACCTTACTATTTCACAGTAAGTACTTGACAAAATAAAATAAAGCCTTCTTCAGCAGCTCATGTTACGAAGAATGAATCTAACACTCTCTAACATCCGAAATATTGTAGTCTCAAAAAAAAAGTTTTTGCCATTTTTTCATAAAAATTCGAATTTGGTAACATAACCTCAAAAAATATCCTTACAAAAATCACCTACCAGATGTTGTAAAATCACCTTTAAACTCTCATTAATTTTTCTGATTGGTTGGTAATGTTACCGGTAATATTATCAACCAACCAGAATATTTAGAGGTTATGTTAATTTTAATATTTAAGAATCAAAATTCTCTTTTTGATAATTTAATTTCCAGTTAAATAAAAATAAATCTGATTCATACAAAAAAATATTTCGGATGTAGAGGATGCTTTTCTTGTATATCTAAAACTGTTAATTAAAAAAAAAGTCGTTAAGGCTTTATTAATTTTAAAAAGGCTTAATCAAACTCCACTTCCTCTGATTTTCAAAAAAAAAAAAAAAAAAACACAAAAAAGTAGTAAATAATTTTTCTACACAAACACATCGGACGGGATGTAATAGTCACAAAATATTTTTCCCCTCATGGTGTTGTTTGTCTTAAAATAATTATGTCTTCATTAATATTGTTGGCAAGATCTCAAAAACAAAAAAACAAACAATGAGATCTAACATTTAATTATTATTATTAAAACATTGCATGTTTATTCGCAAAAATTCCATTAATTAATATATCCGATCGCCGTTTCCATTTGCTAATTAATAATAATTCAATGCGCATGCGCCCAAATCATTCCTTTAGACCCTTTATTAATATTATTATAATCATGTATTACATTCCTCAATGAAATTAACTTGGAAATACGAAGCAAAAAAAAGTGCTTTTTTGGTTTAAGAAAGATATATATACTCGTTAGGAGAAAAAAGTGGAAAGACAAAAAAAAAATTTGGCCTCTTATTTTTCATTATTTTCTCAATTCTTACATTTTTTTTCACATATATATCATGATGGAATTCATATTTTAGTTTCAGGGGGTTTTTTTACACGGCACTAAGTCTTGGTTAACAATAATTACAATGTTGATAGGTTTCATAATAGTTTATAGATTATGTTTAGTTAAAAATGATTTTAGCCAAAAGTATACTATCAGTTTTTTTAACTATACGGACAAACAGACAACTTGTGGACGTACCTTAATCTAACTAAATTATACTGCGCATGCGTCATAGATCTTATCAAAACAGCGTATTTCAAATTTTTTTTATCTATTACTTTTAACACATTTTAGAATAATTATAATAATTATAAAAACAATATTAATAATTAAAAAATTATCAAAAATTTACGTTAAAAAGAAATTGATGGTTAAATTTTACTTTTCTAATCAGGACCATGTGCCGTGTGAATTTTTTTAATTATTGTCAAAAAAAAAATTTTGAACAAGCGCTTCTTACGGTTTTTGAGAAAAAAAAATTTTTGTTATCTAGTAGAAAAGCGGCAAAACCCACTTTGTCAAAATTCTAATATTCTACTTTTTTCTATTTTACAGATTGAGTCAAAGTACAAAATTGCATCCTCGAGTATTAATAACCTCTATCGCAAAAACACAAAGGGGTAAGTTTAAGTAGAGTGTCATCTTTACTTGCATGCACTCCTCACTTTGGTGCATGACATATAAACGGTGACATATTTTTGCGCTTGACTCAATATTGACTTTGAGAAAGCAACGCATGCGCTAAAAATTAGTTTTGAATTTCTTCTTTTTTTTTACTTTCTTCCTGCACGTTTATTTTACTAATAAAAAAAACCCTTCCCACACCTTTTAACACATTGTGCCATTGAAGCTTTTATAATTTAATAATTTTTCATTCTTAAAGTATCTCCACAATGAAATTTGAGCGCTTGCGCTGTATCGAGATGCGCGCGCATCTATTGTTCTACGCATGCGGAACATGTGCGTACGCATCTCGATACAGTGCAATCGTTCAACTTTTTATTGTGGAGATACCTTTATGCTTTGCACGCCTATCACTTTATCATAAACAATTTTTAACAGAAAAACAATTTTTTTTTTGCTAATCATATACACACTTTCTCTATTTCTGTCTGTCTGTCTGTCTGTTTGTTTCTCTATCTTTTCCTTTTTATATTTCTAATAATCGGTTAATAAAAAAATTTAATTGTCAATTAATGTCAATGACGAGCTTTGCTTTTCATAAAATTCAGTAACAGATAAAAAAAATACCTGCACGTACTTTTGACTCGAATCTACAACAACAAGAAATTAAATTTTCTCTTTTTTGAGAAAATTTAGCAAATTTTTTTTTTTTGTAATTATGAAATCAGAGCACAAATTTGGTGTTGAGTTTTGAAATTTTATTTTTCAAAATATTGTGCAGAAAATAGTGGAGTGAATTATTTGCGTCATTTTCGTTTTGATATCTATAATAATAAATATATAAATCGAATGATTTCAAGTTTAAGTTTTTTGTATCTTTCTGTTACAGACTCTTGTCTCTAGTGGATTTATAGATGCGGCTTTAAAAGACATTCAGAAAAACATTATTTTTTTTTAATTTGTTAAAAAAAAATTTATTTTCAAAATTTTAAAAAATTTTTAATTTAAAAAACTATTTTAGCCAATAAAATTGTTTATATTTTTATGATTAAAAAAAAAAAAAACATTTTTCTGAATGTATTTAAAATAAATTTTCGATATTATATCTCATAGATTTTTCCTTTTTTCACTTAAATGCATATTTCTTTAATTAAAATCTTGCACACTTCGCGTTGACATTTTTCTATTATATCGATTAGTATTTCGATTATCGATTGATACTATCGACTAATACCTCGATTATTATTTCGATATATTGAATGGTATTATCGATACTATCGACTAGTACTTCGATATATCGATTGATACTATCGACTGATACTTCGATATATCGATTATTACTATCGACTAGTACTTCGATATATCGATTAATAGTTTGATAAATCGATTGATACTATCGATTGGTACTTCGAAATATCGATTAATATTTCGATATATCGATTGATATTTTCGATACTATTGACTAGTACTTCGATATATCAATTGATATTATCGATACTACCGACTAGTACTTCGATATATCGATTAATATTTCGATATTATGTATAATTTTTTTCTTTTTAGAAACAAAAAAAAATTGTCAATATAAATAATCTCTTAAATAGTCAAAATTTAAAAATTTCTGACAAAAATTAATTTGCATTTTTAAAAAATTATTGTTTCAGAATTACAGCGAAAATTGATGACGATATGATTCGCTACTACGTGGACGAGGACCTCTTCCTATTTCAGGTTAGCCATTCGCGGATAAAATCTGATTCCGTCACAGACAGAAATCACAATCCAGGCTCACCTGACGATCAAGATACAGGGGATCCCCCAAATCCCGGTTACGATGTGACATTTATTGAATTACAAACATCACCAATTCAACTTCCACAATCGCCATCTGCGCATGCGCATTCACACATGCACGACGCCGGTAATACGTGAGGAATATATTTCGTCAACATACGCAATTTTTGTAAATAGGAACAAAATAATAGATCTCCGCCCCTCTTTTCCCAAAAAAAAAAAAAAAAAAAACTTACACACATACATACAAACACAGGGATCACATATTAGGAAAATGGCGGCAAATTTTTTTTTTTTGATAAACATGTTTCCAACATAAAAAAAAAATTAGCGCCAAAATTTAAAATTATTACTATTAATCGCTCTATTAAATAGTGGTGGAAAATTTAAATAATTTTTTGGCGGGGAAAATTTAAATACTTAGCGCGTCAAATATGGCGCGAAATTCAAAAAGTGCCAATCTACAATGAATTAAATAAAAAAACGGTGGTGATGTGGTGAAACTTGAAATGTGAATTCTTTATACTAATGAATGTGACAAAAAAAAATGAAGAGAAAAAAAACAATCAAGTGGACCGTTTTAAAAAAAAAATGTAAATCAAGCCAAGCAATCATTGCTCTCGTTAAGATAGTTTTTATTTGTTAGTTTAGATAGATAGCCCAGATCGTATAGTTAAATCAATCAAAATTGATTTTAGGTCGACGTTATATATTTTTTTTAAAAAAAGAAAATAATGAAGAAATAAAGTACGTATGACGTATGTGTATGAAATTTTTCAATTTTAGTTATTAAATCATTTTTGTTTAAGACTTTGGTAAGTGTGTGAGAGAGAGAGAGAGAGAGAAAAAAAGAAAGTTTAATTAAAGTTAAGAAGTGCTTTGAATTTTAATATTTGTACTGAAGGAGAGAGACAATGAAATAACGACCGTTAGGTGTGTGAGAGAGAAAGACATATCTGAATCTTTCCCAAAGTTTCGTCTCAAGTGCTCATTAAACGTTATTAGTTTACAATAATTTTACAAAAAAAAAAAAAAATAACATTCCCAATTTAAAAAGTTAAGGAATTTTTAAACATTTTCTTTTATCAAAATTTTATACTTTTATATTGATACAACTTGATAAAAAAAATTAGCAATTGACATAACCTCGAAAAAATAATTTTTTTCTCGTTATTTTTGAAAAATGCTATTTTTCAATTTTTAATACTTACTGTTTTTAAAAATTACCGTTTTTAAGATTTAAAAAAAAATTCTGTTCACTGTTAAAAATAATACTTTATTTTATCTTTTTCCTTACAGAAAAATGTATAAGAAAAATTATATTAAAAGGTAATTCCCCGATGGTCAATGGCTTTTTCAATTGTTGCCAATATACATTTGGTCAATGCTTATCAGTGTTGCCAATCTAATGAGATCTATCTGAAATTTGGCGCCAAATTCAAAAGTATAAAATTTCGATAAAATAAATAAGTGTAAAAATATCGAAATCTGGAATTATTATATTATAATTATTAGTAAATTTATATTATTATAATTATAAATATAATTATAAATATAATTATACATATAATTATAAGCATAATTATAAATATAATTACCATTAATAATTATTATATAAAATTCCTGAAACTATTAAATTGTATCTGCCTTAAAAAAAATTATAAATTATTGTAATTCTTTATAACTAAACATTTTTTTGCGACAATAACAAACTAATCAAAATGACTGTAAGCCAATAATTTTTTTTTTCTTCCGAAAAATCGCGCTAGTTTAAAACAAGATAGTTCCGTTAGGTTAGAATAGATTTTACATACATTGAATCACACACACACACATTTATATAATAATAATAATAGCATATAATATGTTTAAAAAGTTCTTACACGTCGTACCAATATCAAAGCAACGATCAAAATACGCTTGTAAAATGCATATTATTATTATTGAGTATACTATATTTTGTTACATTTATTTGTCAAAACAACATATAGATATTATTATTATTTTTATTATTATTATTATTATTATTTTTATTATTATTGATTCTATTGTCTTCAAGAGCTACGTACGGTATAATTGTTATTTTTATACATATACGAACTGAGGGAGAAAAAGAGAAATGAAAAAAGAACACTATTTTACGTCTGTGTGAGTGTTTTTTTGTGCGAGAAGGAGATAAAAATTTGGCAAAGATTTACTTATTAGTGTTGGACCATGACAATTTATCGTATAAGCAATTTTTTTTAAACTTCTTGCTCGCGGAGCCACGAAGTCAAAGAATTTATTATGATTATTATTATTACTATTATATGTTTGGTCGATGCTAGAGATTGAATTTTTTTTTTAACTTTCACAATTATTTCTTTGTTGAATAGTGATTATCGAGAAATATTAATTTTCAAGTTTTGTAAATGATTTTTTAATGAAATGGCGGGGTTAATTAATTATTTTTTTTTTTTTACTTTTTAATGAAGTTATTAACTAAATTTTTATTATTATTATTATTATTTTGAAAAGTTATTGTCTTATGATACGATAAGATGTTATAAAAATTTTTTTAGAGTTTAAATTTTTTTAGACGAAAAGAAAAATGTTTTTTTGACGAAATTTGTTTTATTAAAAAAAAGTAGTTATTGGCTAAATTTTATTTTTTAATTTTTTTTATTGGCATAGAGAAGATATTTTTTTTTTTTTTAATTGTTTCCCATAAAAATTGTGTTTTTAATTTAAGGTGGAATCCCAGTGTATAGGAAAAAATTTCAATATTTAAATATTGATCTAAAAAATATATTTTAATAAATGTATTTTAATAAACACAGTAATTATCAATAAACAAAAATAGTAAAAAAAAAAACAAATAATAAAATATTAAATACAATAGTAAAAATTTAATAATGGAAAAAAATTAATTTACACAGTGGGATTTCCCCTTAAGGTGCCAAAGTGATATTAAATAAATTGAATGTGAAAATAATTTTTTTTTCTAGATTATAAGTTATTTTTGGAGAAAATTTTTCTCTCGCATTGATCATTTATTCGCGGGCAGAATTTGTCGGAGCCATGTTTTTATAAATATATGCTACTATTATTATAATTAATTATTATTAATTAATTATATAAAAATATAAATATATATATATTATTATAAATAGAAATCGAGCGTGTAAAGAAAAAAAAAGCTCAATTCGAAATGAAAGATACAAAAAAAATAGAAAATATTTTATATTTCTTCAAGAGTCTGCGATTTTAGATAAAAAAAAATGAAAAAAATATGTATTTTCTCGTTATTTTTTGGTCGAAAACGCGTGAATGCGACGTTTCTTTTTTTATGTAAATGTGAATCATTTTTTTTTTTTTTGACCGTTTGTATGTTGGAACACGATCGATTTAATCTGTTATAGATCGTTTTTCCCTTTCTCTCCCCCCCCCATAAGCTTAAATAACTTTTTAGTTTATACAGTGTAGTTTGATCGATTAGTGTCGCATAGTCTACTGATCGATTTATGGATCATGAGTAAAAAAAATAGAGAAAGAGAGCGAGAGAGAGAGAGAGAGAAAGAGAGCGAATAATAAAATAGCGAAAAAAATGAATAATAATGAATGTTTTATTGTCGCGACGTCTTGCCAACGTGAGATTGTGCCAGAGGTGATATTATATTATTACGATGTTTATTAAAAGATAAAAAAAAACAATAAATATTATATTAGTACGTTTTATAAATTACTTTTATTATTATTTTTTATTAACCCCCTTTGAGAATCCTTTTAAATTTAATTTAAAAAGAAAAAATTTATTTTACAGAAACACATAAAAATTATGTTATGTAGATGGTTAAAAAATTAACAACATGGTAAAAAATTTTGAAAAATAAAAATATCAAAAATTACCGACATAGAAATCTACCTTACCGACTGATGGTAATATAGTTTTCTATGTCGGTAATTCTTTATATTTTTATTTTTTAAAACATTTATTTACCATCAGTCGGTAAAGTAGATTTCTATGTCGGTAATTGTTGTATTTTCATTTTTCAGAAAACTGTTTTACTATCAGTCGGTAAGGTACATTTCTGTGTCGGTATTTTTTATATTTTCAGTCTTCAAATATTTTTACCCTAATGTGAAATAACCCTAATAATTACTGTTTTACTGTAATTTCATTTTTTGTTATTCTATTTATTTTCTATTAATATTTTCAGGTGTACAAATATATATAGGCACGTGAAAAAATCGAACCAAGGTCTTAGAATTGCGAAATAATTAAATACCAAAAAATTCGAATTTTAGAAAAATTAAAAAAAATTTAAGAGTGTATAAATAATTATATTATTATAACTAAATATTATCAATATTTATCAAGATAAGTGAATTTGAATAACAAAAGAAATATGCTCTTGTTATCATATATCTATATACATGTATAATTATGAAAATTATAAAAGACAAAAAATATGTAACATTATAGAAAATAAATTTTTTTCTACGGATGTTTCAATTTAAACATTAGGTATGTTAATCTCATTAAGCTGTTAAGATATTAAAATAAAAAAATATTTTTTGAAAAATTAATTATGTTGAAGCTATTTAATATTTTTTATCTTTAACAGATTTTTGAAAGTATGGAGGATTCATTTTTTACAATAGGTCCTTTAGCGACAGTACAACTTGTACCAATTATTAGTTATATAAATATATTAAGTGATTTTTTATTCATGGAAAATTATTTAGCAGAATTTAATCAAAATAAAGAAATACCCATTGTTAATGCACTTTATGAATATTTAGACGATAATCGTTATAATAATTCAAATAATATGAAATTAATACGAAAATTACTAAAAGGCAGTGATTTGTATGGTGAACAAGATAATGAAAATGTTGATCATATTTTTGTTAAAACCATGTTTAACTATATTATTAGTTCACTTGTATTTGTCAAATATGGAAATATTTATGGATTTTTGGCAGAAGCAATTGGCGAAATGGAAAATTTACAATTTGATTATGCACTAATGATGATTAAAGAAAAATTAAGAAATGCAAAATTTGCCAATGAATACGGTATTTATTCATCATTATCTAATTTAGCAATGAATAGAATATATAAAGATATAATATTACAATTTTTTCCCCAACCAAATACTAATCTTAGTTTATTGTCTCTTGATTACATTTTTGCACAAGCTGGTTTTATATACCTTCAATTGGGACGAATAAATGATACATATTTTTCGGAACAAAATTACAATTATAATGAAATTGATTTATTTAATAAATACTTAACATTGGGTGATATAGTAAAAAATTTACTTCATCATGAAAAAATAGATCCTCTAACATTAAGAATATTTGCACTACCTGCACTTTTTTATTATACATTGACGATGGAAAATATTAAAAACAATACTATAAGTAAAATTATTTTTGAACCTCATCATTGGAAGGCGGCTTATGATAAATTTTTCGAATATCTAAACAATACTTTCGTTCGAATAGAAAATCAGCTAAAAACTGATACTACATATAGAATACATTTAGAGTTTTTAAATTTTTATAATCATAACATTGATGATAATGACAAACTTTCGAAATTTGAAAGTAAACCCAAATTTGAGGATGAAATTCGCAATATTGGCGAATTATATGAAAAGTATTATTTAGAAATAGTTCAACAATTATTCAGTGGATTTTCAATACCAGAACTTCGTAATGTTGTAATAACATTACTAATTAGCGATAATAATGAATTTACTAATACATCCTACGATTTGCTTGAATTTTATTATGTTGAAAATCAAATTTATGATTATTATGCTTTAATACAAGAAAATTATTCCTTTACACTTATTAAAGATACAAATGATTCGGAATTTTTTCTTAACAAACTTAATTTAACTTTTCATAAAATAATCAAATCGGGTCATCGTACAATTTTAAAGTACGCTAATGAGAGTAGACATGAACTTATACAAGAACTAATGAAAAATAAAAAAGATCGTTTCAAAATTTATTTAAACAATTTCAAAAATAAAAATAATGAATGGTGGAAAGAATTTGGATTATCGTTGATGCCAATATATCCATGTACCAATATTGTACATATATTTTGTACAAATTTTGGCAGCTTACAAAAAGAAGTTTCTCATTTAATGAATAAAAATACAAAATCTTTACTATCATCATTGGGTACAACTATTGAAACAATATTTCTAAAAAATGTAATTAGTGCAATAGTGGATAAACATAAGTCTAAATCGATAAAAATGAATAACACAGTTTATGATCAATTTTCCCTACACATAGAGGAACCAGCTTTTGTATCAATTTCCACAACACAAACCGATATAACATTAATGTCAACAATTGTTGCTGATTTAGAAATAAATATTAACAACACATTTTCATTTGTCAAGGAAATGTTGAATAACATTCAACTATTGAAAATCACGAATATAAAACAAATTCCCGACATTGACGATATAAATCAATCATTGTTTGTCAAAACTGGAATTAATAAAACTGGATTTGGTTACAAATTTACGATTCTCGACCGAAGAGAAAATTCATTTTTACATGCACTATTACGAACTGATTATGAAATGAAAAATAAAATATTTATAACATCAGGCAATAATTTACTAAGAAATAAAAATAACGCATTTATTAAACTAAATAAAGAAACTCTAGAATATGATTATCAATTTGTTTATGAAATTAATAATCAACTTCGACGAAAATCAACAACAATTATATTTTCTGGTATAATTACCCCTCAGAATATTATCAACGAAAATTGCAATAATAATAATAATTTTCAAAGTACAAATTCTGATGTTTGTCCAATGAATTTGCGTTCTATTGAAAAAAATAGTAACGAAAGACAATTAATACGTTCAATTAAAATTAAGACACTAGTTGTAAACACAAAATTCATTTTTTACGAAGATATAAAAAATATATTGAAAAAATACTATTTTCCAAATGACAACATAACACTATACTTTCTTGAAAATTGGTTAAACAATCCAAATTTTCAAGAATCCGATTGGTGTAAAAATTATTTAATCGAAAATATCGAACTTTTTAATAAACTAATGTACACTGTATTTATGGATAAAAATAATTTATCACTAACTGATGCTGAGAATAAAATTAATTCTATCTACACATATAGAGAGAGATGTAAAATTGAAAAAGATACATCGTTGGAAAATATAATTAATGATTATAATCAACAAAAGGCTTATTATTCTGTTACATTTGAAGATTATTATGCTATAAGAAATTTTGCAACAAGTGATATAAGAATATCTCAAGATACAAGTGAAGCGAAAGAAATGAAAATTGCTTTATATAAATTAGCGATAAGACAATTTGAAGGTGGGGAATTTCAATCAACATTATATCGTGTCGAAACAAAACCTATGGACTTTAAAGAATTGTATGAAGGTAAACGAATTTTTTTGCAAAAATTTACAAAAACATCAACTAATATTGGTTCTGCAATCAGATTTTCATCATATCCAGCTAATGGATTTAGAAATATTTTTTATGAATACCAATTTGATGAACGTTATTTTAATACAGAAATTGAGATGAAAGTTAATAAATTTGAAATTGTTTTAGAAAAGAATATTATTCTTTTACCTAGTAGTGAATTTATAATTACACGAATAACAAATGTGACATTAGGTGGAATGGGTAATGTTTCACATGTAGTGTTATCATCTGTACAAAATAGTACTAGAAGTGGAAAACATGAATGGTATAAAAATATTATGAAAGAAATAACAAAAATTAATGTTAATTAATATTTCAATTATTTATGTCATATCTCGAAGTGGACCTAATTTTATTTTATTATTCATCACTAATATTAAACACACTTTTTTGAAAATAGCTTCATTTGTTTAAACCCTCCACTGTTTTATTCCATAATTATTGTTTAATAATTATTTTATTATTTATTCATCTTTAATATAAAACAACCTCTTTCGTGTCCATAGTCACATTGTTTATATCAAGCCCTTTATGCAAAGAACCTGTTTCTTGATAAATTTTTTTTCTGCAAAAAAAATATAAGAAAAAGTAAATCAGTACAAAAAAAAAATTTCACCATATACGTGATTCGTATTGCGAATGTGATAAACAATCTCGAATTATATTTATTGGCAACGTACAGCTTGTCACAGGATTTAGTTAAGAATCCTTTTAAATTGCGATAAATCTCTAATTAATTTCCTCGATACTCGCAAAAACAAGTACAGTGAGAAAGCCGACGATAAGTCACTAAGAAAAATAGAAAATTAAAAAAAAAATTGCAATAAAAAATAAATCTTAATACATTAATAATAGTAATAATAATAAAGTTAAAAAAAATAAATTTTTTAAAGACAAAATTTTTTTTTAATCAAAATAAGAAATTAAATTTTTATTGTCATAAATATTGTAATTTATGAACTAAAATTTGTTTATTAATCTTTAATAATTCATATAATTAAATTAACCCAATTTTTTATAAAAAGAAATTTATAATGAAACTTCCCGTTTAATACGAAAAAATGGAACATTTTTTTTACCTCTTAACGTTTCAGTAGACGTCGAATTAATTAACAAAATATTGCTCTATAGGAGATTATGTATATGCGCAAACATAAAAGGTATGGATGATTATTATTATTATGATTATTATTATTATTATAGTATCGATTAACGGAATGATGACGATAATGAATTCAGAATCTAAGTGCCTAATGTGTCACCCATATATATACTTTATATATTGTAAAGCAGGTTTTTATCGATTCTAGGAGCAACCGTTAACGAGAGCTCTGAATCAGTGAATTTTTTCGACATATACTAAATAATAATGACAAATGTGCCAAAAAAAAAAATTGAATTAATGTAAGAAAATCAAGATTAACTGGACTCTTGTAAATTAATCATGAAAAATATTTGACACCCTCGAATTGCGTTCAAAAGAAAGATTTATCATCGTTCTGCTTTTTTTTAAAAAAAGATTTTATATCAAATTATTTTTTATAAATTTTTTTTTTAAATATTATATTTTCTAATGGGATTTTTAATTTCTCAAACAAATGTACTAATAATTTTTAAATATTCATTTAATAATTTACAATATTAAATAAAATAGCTGTTAAAATTTTTTATACTAAAAACCCTTTTGGAATGTGTGTAGAAATTAAATTAACACCTGGCGCCTCTTAGACGCCAATAATTCACACATCAACGTTAATAAATGGGTGTTAAAATAAAATAAAAGAAAAGAAAGAAAGAAACAGTAAACTATCGTAACCCTGTTGGTAACTTTTCCTTTTTCGCGCAAAAACCGGCTTTTCCTAAAAATAGTATTGTCATGGCCAAATCTTAATTTTCAGCAAAAAATTCTTTTCTGTCTGCAATTTTTTTTTTTAATCTTAACAATCTGATATTATTTTTTTTTTTATATGAATATTTTAATATTCGAATCATTCACGTGTCTAAATTCATTCAGTAAATTTATTTAATCTCAAGAAACGATAAAAATTAGCATTACAAGTGAAGAAAGAGAGAGAATAAATTATTTCCTTTTTACCGATGAATCATTTTTCTTCTCTCACTTTAAAAACATAATTATAAATTTAATATTTTGCAAAATAAGATTAGTTCAAAAAATATATATTTTCCTATGAATTTATATATATTTTTTTAATAAATTAAAAGGGGGCTAAAATTGTAAAAAAAATTTAATTTTTTTAGTTAGTTTACTGTAAAATAGTAATATTAACGACAAAAAAATTAAGTTGTAAAAAATAAAAGGTTTAAAAAAATATATTATTAAATGAAATATTATTGGCAATTTTTTTTTTTTAGCAAACTAATTAAAATTTAAAAAATAATCCCTAACCTTCATTTTATATCTGTTGCGTTTTATAACTTTAATTAAATTTTTAATTTAATAACATCGTAAATTTCAAAAGTAATGTCTTCATTAGATTATGATCGTACGTTATTAAAGGGTAGCAATTTATTAAGATTTGTGACAAAACAAAAACAAACAAATTACATAAAGATGTCATTATTTCTTCATTTTATTATCACTTAATTTTTTCATTCATCAAATCTTCTTTTTTCATTTCTATTCAAGAACTACAGTTTTGTCTTATAAAATAGACAAAAAAAATTTTTTTTTTAATATTTCAATTATTCTTTATATATTCTATACAAAAAAAAAACATTCAATTTTTCGAATTGTTTTTTTTTTCTAAATTTGATAATAAATATTATCTTATAAATTGACTCAACATGAAAGACATTTCTCAAAAGATTAATAGAATTGTAAAATTTCCATTCGTCTCTTTTCAAATCGAAATATTGAAATATTAATATAAGTCATTGACCATTTTTTTCTTTTCTGATCGCGTCTAATTATAATATTAGCAAAAAAAAAAAAATAAAAAAAAAATAAGCAAAAAAGAAATCCGATGGGGAGAAGGAGGGGGAGGATGATTTTGTCTGTATATTAATTCCTAAGTGCTTTATATTAGCGTGTGTCATCATCGTTCAAGTTTTCGTTGCTTCTGGCAACCGAAGATAATTGATAATGAGAGCAGCAACCCGTCAAACCGGACTTATATATACATATATATATATATATATATACTTCAAAATATTCGAACTACTTGTTTCAGATCTTTAAAATCCAGGGTCACGGACCTCAAATCCGTTTTTGCTTCTTTTCACAAAGATAATAATTTCTTTATTTTTCTATATATATATATATATATATATATATATATGTATATGTGATGCGCTCTGAAAAAGGGACCGAAGAAGCAAAAAATTATAGGTTATGTTTTGAAATTTTTAAGTGAAAATACTTTTTAAACTAAAGCTATCGTAAACATAACCTATAATTCATTTGCTTATTATATACTGTTATATTACATTATTGTTGTTATTATTATTATTATATAATATAATAGAATAATAATAATAATAATAATGTAATATAATAGTATAAATATTTATTGTATATTTATTGTATATATGTATTTATATAATAAATTATATAACCCCCACAGCACCGAAACTTTCCTGAAAATTTAGTAAATATTTACTTGCAATATTTAGAATATTTAATTGCAAAGTTTAGTGAAAATTGTATAAAGATTTAAATGTCCAAATTAAATAAATGTTTAGTGTGAAACTTTCCTGAACATTTAAATGAAATAATAGCCTAATTATAATTATAATTAATACTTAGTACTTCAAGAAATATTTTTAAAAAAGATATAAAAACTTACCTTAAACGAAAATTTAATTCAAGTATCCACCAAAATGAATTCAGGAACTGTCTTCAATGAAATTGCTTATGAAAATGAAAAAACAGAGAAATGACGTTGTTCGTTAGATAGAAATTAACACTGTTGCCAACCCAAAAAAAAATGAGTCACATAGCATTTCAAAAATTAACACAGAGGAACCTCTGAAATGTGACACCATGCTTGGGAAGGTATTTTTGTAAAACGTCCATGATTACAAGGTCTTTATAGTAACAAGTTTTGTCTATTTTAATGCGCTGATACTTGAAGCGCAATTTCTATCACAAAAAAATATTTTCTTACAACATTATATAAATATTTCCTTCAATTAGATTCATAACGAAAAAGTGTAATTTAAATTACACTCTTGATCGTATTTGCCTAAATTTTTTTTGTCCTTTTCTAAATCACATGTTGTCATGGCAACACGTGCGTTAGAAAAGGACAAAAATGTGTAGGCATATTTGGCCACGAGTGAACATGATGATTATTATTAGGCTACGTCTACAATTTTACTTTAAAAAAATTATTATTACGTAATTTTATATAATTTTCTGTCACTTAAGGCTATGTCCACAATACTTTTATATCCTGTTAAACATAAAAGGACATAAAAAGAGTCTATTGTGAACTTAACCTCAAGTTGAAGAAAATTATACAAAATTACATAATAATTATATTTTTTCTAAAAAGTAAAATTTAAAATTTTTCACCAATTTTGAAAATGAATAATTTCAAATGAACTTATTAAATAACACCATGAGGTTTCGATGCATATATATATATATATATATATATATATATATATATATATATTTATACCATATATGTCTAATGCGCTATAATATGAAAAACCAATTCTTGGCACCTGTGGAATTGCATTCTTGCAAGGCAACTTGAGGGAGAAGGCAGAAAAGCAAGTTCATGGCCATTCTGAATCAAGCCGAGGTCCCTCAAGGCTATATATTTCTTCAAGCAGATATATATCTAGACAAAGTACGTATTTTGTAAGAAATTTCCAAATATTATTCTTATTATAAAATCAATTGGGTCTTTCTAATTAGCATTTTGCGAGCGTTCTCAATGTATATGTACATATGTACACACACACATATATATATATATATATGCGAGAGTACATCTCGAACATATATATCTCTAAGAGATAATGATCGAGCTGATTGATTATTCGTTGATAGAACACATGCCCAGAGATGAATAATTTGTGGCATACTGAATTTCCAGGGAAATAATTAATAATGGAAATTAACGGGACATTGAAGTTAAATAGAAATTTTCAAAAAAGAATTTAAAAACAAAAATACAGAAACAATTTTAAAATTGAAATTTATTTATTGAAAAGTATTTTTATTTACTAGTATTTTTATTCACTAGGGATTTTATTTACTAGTATTTTTTATTCCCTAGAGTTTATATTTACTAATATTTTTATTTACTAGTGTTTTTATTCGCTACGGTTTTTATTTACTAGTATTTTTATTCACTAGGGTTTTTATTTACTAGTATTTTTATTCACTAGGGTTTTTATTTACTAGTGTATTTATTCACTAGGGTTTTTATTTACTAGTGTTTTTATTCACTAGGGTTTTTATTTACTAGTATTTTTAAAGCCACTAGTGATTTGTAAAATTAATAGTCATATTTGCTAGTAATTTCTATACTTTCTGGTAATTTTTGTGATTACCAGTGGTTTTTGTTTCAACTTTTGATTTTTTAGAATTATAAAGGTGAATTCACATAGAGGCGTAAAGCGTAAAATTTTGTAACTAGATAAAGCGAAAAAGACAAATGTATATCCTTATCTCTTTCATACTCATTATATCTAGTTACAAAATTTCACACTTTACGCCTCAATGTGAATTCACCTTAATTTTTCCCCTATTTCTTGTGGTTTGTAACTAGTGATTTTTATGATAACTAGTTTTTTTAGTTACATTTATTTAATGTTTCAATGAAAAATAATAATTTTTTCAAAAATAATGTATTTAAAGAAAATTTTTCAAAAATTAAAATTTTTTTTTAAAAAAAGGGGGACAGAGGAGGGGGCGAATTTGTGAAAAATGTGATGAAAATTTTTATTGAAATCAAAGAAAGATAAAGGAAAGCCCGTAAATAATGCAAAAAAGTGTAAAAGAAGAGTCTCGATAAAAGAGCCTCGGGGGCAAACAGGTGGTCAGGGGAGGGCAAGCCCGTTATAAGCCCAAGTCTTCGCTATTCAGTGGATTAGCAACTTAGTGTTGGCCTTCGAGCCAACATCTCTGTGCCCCTCAACTTTTTCAGTATATTCATTTTCGTCAATTTCATTATTTTTTTTTTTTTTTAATTTATTTCTTCACTAAAATAAATAAATGACAAAGTGACCAAAAGTGTTGAAAAAAAAATTTGACTGTGCAAAACAAATGAAAATTAATTTCAATTAAAAAAAAAAAAACGGTCGCATTTTTTACAAGGTCATGGTTTGTCGGACGATACCGGTAACAATCGCGGCTCTTTTGCTGGTGATATTTTGCATTGATACTAAAGCAAGTGGAGTCGACGAATCGGATGATTCGATTATTATTGATGGTGAGTTTTTTTTCACCTAAAAAAAATAAAGTGGACAAAAAAAGATGAGAAAAAAATTTTTTTTTTTTTTTATTTGCCGGTTTACAATTTAAAAAAAAAATGTGATTGACTCAGAAGTCGGTCAGCGAACTCATGACAGAGACAGAAGCCAAGTGGAATTCTATTATGTTGACTGCGTACGCGACGCATATTTACACGCTATACGATTTGCGGTAAAGACATATACTAATGAGACAATGAAATTTTCCGATTACGCGTGACGTAATTTTTGTAACGGTCAATTTCAAATTTTTTAGGGTACTTTCTTTTTAAAATTGTTGACTATTTATTATTAATTTAATAATAAAAACTAACAATAAATTTTTTTTAAAATTAATTTAATTAATTAGTCAAATAGTTAATTTAATAAATAATTAAAAATTTCAGCTGCAGATTTAAATAAACGGGGACGTGAGGAGCGTCAATTTTTTACCCTTGAGAAAAAAAGTCTCCCTGGCCAGTGTTTAACATCAAAAGGTGAAGTGGGAAAATGTACAACTTTTAAAGAGTGTTATCCATACTTTAAAATCCCAGATTTGGGAATTCTAGACGGATGGGTTTTGGGAGTTTATGACAGTTGCAGTTATCTTCAATCGAATGGTAAAGCAGCTTTTGGAATTTGTTGCGCTGATTATCAGCCAACAACACCGACATCAAATTTGGAAAGTGAAATTCCAGTAGAAAACCCAGATGAGGTAAATAAGAGAAAAATTCTATTTTTGAAAGAAAATATTAAAAAAAAAACTTTCACATTTAAATTTCATTTCTAAGAAAAAATCTATTATTTTTAGAATTTTTTTAAAATATTTTTTTACGGTCCAAGAGAAATGGAAATGAGCAATAATTTAGTCACGGCATGAATTGACACGAATCGACTATTATAAAAACTGAGTCATCAACACGTTCTAAATTAAAATACGAATAAATTATTTTTCGTATTTATAATATTTATATATGGAAATCGACTCATAAAAAAAGTTAATTAAAAACAAAAAAAAAAAAATTTTCCTTTTTTTCTTTAAACTTTATTTAATTATGAGAATTAATGCAAATAGATACCTCTAAATTTAATTTAATGAAAATTTTTTTGTCTCAAATTAATTAATTAATTAATTAATTAATAATTAATTTATTAAAATTAATTTGGCATTTAATGCAAGATTTTTCTAATTTTTGCTGTTTCTTCACCCCCCACCTTCTACTTTTGCTTAACTTTCTCACCATTGGTTCGTTTTCATTGTCTCCATTCGCCATTTGTCATAATTCTCGTCAACTACCGCACTCTGCTCTAGTGAAAATTTAGTGACTTTATTGTTAAAATTAAGTTACTGTAAAGTTACTAAAATTTCGCTAGAGCAGGGTGCGGTAGTTCACCGAGAATTATGCCAAATAATAATTTTATTTGTTACTAGAAAAGTAGTAGCCGAAATTAGACTATTATTAAGCAGTTAAGCTCATTATTATTCATCATTAATATAAAACAACCCTTTTTTCTTTTTTCTCTGCGATAACTTAGTTTATCTCCTTTCAAAATTGAAATGCTCAGGATTATCTGGAAAAAATTAATTATTAACTTTAATTATTAATTAATAACTTTTTTCATTTTTTTAAATTTAATTATTTTGTCATAATTCTCGTCAACTACCGCACTCTGCTCTAGAGAAAATTTAGTGACTTTATAGTTAAAATTAAAAGGTTTCTATAAAGTCACTAAATTTTTACTAGAGCAGGGTGCGGTAGTTGACGATAATTAAGACAAATGGCGAGTGGGGACAGTGGAAACAAACGGCAGCTTTTTTAAAGCGCCAAATTTAAATCATAACTTGCAGTATATTTAAAAAAAATAGATAATAATTTACTAATTAGACACAACTTAATTTCTAATTAGTAAACTAATTATTTAATTACAAATAATAATAAATAAATCTTTTAAAATTATTAAATAAAAAATAAATACCTTAAAAATGAAATAACACTATTTCATATGAAAAATAAATTCTTCTTTTACAGGAAGTAACTGACGTGGATGAACAGAGCAAATTAGAACCAGTGAAACCACGTCCAAAGCCAACGGCCTCCTGGCCACCGCCACTTCCGACTCATCCTCCACATCACACAATTCCTCCAATTCCAACACATCCTCCACATTTTGCCGGTGGTGCCACGGCCGCTAGTCCCACTTCAAAACCATCATTAGCGTCATCGTCACAGAAACCCACAAGTGCCACATGGCCAACAAAAAAACCCGCCTACTGGCCACCTGGAATTCCAACCTCGTTACCAGGATTACCATCGGAAGTGCCACTTGCCCCCAGTAAACCGCCAACTACATCGGTGATTCCAACTACTTCTTCACCAATTGATTCTGGTTATTGTGGCTCGAAAAATGGACCACAAAAAATTTCTGACTCCGATCGTATTGTCGGCGGTCATAGTACAAAAATTGGCGAATGGCCCTGGATTGTGGCACTTTTTAATGCAGGTCGACAATTTTGCGGTGGATCGCTGATTGATAATATTCACATTCTGACTGCAGCTCATTGCGTTGTCAAGTAGGTAGAATTTTTTTTACACCCAATTGCAAATTATGCTGTTCTTCCGGTTTGAATGCATTTTGAAAAGTCGTGTCACTTCTATAGTAATTTTATTATAGTTCGTGGCGTATGGTTGCGCGTACAACTCCAAGTTTCACGCCACGAACTAATAAAATTATTATAGAGGTGTCATGACTTTTCAAAATGCCGTCAAACCGGAAGAACAGCTTATAATTGGATATATTTATATAAGTTGAATATTTTAATCTCTCCTAATATGACTATTGTACACAGCATGAATTCTTGGGATGTAGCGAGATTAACAGTACGTCTTGGTGATCATAATATAAAAACGAGCACAGAGGTTCGTCACATTGAGAGACGAGTGAAACGTGTTGTTCGACACAAAAATTTCAATTCAAGAACTCTCTACAACGACGTGGCACTTTTAACTCTTAATGAACCCGTGGAATTTTCCGAGCAAATACGACCAATTTGCCTACCATCCGGTCGTGATCTCTATCATCATCAGGAAGCCACTGTCATTGGTTGGGGCTCACTTCGAGAAAGTTAGTTTTGATTTATTTTTTTAATCGAAGTTATTTCAACTTTTTATTAACTTAATAATTTACAAAAATGTATTAATTATAACAAATTAATTATAGTCTTGAAATTATTGTGAACAAGCTAAAAAAGAAATTTCATTTACCTTTTTTAAAGGCGGTCCACAACCGGCGGTTTTGCAGCAAGTGACAATTAAAATCTGGTCCAATGCCGAGTGTAAAGTAAAATACGGAGCCGCTGCACCAGGTGGAATTGTAGACAGTTTCCTGTGCGCAGGACAAGCGCAAAAAGATTCCTGTTCCGTAAGTATAAATTTAAGGCGTTTCAACAATATACACCAAATTGCATGAATACTACACTTCCGGTTTGACGACATTTTTAAAAATCGTGACACTTCTGTAATAATTTTATTAGTTTATGGAGCATGACGTAACCAATGTACTCTTGTGGTCAGATATTTCTACACAATTTTGTCCTTTTCTAACGCACTTGTTGCCATGACAATATGTGAGTTAGAAAAGGACAAAAAAGTTTAGGCATGTACGGCCAAGAGTGTCACGACTTTTCAAAATCCCGACAAACCGGAAGGATAGCACACTAACACTTTGGGAAGGTTGCTATTGTCACCTCCCGCTATTTGTCATAATTCTCGTCAGCGACCGCACCCTGCTCGAGTGAACATTTAGTGAAATTCTAGTTAAAATTAAAAGTTTCTATAAAGTCACTAAATTTTTACCAGAGCATGATGCGGTAGTTGACGAGAATTGTGAAAATAATTTTGTTTTATTACTAAAAAAGTAGTAGCCGAATTTAGATTATTATTAAGCAGTTAAGCTCATTATTATTCATCATTAATATAAAACAACCTTTTTTTCTTTCTTTACTGCGATGACTTAATTTATCTCCTTTCAAAATTGAATTGCTCAGGATTATCTGCAAAAAATTAATTATTAACTTTAATTACTAATCAATTACTTTTCTTATTTTTTTAAATTTAATTAATTACCTCAATTATTTTAACTTTTTTTCATCATTTTCTTCTTCTTCCTATTCTCCAGGGTGATAGTGGAGGTCCGTTAATGGTAAACGACGGTCGCTGGACCCAAGTAGGAATAGTGAGCTGGGGAATTGGATGTGGTAAGGGCCAGTATCCAGGTGTTTACACGAGAGTCACGCACTTCCTGCCATGGATAAGTAAAAACTTGAAATAGAAATTGCCACATCGTCTTTAATCACTGATATAAAATTACCAGTTTCCTCCAGTCGTTCATCTCTTCTTTCATCGTCATCGCGCGTCTCCTATGAGCTTGGACCCTATATATATATGTAAACTAACCAGTCGCAAAATAATTACTGATTAAATATATATATATATACGGGAATCGTGATCATATATATATATAACAAAAAACTGCAGAGTGAAAAATATTTTATTGTTTTTCGAACAAGTTTTACATTTGATGTTATATATTATATGAAAATCTTTGATTTTTTGTGTATCTTCAATTGCCATATTTTTTATCATAAAAAAATGAAAATTAGGCTTTAGAAATATATTTTAGAAAATAAGAAGAGATTACTAGTTGTAAATCATATTTTCAAGTTGATTTTATATTACAAATCATCTAGAAAATTACATTATATTTTACGAATTTACAATTCGGTATAAAATAAAATTTAAACACACAAAAAATTACGTCGTTTTCAATTTTTGTTGACATAACCTAATTTTGCGATTTTTAATTAATTAATTAAGAAAGTGAAACTATTGAAATAAATTAAAACTTACGAAATATATAAAGTACTTGCGATGAACTTTTAAATTTACTTAACTATTCTTCTATGAAAAAAAATTCTTTTTAAATTTTCTAGGACTTAAAGGATTGCCAACTGAAAAAAAGACTAGGAATTACATGTGAAATAAAAACAAATTCGTGTACTAAAGTAAAAACCGATTTAAAAAGAAAATCAATTTTTTTATATTGTAAATCTTTCTTTCAAAAAGCACATTCCTTTATAGATTATTTTATATGACTATATACATACGATCAAGTATATAAAATAAAATAAAATTTACGTCCCTAATTTCTGATTATTTTTCTTTTCTAATATAATTAAAATACTTTTTTTTCTATATATACGAATGTTACGTCTCACAATTGCTCACGTTCAAGTGTTGCATGATATTCCGTGCTGAAAAAAAAATTACTTTCTTAAAAATCAATTATTTTTCAAATTACTTCAAATTGTTAAATATTACTCGACAGTATTGTAACTTTTACAAAAAAAAATTTATAAATAAAAAAAGTAGAGTAAGTTTTACAAAATAGTATTGTAACTATTGCAGAATAGTAAAACATTTACTGTAACAGTTACTCAACAGCATAGTAAATTTTACGTAATTTTTTAAAATAATCAAAAAACAAAATGAATATAAAAAAAAATTACCTTGAAAATAACACGTGTCGTAATTATCATCAGGCTGTGGTATAAATGGTGGCGTCGCCTTTTGTGGCTCGTCCCATGGAAAATCATTGAACAGCGCCATTTTCCGCACCTCGGCCGCAGTTGGCCGAACATTTTGATCGAGTGTAAGTAATGCATCAATGGCATTTGTCACCGATTCGGAAAGTGCTTCGTCATTTTCTGGCCACGTTACATTTCTATCGAGAATATTTGCAAACACCGCCTGCGGCGTCTCGTCATTAAACGGCGGTACACCAGTGCAAAATTCATATAAACAGACGCCCAATGCCCACCAATCGACAGCCGGACCATGACCTTGTCTCAAGAGTAATTCCGGTGCCAAATAATCCGGTGTACCAAGAATTCTCTCGTCTGATCGACTTAGAACTTGCTGAACACCTCTTCGCACTGATTTTGGTGTTCTGAAAAATTTTTCGATTAATAATTGTGTGATTTCAACCTTAGGCCTTATTTCCACGTAACTTTATTGTGGATACGGCCTAATAGAAAGTTTTGATTCGTTCGGTTGGTTGCCATTTGTTCTATTTCTCGTCAACTACCGCACCCTGCTCTACTGAAAATTTAGTAAATTTTAATTTTAACAATAAAGTCACTAAATTTTCACTAGAGCAGGGTGCGGTAGTTGACGAGAATTATGACAAATGGCGACAATGGAAACCAACCGTTCACATTGCCTAAGGGTACGATCACACTGTCTCATACATGCAAAAGTACACCCAATTGTATAAATTCTGTCCTTCCAGATTGATGACATTTTGAAAAGTCGTGAAACTTCTATAATAATTTTATTAGTTTATGGCGTAACCAGAAGAATGAGGTAGAGAAGGATAGATATATTGTTTGTCCTTCTCTAACTCATTCTTTCGCTTGCGTTTGCTCAGGCCTTAATAGCAGACCCCATACACTAATGAAATTATTATAGAAGTGTCACGACTTTCCAAAATGTCGTCAAACCGGAAGTACAGCATTTATGCAATTGGGTATAAATAAAAAAGAATACGAACCTAAAAGGTGTGTACACATCCCCACCGCTTCTTGCAGGCGTTTTAATCGGCGAAATCCCCTGCGGAGATCTATGTTCCACATTTAAACTCTCGACACTTATATCGGGAGCCGAATTCGAAGGAGGTAAATCAAATCTCGTCGTTTTGACAATTCCCTTTTTTTCTTCCTGCATCAATTGTTGTTTCCTATCAGGCCAGTGTCGATCTTTATTTTCCGATACTGGTGTGCTAAATGCCACTCTTCCACCTGATGCACCTTCAGAATTACTTTTCCCTCTGGCCTCATCTCTCAATTTTGATGTAACACTAACTGGCGTTTTATTGCAATTAAAAATATGACCTCGATTCTTTCTCTTTGGCGTGAGATCACCGCCTTCCAATTCCATTAGATTAATTTCCCTCGTAAGTCCCGTACTTCCCGCATTATGATGCAATCGTTTTCTCTTGGTACCCCTGGCAAATGAATTAACACAACTACTCAATGGACTGACAATATGATGATGACGCGTCTTCTCAGCCTCCAAAGTCGATTCCTCCTCATTCTCAGAATGTTTGCCATTATTAACAGCCAATGGAGAAATTCGTCTCTTAAATGCATTATCCGAAAATGCTTCGCACGTATGATAACTTCCGGAACTAATCAAATCATTATTGGTTTCTGTATATTTAAGTAAATCTTCAGCTGATTGAAAGGGATTAATACCCGAGACATTGGAACGATCACCAGGCGGTGTTGAACATATGGAACTCATAGACATTTGCATAGATTTGCGTTGAAGTGTCGGAAGTAAATTACAAACAAGATCACTTCCACCACTGAATTCAAAATGATTTGAGTCATTGTTTGTTTTTTGTCCCGATCCAAAGGAAAGATGAGAAGTGAGTGACAATAATTGACCTGGAGTTCGGGTACAGAGACTTGGTGTACAATTAACAAGATCCGAGATTTCAAGATCCCTATGAAGAGTTGATATTTTGCTGAGGCCAAAATCGGTTAATTTCACGTGACCCTCTCGTGAAAGAAGCATATTGTCGGGTTTAAGATCGCGATGTACAATTCCATGTGAATGAAGATACTCGAGAGCGAGAGTGACTTCAGCGGTGTAAAATGCCGCCATTGATTCTTCCATAAAACCACAATAACTTACAAGACTTTTGAGATCACCACCCACCATGTATTCCATCACAAGATAAACATTGCTGAGCGTTTGCAGTGAATAGAAAAGTTGAACACAATATGGACTTCTCGTTATTGCCAATGCATTACGTTCAATGACAACTTGTGAGGCCATATTTTTGTGGATCATTTCATTTTTTTTCATTACCTTTATAGCGTAAATTAATTCTGGATTTGTTTTTTTGTAGCCGAGGAAAACTTTTCCAAATGCACCTCTACTGATTGGTTTCACTATTTTGAAATCCGTTATCTCTGGCACCTGCAATTAAAAATTTTTGAGGTTAATAAAAATTATTTTAATTAACAGTTAATTATTTAGTATAAAAAATGTCTGTTTTGAATTTGAAACTATCTTAATGTGGAGGGAAGTGAAAAAAATTTTGAATTGTAAAAGGACCTTAATCTTGGGTTAATTTTTACCGAGTGGGGGGAACTGCAGAGGGAAAAGTTACTGAGGAACCTGCGAAATGTGACATCACTATTGAGCATATGTTCACATTTTAGAGATTTTACTGTTCTACAATAACTTTCTCACAAAACTGTCACATTTCAGACGTTCTTCTACAAATAGTTTCCCATCTAGGTAACGCGGTTTAGGTTGGTTTCCATTGCTAAAGGCATGAGCAGAATAGAAAGGTAACCGTAATCGTAAACGCAACCGGATTACGATTCCGATTATGTTTCTATTCTGCTCATGCCTTAACGCAGAGAAGAAAGAAAAAAAGTTTGTTTTATATTAATGATGAATAATAATGAGCTTAACTGCTTAATAATAATCTAAATTCGGCTGCTACTTTTTCTATAGTAGAAACGAACCGTTTAGTGAGGTTATGTTGCAAAATAATTTTACATTCTTAAAAAGAAATTTCCGATTCAAGTCGTTATAATTTTTAAAGTTTTTTTTTATTTAATAATATGTTGATCAAAACTGATATGTATTTTTTTTCGAGTTCAAAAAGTATTATGAAGTCTAACATATATTTATTTACGTAGCTCAATTATTTACTTTTTTTAAATTATCTGCGAAACATGAGAACATAACCTAAAAATTTTCGATCTTTATAATTGTCAAAATAGATTCAATAAATTTCTTATTAATGGAAAATTAATCATTAAAAATGAATGCCTATTCAAATCGCTACGTAAATAAAAATTAGTTTATTTAAAAAATATTTTGGTTTCTCAATTTTTTTTTTTTTTTTTTTTTTAGTGAAAATTATCTTTAAGTACATATTAAAAATAGCCAATTTTTAATTTGAACAATTTATTACAAAACAGTACAAAATGTTACACAAATTAAGAACGAATATAATAATTCGGAAAGAACATTTTTCCGACAAAAAAACCTTGTAGTCTTTTTTTAACATAATAACTTTTAAATATAATAAATAACATAAAAGTATATAAAAGAAAAATTTTTAATTTTTCAAAAAAAAAGTTTTTTTAAATGTTAAACATTTACGACGATTATTTTTTTTAAAAAAAACCCATTATTTCTTATTCAAAGCTGTACCAAAAATTCGAAAATCTTTCGAATCAAGACTTTTAAAAATCATTTTAACAGCATCAGGCGGTAATTTTCGATTTTTTGTGAAAAAATCAAATGTTTTATTGACAAACTTTTTTAAAGTTTTCGCCCTTTGTTGACGACTCTCCAAAAAATGGTTAAAACACGGAAATTCTTTTTTATAATCACCGGCAATTAAAATCTGATTTAATTTACCATTCTTAACATGCTGAACCGTAGTGTAAAAATCTTGAGTTAAAAAATCAAAATACGTAATTCCCGATTGTTTTAAAATTGTCATTGATTTTAATTTTTTCACTTCATTTTTTGCTTCATGAAAAAATTTAAATGCCTCTTGTACTTTTACATCGTTATGTTTAATAAATTTTTGTAAATAATCACCTAAATCCTTTTCCCGCAGAGCAATATAACAAACAAGAAGTTTATGATTATCTTTAAATCGAAATAAATTATATCGTTTATAATCATCTTCATTGACATTGAATATCGTTTGAAACTTGGCTCCCAATTCCAATAAACATTCAACAACACTTGACGATGAAAAATCGATTGCAATCATTAGTACACTTTTATCAATAAGTGTTTCTTTTGCATTAACATCAGCACCATGATCAACTAAATATTCAATTGTCTCTAAACACGATGTTTTACCCTCATTGTCCTTAATTGCCATCATTAATGGTGTATAACGACATTCGCCTTTAAAATCAATTTTCAATCCATTTGACAAAAGAAATTCAATCATTTTCACACAATTTCCCTGTGCTGCATGATGAAGCGCCGTATTTCCATCCATATCAACATCTTCTAAATAGGCATTGCATTTCAATAATAATTTTACTTCCTTAAAACGTCCCATTTTACATGCCTCATGTAATGCCGAAGCACCATTTTCACCACGATTATTTGGATTAGCACCATTTTTCAACAATAATTTCATTATTTTTAAATTGAATGTTGATTCAACTTCTGTGTATTTTTTCACACGATCCGTATACTCGTGATAAAATTCATCATAAAAATAGCCATCAGTCGATTTTAAAAGTACTTTTGTTGTACTTTGTCCACAAACATGATAAAGTGGATTTCCCTGACAGCAACGATTTACATTCACATAGGCATCAAAATTAAGAAGTATTTGACAAATTTCATAATTTTCAAGGCACGCCGCATAATGTAGAGGTGTGAGTTTTTCACAAGTTTTTGCATTTGGATCGGCGCCATTCTCCAAAAGAAATTTCACAGAAATTGGAATTTCTTCCCTCACAGCATAATGTAATGCAGTTCTATCGAAATAACCCTGAAAATTAATATCCAAAGGTGCTTGTGGTATATATCTTACATTACAACCGCCTTCAATAAAATAATCCCTATTTGCTTTACGTGGTTTTGTTCTCTCTAATTTTCTCTCAGCAGGCGATAGAGAATTTAAAAATTTTCGACAATCACGTAAAATAACTTCTAATATATAACCACATGCAATACGAGCGGCAAAAAATATTAACAATGGATAATCATTTTTTTGAATATTAAATAATTTTTTATTCCTTAAAATTGTTTTAATCATTCCCATTGTGCCTTCAAGATTTTCCTCTTCCGAATCTTCTTCGCTTTCTTCTTCTTCTTCTTCTTCTTCGAACGATAAATTTTCCTCTAAATCTGAAGACAGGTCAAAATATTCCTCATCTTCTGATACTTCCATCGTTTCTTCTTCTTTTTTATCTTGTAAATTATTTCCGTTTTTTGCATCAAGTACAATTTTTTTTACAATTAAACGCAATGTTTTCTCTGGACCATGAAGTAAAGCGAGATGCAATGGTGTTACACCCTGTTTACTTGTAATATTAATATTTGCTCCATGTTCAATGAGAATTTTTACAAGTTGAATATCATCATTTTTTATTGCATTAAAAATTGCCGTCTCACCATTTTTATTTGGTAAATTAACATTAGCGCCTAATTCACACAATTGTTTGATATTTTCTGCTGTACCACATTTTGCCGCAATGTGTAAAAATGTTGAACAATTAGAGTGAAATTGTTTCTGTAGAATGCCCTCTTCTTTTATTAACAATGAAATGAGATAATTATTTTTTTCCTCAATTGCTTTGGAAAATTTTACAAAACGTTCATCAATTATTTCTTCCTCTTCGTCGTCATCGCTTATATTGTAATCGAAATTGGACATTTTTTAAAAAAAAAATTTTATCTGTAAGAAAAAAGAAAGGGGTAAATTTATTTAGTTTCAATTTAATTTTTCTTTATTTAAAAAAACCAAAATTTATTAAAATAAATATTGCAAACTATATTTAAATAAAGTGGAAAAAAAGAAACAATTTTTTTAAATTCCAAACAAATCAATTTAAATTAATATTTATGTATAAATTATAATATTACGTTTTTGAAAGTGAATAAAAAATTTTTAAGAGTCAAATTGAAAAAAATAAATATAAATAAATAAAATAAATAAAATAAATAAAATAAATAAAATAAATAAAATAAATAAAATAAATAAAATAAATAAAATAAATAAAATAAATAAAATAAATAAAATAAATAAAATAAATAAAATAAATAAAATAAATAAAATAAATATAAATAAATCAAAATACTACGTTTTTGAAAATCAAAAATTTGAAAAAATAATGAAATAAAGAAAAAAAATTAATTTTAGAATTAGAAAAAATGTGAAAATTTAAAAAATGGAATGTTTTAAAAAAGAAAAAATTAAAAGAAAAATCGATAATCGTTGACAACGAAATTTTTTTTTTCGAGAAATATTGCAAAAATTTTGAGGTTAGAATCACTTTTTTTTGAGAAAATATTTAAAAAATTGAAATCCTATTGAATTTATTAAATACAATTATATATTTTTCAAAATAATTAATTACATTTATCATTTTTTTTTTTAATAATAATTAGAAATAATTTATTACAAATTAATTTATTACAATTTCAAGGCAATGGAAATTATTTTACACAAAGAAAAATATATCATAATTTTATTTGACAATTTATAATAATTAAAACTTTACTCACCCAAAATAAAATAGAAGTGAAAATGAAAAATTTCTTTCTCAGAGCAACACAATTTTTTATAAAAATGTAACAATGATGCAAATGGATTAAAAAGAGAAGTAAATTCCAAAAATATTCGTTAAATGTTTCTTCATTTGTCTTTATTTATCAATTTATCTTTATTTTTTTTTCTCGAATATGGCAACACTGATCAGTGAATGGCAACTGCGCTAAAAATTCGTTTGATTGGTCAGAAAAAAATTACGCGCTCTTATTTGAAATACTTTAAAAATGAAAATAATAAAAAAAAAATGGAAAATATGTTTCATCTAATTTAAAAAATAAATTTTATAAACACAAACCACATTAATTATTTATTATACCAATTTTTTTAGAATTACATAATTTTTAAATAAATAAATAATTATTAATAGAGAAATTATAATTATTCACTATTTAGTAAATTACACGAAAAAAATAATATTATGGCAATAATAAAAATTCTTGTTAAAAACAATATTAATAGTAAACAGTCTTTTTCGTTGATAAAATTTTTTTTCTTCAGTTTCACTAAATTTTCATCCAGTTCCACATCATTTTTTCTTTCTTCAATTTCAAAAGATAGTATATTTTTTTCTAAAAATAAATAATTTTTTTTCCCAATTTTTGTGAATAATTTTTTTTTTTTCTTCAATGACTTTTTTTCATTTAATTGACTTTTTTTAATTAACCAATAAATTTTTTTCAAACAATAAGTAATATATTTCAATGGTTGAATCATTGTAAATATTGATAAATTTTGAAGAAAAAAAATTGTTTCCTAGGCGTGAAGAAATTCGAAATTTATTATCTGCAATAAAAAAAATTTTAATTAAATTAATTTTCTCCACCTAAAGAATTAATACTAATTATTATTGATATTATAAATTTAATATTAATAAATTAATTAATAAATAATTTATTTATTCATTTATAAATTAATATTTAGACTTTAGTGAAAAAAATAATTATTTAATCAAAATAATCGTTTATTTTTGACTATATAAATAATTATTTGAACCAAATATTTTTTATTTCAATCAAATAAACTTTATTTTACTTACCTAAAAATAAAAAGAAAGTGAAAATAATAAATCTGCGTCGAAAATTCAAATTTCCAATGAGCACAACACTTATAAAAAAAATTAAAAATTTTTTTTTGTGCTTTTCCAAATATAAAAATATTTATTCTTTTTCAATGACACAAAAAAATATTCTGTATGATTCTTATTCCGATTTTCTGAATATTATGAATTATTTTTTGTATTACCACAAAAAAAAAATTATCATGAAATTGAAAACTTACGTCAATTATATTTATTTTCGAAATTCAATATTGAAATAATTATATTACACAGTAAATATATATATAAATATTTTCTCAAATAAAAAAGAAATAAAGTAATGAAATTTTATTGAATTTTATGTCATTTCATTTCAATGGATTGTTTTATATATTACGCGGTCGATTTTTTTTAATGGATGATTAATAATATAAAAATACAATAATATTTGTCAAAAGTGGAACGAATATTTCACAATAAATATTCACGTGAATATTTCCTCAATATTTTTCATAATAATTATTATAAAATTAGTAATAAAAAAATAATTTTCATTTATTTTTATTTATTTATAATACAACAAATAATAGTAACAAAAATGAAATTATAATTTTTTTTATAATTTAATTTACAAAAAATTACGAAGTAAAAAATTTTTTTTTTTTGCACTCAAAATCACTTTTTAGTCAAAATTCTTCCAAAAATACGAAAATCAATAGAACGAAGTCGTCTCATTATCATATCAACGGCAAGAATTGGCAATTGTACTTTACCACCGCAATTTAAAATAAAATCAAAAATTTTATCAATCGAACACTCTAAATTTTCCACTCTCTTAAAACGATTCTCCAATAAATAATAATAACATGGAAATTCTTTTTTATAATCACCAATTGTTAAAATTCTCCTTATATTTGTATTCTTAATAAGTTGATAGCTACTATAAAAATCACGTGTTAAAAAATCATAATACGAAATTCTCGTCTCATTTAAAATTCTCATTGTTCGTAATTTATTAATTTCTAATTTTGATTTTTGAAAATAATCCCTTGCCTCTTGTATAATTTTTCTCTTATTACCAACATAACTAACAATAAAATTATCCAATTCTTGATTATTATTTTCACATTTTAATGCGGCAAATGAAATTAAAATTTGTCTACTCTCTTGAACGCCGGGAAAATAAAAACTCGATAATATTTCACCCATTGCCGGTGAATTATAATTATCCGTTTGATAATTCATTTTCCAATCGGCGCCTAATTCTAAAAGACATTCAATAACATCGGCCCAATCAAAATAAGCAGCTATATGTAAACAAGTTGCACCATTTCCATTACGTGCATTAATATTTGCACCGCAATCAACGAGATATTCAATTATTTTTAAACATTTACGTCTTTCATTTTGTACAGCCAACATTAATGGCGTGTAATTATTTTCATTTCTACAATCAATATCGAGATTCAATTCAAGTAAAAGATGAACAATTTCTTTTGAACAACCAATTGCTGCATGATGGAGAGCGGAATTTTTTTCATAATCTAAAATACGATAATTTGCATTGTATTTGAGGAGAATTTTCGCTTCTGATAATCGTCCAGCTCGACATGCTTCTAAAAATGGTGTCGTTCCCTGACTACCACGACATTCAGTGTCTGCATTATTTTCAAGTAATAATTTCATTATTTCCCCATTGAATATCACTTCTGGCTCATAATAGGAATTCATACGATTCATAAATGTATTGTGTATCTCATCATAATAGTAGCCATCGCCTGATTTTAGGAGATTTTTCATTTCACTTCTACCGGCGATAACGTAAAGTGGTGAACCTTCACGTGATGATTCGACATTTACATCGGCGCCATGCTCAAGAAGAAGTTGTGAAATTTCTAAATTTTCCAATGCCACCGCATAATGAAGTGGTGTAAATTTATCCCTCGTTGAACAATTTACATCCGCACCTTCTTTCAGAAGAAATTCAACAATTTTTGTTTTTTCCTCACGTACCTGTGAGGTGAAAAAAAAAAGATTTTTTCTCAATATAAAATTAAAAAACTATTTTTTCTTCTCAGGCTTCAAAGTGTGAGTAGTAAAAAAAAAAGTAAGTCTCCAAAATTCAAAAAAATAAAAAAATTATCGTTAAAGTAAAAAAATATATAAGAAAAAATTTTATTATAAATTAAATTATTTTTTAAGACGAATTTTAATTTTTCAAAATTGGCAACAAAATTCCTTTTTATACGAATTTTTATTTAAGAAAAAAATTTAGTTACCGAATTTATGTCGAAATTTTTAATTTACAGTTTTTTTTTTACATAATTTATTTAAGAAAATTTCAATTTAGCCAAATTCTTATTCAATCGAATTTTTAAATTACAAATTCCAATTGACCGAATTTTTAATTGTACGAATTTTTATTTCTACGAATTTCTATTTGTACGAACTTTTAATTGATAGATTTTTTGCGACGCCGAATTTTCATTTATCCGAAATTATAAATGTTCAAACAAACAATCGACAGAAAGATTTTGGCATAATTTTTCAAAAATTGACCAATAACAATTTTCTTGATAATTTCTATAATTTGGTGAATTTTAAAAATTACGCGGAAATCATTTTTGTCGATTATTTGTTTGAATATTTGTAATTTCGGTCAAATTAAAATTCGGCGTCATAAAAAAATTGGTAGAAATTAAAATTTATAGAAATTAAAATTCGGTTTCGCAAAAAATTCTATCAATTAAAAATTCGTGCAAATTAAAATTTGTAGAAATTAAAATTCGGTTTCGCAAAAATTCTATCAATTAAAAATACGTATAAATTAAAATTCGGGCAAATTAAAATTCGTACAAATTAAAATTCGGCTTCGCAAAAATTCGTACAAAATAAAAATTCGTGCAAATTAAAATTTATAGAAATTAAAATTCGGTTTCGCAAAATATTCTATCAATTAAAAATTCGTACAAATTAAAATTCGTGCAAATTAAAATTTGTAGAAATTAAAATTCGATTTCACAAAAATTCTATCAATTAAAAATACGTACAAATTAAAATTCGGGCAAATTAAAATTCGCGCAAATTAAAATTCGTACAATTTAAAATTCGGCTTCGCAAAAATTCTATTAATTAAAAATTCGTACAAATTAAAATTCGGGAAAATTAAAATTCGACTTCGCAAAAATTCTATTAATTAAAAATTCGTACAAATTAAAATTCGGGAAAAATTAAAATTCGGTGACTTGGAATTTCTGTTATTTAAAAATTCGAATCACATAAAATTCAATTGAATGAGAATTCTATTAAATTAAAATTATTTCAAATAAAAAATCATGTAAATGAAATAACAGTAAAATGAAAATTTTCCATCAATTAAAAATTCAGTAGCTATAAATTTTATTAAAAATAAAAATTCATATAAAAAGAAATTCTGTCAAATTTTAATTTTAAAAATTGAAAAAATTTCAAAAAAAAAAATATATTTCTAATAAAATTACTTTAAAATAACAATTTTAATTCATAATTTTATTATTACAAACTTTAAAGAAATTCTAATAGAAATTTTTTCAAAAATAATTTGAATCAAGTATTTTAATATTTAGTTTTCAAAATAATATAATTTTCAAAGAACTTTAGTTGAAAATTTGCAAATTATTGTATTTTTCAAGGATTTTAATGGAAATTTTTGAAAATAATTAAATTTCTGATGATTTAAATAAAAAAAAAAAAAAATTGTAAATAATTGAATTTTCAAAGAATTTTAATTGCAATTTTCGAAACGAATTAAGTTTTTCAATTAAATTTATTGAAAAGCGTTTAATTACAATTTTTTTTCTGAAATAATTGAATTTCAAAGAATTTTAGATTTATTTAAAATAATTGAACTATTTTATGAATATTTGAAAAAATAATTTCATATTTGAAGAAAAATAATCAAAAATATTAAAAAAAAAAAAATTGTACTTTAAAGCCTGAATTAATTGTTTATATTTTTATAATTTTACATACCGCGTAATGAAGAGCTGTTCTTTCAAAATAACCCTGAATATTCAATTCTTCCGGTGCCATTGGCAGTATTCGTTTGGAAGAAAATTTTTCCTTTAAATTTTCCATCTTACGTGAATTTAAAAATTCCCGACAATCACGTAAAACTAATTGTAAAATATAAGAACTTTCACTTTTTGCAGCAAAATATATCAATAATGGATAATCCTTATCAATAATATTCAATTGTTTTTTATATTTCAATAAAAATTTCATTAAATTTATTTTATTTTCAAATTTTTTCAATTTTAGTTCATTATTTTTTTTCAAATTTTCCCCATTTGTTGGGAAATTTTCTATCGATTGTAAATTATTTTCGAAATTTTTTTCTATTAATAAATTTTCCATCGTTGAATTGGTGTCAATAAATTTTTCCAATAAAATTTGAACAGTTTCCTCTGTACCATGAAGTAATGCAAGATGAAGTGGCGTTGTACCAATTTCACATTTAATATTTATTGATGCATCATAATTCAATAATATTTTTGTCATTTCATATGAATTTTGAACAGCATAAAAAATTGGTGTCTCGCCACGTCTATTTGTTACATTGACATTAATATTATGTTGACACAATTGGCGAACAATAGAGGCTGTGCCACGTTTTGTGGCAACATGTAATAATGTTAAATCATCATAGCTAAATTTTTTCTCAAGTATTCCACGTTTTTTTATTAATAATTCAATAAAATTTTGATTATTTTCTTTAATTGCTTTTTGAAAATCAGCAAAACACGCATAATAATCCTCATCAATTTGTGAATCTTCAATATCCATTATTCTTTTTTTTTTCTTTTTTATTTCTGCAAGAAAATAACTATTTGCAATATATTTTTTTTCCATTTTATTATTATTATTATAATTTACCCGCAGATAATATAAATTAAAAAATTTTACTTACCTAAATGAAAAAAAGTAAATAAAAGTTTTGCGTCAAATTTAAAGTATAATTTCTAACAAAAAAAAAAAAACACTTGGAAAAAAAAGTTCAATAAACTTTTTTTGTGATTTTTCATAGAAATAGAAATTATAAAAAAATATGTTCCTTCCCTTCCGGCGTGTAGACGAAATAAACACTACGTGACTTTTATATACTTCAACTGCGTGTATTATGACTTATTATTATTATTATTATGAAATTTTACATGCGTCAGGCATGTAACTATTTCCGAAATTCCCATGATATTTTAAAAAAAAAATATTATATACAAATTAAAATAGACAAAATAAAAAAATTTACCTCGTAAAAAACATTTTTTTCTATTTTTATTTCTTATTATTTTCATTTAATGATTTAAAATAATTTATAAATGAGAAATTGTTTTAAAATATTTTCAAATTTCAATAAAAAGTAATAATATAAGGTGAATTATTAGGTAAAAAAAAAAAATTCGGAGAAAATAGATTAACACCTATTTTGTAAATAGAAATATTAATTACAAGAATACAACAAATAATAATAATAATAATTTCGTAATAAAAAGAAATTTTTAATTTTAATTTAATTAGATATTAAAATAAAATAAAATAATTGTCATTTAATAATAATAATAAAAAATAGTAATTATTTTAATAACAATAACAATGACAACGATTATAATAATAATAATAATAGTAATAATAATGTAATAATCTATAGGCAATTATTATTATACAATTTTCGTAATTATTTATCAAAAGTATAAATAAATACGGTAAATTTTATTATAGAGCCAAAAGAATATTATAAAGTTTGTAATATGGAAAAAATCTATTTTAGATTCATTAATATATAAATAAAGTACGCGAGAAAAACAATTAATAAACAATTATGGCAAACATAACCTATAAATTCGTAATATACGAATTGTATATATAAAATATTAAATAAATGACAGATAAATATTTTAAATGGGGGAAAAAATTGATAAATTCAACAAAAAAAAGTATATAAATGGCAAACATTAAACAATAAACAATAATATAATAACTATTATATCGTTTGAAATTTACCTTGGCTGCAGGATTGACGATTTTTGAAATAGTATTGAAAATAGAATGATCTATTTGTTTTTCATTTTGTTCGGGTGTTTTTTCACAATTTCTTATTTGTTCCTCATTAATTTCCAATTCATCATTATCATTTTTTTCCCTAGGACTTTTCACTTCGCCACTCTCAAAATTTTGACCCGATTCTTCACTCATTTCAACACCTGAATCAGTTGTAATTTCCAACTTTTTTTCCATAATACACAAACACACGGGCACAATTTTTATTTTTATTTTATATATGTATCAGGAAATTCCTGATATTTACATATATATATTTAACTACATATATTTTTTTTTTTGAAACAAAAATTTCTATACTTTTAATTTCTGATTATAAATGTTTTACAAATTTAAAAGTCTAACCTCAAAATGTTATTAATATACCGAAATCACATTTTATAATCTTTTTTTCTGAATTAATATTCACTTAACGGAAATGAATTTATTTTCTTTTGTCACACGTAGAAAAAAAGAACTATTTTATAATACGCGATTGTTTAAAAATATTTTCGGAGCTCGTATTTGGAGCATTATTTAACACACACACACACACACAGAAACGACAACAAACTTTTTAGCGGTAAAAATAACAGGATATTAACCGGTTTACAACTGTCAAATGACAGGAAGTGTTGCTATTTTGATTTTTTTTAACATTTGGCGGGAATATTTGAAAACGATGATTAGCAAGAGAGAGAGATAATAGAAAATTATTATTTATATTTTAATTTAAATTATTTAAAGGAAAATAAAAAAAAAGTAAAAAAATATAAAATAACTAGAACACACTTTTTTTTATTATAAATAAAAAAATATTAAAAATCTGTTTTTTTTTTGAAAATAATTACCAACGGGACAAATAAAAGTAAATTTAGTTTAGTAAATTAAAAATTAAATTTAAATTAATTTATTAATTAATATTTATTTATTTTAAATTTAGTAAATTTGTTTTTTTTTTTTTTATTTTCAATTAAAATAAAGATATTTATCTAGAAAATTTCAATTTTTATTTAAAAATTTAACAAAACAAGTATAAATGTACACTTTTCTATAATTTTATGTTCACTTCATCAAAATTTCCATTGAAAAATTGGAAAAACTATCTAATTACTATTTTACATATAAAATGCGAGTACTTTGTACATTAATAAAAAAAAAATCTCCTCTCTCCATATATTATATTTTTTTTTTAAATAAAAAATAACAATATTTTAGTTATAAATTTTCAATATTTACAACTAAACGTTATTACATTTTATTCACATCTAACGTGACAATATTTACAATATACACTGCGATTGGAAATTAATAATTATTCAATTTTAAAAAATAAAACTCAATTTAAAATTGAATTCATTGAAATTTAAAAATTAAATCCAATTTTCTCTTTCTAAAATTAAATTTAATTTTCTTTCGAAGCAAATTATTTTTGCTATGTCAAAAAAGGAAAACCGAATCTTTTTTTTTTATAAAACCCTAGGAAAATGCAAACATTAAGATAATGAACGAACAACCGACGACGATGGAAGTAAAACTTTTCGCGATAATCTCATTTCACCTGAAACTGGATCCCTACCAAAATATTTAACTTGAATTTCCTGTCCCACCTCATAGCCAAGTGCACTTGGATGACGAATAAAACGCAAATCCAATTGTGAATTATGCAATAATGTTGGCATCATACTATCAAAAAGTTTCACCATAACACCCATTTCACGAAGTTCAACAATTTTTGCCGTATAAATACCACCAAATTCCAATATTGGCTCACGTTCCTGTTCCAATAAATCGCGAATCATTTCATTTGCCTCATCCATTGCCAATTGATTTGGTGCAAATAAAGTGTAATGCGTCTCGTCTTGTGAATTTACCTGGAGAAATCAGAAAAAAAATTAATTTTCCAAATAGAAATTTTTTTTTTTCATTTTTAAAACTAGCTCGCTAACGCTTGCTCGGTTATAGTTGTACTTATTTTTGTTTACTTAAAGTAGATTATGAATATTATATATATATAATTTATGTTTTAAATTAATATCTTATTAATATTGTATAAAATTTATCTTAATTTTGATCAGTATCATTGAAGAAAGAAATGAAAATTGTTAAATATTAGATGTTATTTTTATTATAATTATGACAACAATCTTCTATTATATTAAGTTAACAAATTTCCAAAAACAACAGCGTCCGTTAATATAATAGAAGATGTTTCGTTTTAAATTAAGAAATGTTAAAATTAATAAGTTAAAAACATTTGATTTTAATGACACTTAAAATTAGACACAATATTATAAGTTACTAACTAAAAATTGAAAAAACAACAATAAATAATAAAAAATTGAAAAAATCAAAAAATTCTTAAAAAATTGCAAATTAACCCTTTTTCGGGTTAAAATTGAAAAAAGATGTTACATAAAAATAGTTTGTAAGATTTTCTAAAAGCATATATATGCAAAGTATTTTGATTTATTTGAAAATAATTGAAAATAGATTTTTCAAGGACGGTGTCGAGGTCACGGGGTCGGTGTCGTTTTTCGAAATTTGTTAACTTAATATAATAGAAGATTATTTACCTGTACGCCTGTGTCGAAGTAAATTTTTTTCACATTTTTTCCAGCAATACCAAAAAGTTTGCCACGTTGATGAATTGAAACTTCAAGAACTTGTGTCACTGGCATATTGTCCTTTTGAATTGTTCTCGGTTGTTGAATTGCCTCATGCATTTTCAAGCGTATTTTCGTTTTTGCCCTTATTGCTTGAGTCAATGCCTCCATGACAATTTTCAATGGTAATCCCGGAATTTTGATATCAGCTTGTAATGCCGTGTAACCATTTTTTGTACCTGCTATTTTAAAATCCATATCGCCTAAATAATCCTCTATACCCTAGAACATTTTTTTTGTTTGATTCTATTTGTAAAAATAATAATTCAAAAAAAGAAATAAAAACTTAAAAAAGAAATTAAACATTTTTAAAAATGATTTTTTTTTTCCTTACTAAAATATCGGTGAGTATACGATAATCTTCGATTTCAGTTTTGCTCTTATTATATTTAGTTACTAGGCCAATGGCAACGCCGGCAACTGATGAATCAATTGGAACGCCAGCATCCATTAACGCCATTGATCCTCCACAAACGGTGGCCATTGATGATGATCCTATTTTTTCATAATAAAACATTAATTACTGAATTTTTAATAATTTAAAAACAAAATTAATGGGAAATTTTTTCTTTCACCGTTCGATTCGAAAACTTCGCTCGTCAATCGAATTGTAAATGGAAAATCATTTGGAATAACTGGACGTAAAGCTTTTTCGGCTAAAGCACCATGTCCCAATTCTCGTCGTCCAGTTCCCGTTCTTCCTGTTTCATTAGTGGCGAATGGAGGAAATTCATAATGAAGAAAGAAATTCTTCTTCTTTATTCCACTGGAATAAATTTAATTAAAATAAAAAAAAATCGACTTTTTTTGCGTTTTAAAGTCGATTTGTAGAAATGAAATATTTTGCAAAAAAAATTTCTAAATTAGAGGGAATAATAATAATTTTTAATTCACCTTGTCATAGATGAAATTATGTCCATTTTCATTGCGCTTTCCAATGAATCAAGTGTCGCTGTACAAAAAACTTGAGTTTGTCCTCGCTGAAAAAGAGCGGAACCATGAAGAACTTTATAAAGATCCACTTCACAATTAATATTCCTAATACCTTCCAAATCTCGTCCATCACATCTGAAATAATAATAATATCATTTCTTTTCTATTAATGAATTAATAAAATAATAATAATAATTTATTACCTTTTATTAGTCTCGAATATTAATTCACGAAAAATATTTCTTGCTATTTTATTAAAAATCTCCGTCACTAATGTGAGATCTAAATTTTCATAACTCTTTTTCATATTATCAAGTGTCTGTTGACGTATATCATTAACAGCATTGTCCCTTGATATTTTATCATGTTTCGAATCAATAAATGTTTCACGTAATTTTAATTCAGCTAAAAATTTCACCGAATTATAAAGTTCATCATAATTCTTTAAAACAATTTCAAAAGCACGTTTCTTTTTACCATATTTTTTCTTTAATTCATCAATTGATTCAATAATACTTTGACATTTTGTCACACCAATTTTAATTGCTTTTCTTAAATCTTGATCAAATATATTATCAGCAAAACCCTCGAGCATTACAACAAGATTATTTTTTGTTGCAGCGACAATTAAATTTAAAATACTTCCATCTAATTCACGTCGTGTTGGATTTAAAATAATTTCATTATCAATAAAACCAATGCGTACAGCACCAACTGGACCATTCCATGGTATATCGGAGAGTGCAAGTGCAGCTGATGCGCCATTTATTGCCAATACATCGGGATCATTAATTCCATCAATTGACAACATATTGCAAATTATTTGCGTTTCATAATTATAACCAATGGGAAATAATGGACGTATTGAACGATCAATTAATCGACTTGTAAGTATTTCATGTTCACTTGGTCCTAGTTCGCGGCGTAAAAAATTTGTTGGAATATGACCAGCGGCTGCGGCTTTTTGACGATAATCAACAGTTAATGGCATAAATGATTGTTGTAAATTTGATGTATATGTTTTACTAACAGCTGTGACAAGAACGTCTGTATTGCCTGCATTTACAACGGCGCATCCATCGGCAAAACGTGCATATTTTCCCGTTGATATCGTCATTTTTTTCCTATATAAAAATTGTTGGAAAAAAATTATTTTTTCAAAATTAAACAAAATACATGAATTTATTGTGTTAGTTTTTTTTTCCCCCGATAATTTAAAACTAAAACTAATAATGAAAAAAAAAATAATATAAATAATCAGGCCTCGAATCGACTTAAAAACACAAAAAAAGTCATTTTAGTTGATTTATGTTCCAAAAAAATGTCGAAAAAGTTAAAGATAATTGAATTACAGGAGAGATTTTTAATTGAAATTATTAAATTTCAAACAATTTTAGATGGTAAATTTTAAAAGCTTTTAAATTTAAATTTTTGAAAATAATTGAATTTCAATTGAAATTTCGGATAATAATTGAATTTTAGTTGATTTTAGATTGAAAATTTTGATAATAATTGAATTTGAATTGAATTTGAATTGGAATTTTTGAAAATAATTGAATTTTAGTTGATTTTGGATTGAAATTTTGGAAAATAATTAAATTTTATTTGATTTTAAATTGAAATTTTGATAATAATTGAATTTTAATTGAATTTGAATTGAAATTTTTGAAAATAATTGAATTTTAGTTGATATTGGATTGAAATTTTTGTAAATAATTGAATTTCAATTGAAATTTTGGATAATAATTGAATTTTAATTGAAATTTTGAAAATAATTGAATTTTAGTAGATTTTGAATTAAAATTTTGGAAAATAGTTAAATTTTATTTGATTTTGAATTGAAATCTTGATAATTGTATTTTAATTGAATTTGAATTGAAATTTTTGAAAATAATTGAATTTTAGTTGATTTTGGATTGAAATTTTTGTAAATAATTGAATTTCAATTGAAATTTTGGATAATAATTGAATTTTAATTGAAATTTTTGAAAATAATTGAATTTTAGTAGATTTTGAATTAAAATTTTGGAAAATAGTTAAATTTTATTTGATTTTGAATTGAAATCTTGATAATTGAATTTTAATTGAATTTGAATTGAAATTTTTGAAAATAATTGAATTTTAGTTGATTTTGGATTGAAATTTTTGTAAATAATTGAATTTCAATTGAAATTTTGGATAATAATTGAATTTTAATTGAAATTTTTGAAAATAATTGAATTTTAGTTGATTTTGGATTAAAATTTTGGAAAATAATTAAATTTTATTTCATTTTGAATTGAAATTTTAGAAAATATTTGAATTTTAAAAGATTTTGAATTGAAAATTTTGTAAATAATTGATTCTGAATTGAAATTTTTGAAAATAATTGAATTTTAGTTGATTTTGGATTAAAATTTTGGAAAATAATTGAATTTTATTTCATTTTGAATTGAAATTTTAGAAAATATTTGAATTTTAAAAGATTTTGAATAAAAAATTTCGAAAATAATTGATTTTGAATTGAAATTTTGGAAAATATTTGAATTTTAAAAGATTTTGAATTGAAATTTTGGAAAATAATAGAAGTTTAAAAGATTTTTAATTGAAAATTTGGTAAATAATTGAATTTCAAAAGATTGTGTTAATTTTTTTTTTTTAATTATAAACAATTATTAAATTACATAAAAATTTTTATTGAAAAATAATTTAAAATAATTGAATTTGTGATAAATTCCATTAAAATTATTAAAAATAATTAATTTAGTGAAGAATTTTTTTTAGTTAAAAATTTGTTAAAGGCCAGGGTAAAGTCGTCAGCTGTTCCTTTGAAGTTTCAATGGAACAGCTGACACAACTTGGACCTGGCCTTAAATAATCGAAATAAACAAGAACTGAAGATCTGCATTTTATACTAAAAAAAACGTATTTTGTTCAAAAATTTTGTAAAAAAAAGTCGAAAAATTCGCATTTTATTAAATCAAGTCGAAAAAAGTCGGAAATAGTCGAAAAAGTCGTATAATCCGAGGCCTGTAATAATAAAAAATAATAATAATAATAAAATAAATAATATAAACAATAAATAAATAAATAATAAAAAAAAAAAATAAAAATGCATAATTCTTCTAATTTCTTTCGAAAAATTAATTGTTTAAAAAAAAAACAAATTAAAATTATATTTTTTTTTATATATTAATTCTATATTAAATTTATCATAATAATAAATATAATTCATGAAAACAAGCACATGTTATACGAATTTTTTTTTAAATACGAAAAAAATAATTTTGAGGTTAGGAAACGAAAAAAATAAAAATTTCAATTTAACAATTATTTTGAAAACAAATTTTCAATTTATAAGAAATAAATGAAGCATAGAAAAGTAAAATAAATGTTTTCTAAACGTAATTACTTTGAAAAATAAGAAATAAAGCAAAAAAAAATAATCAAAAAATGAACAATGAAAAAAATCATACTTACTTGTCAGATAATAAAATTTCAACACTTTTATCGTCATTTTCTTTATATTTTGTACAATAACGAAATTGTTGTAAGACATTTTTTAATCGAACATCTTTAATACTGGAAAATATTAAATTATTATTATTCAATAACCTACATCTTATGAACGCCGCCATTTTTCTTTTTTTTTTACACTGCGCCGGTAACCGGTAGGTTTACCAACGTAAGATAATGAAAATTTTTTTTGGTTGGATGCGTTCAAAATTGTGTGTCGCGCAAGAATTTATTTATATAAATAAATTTTCCCTGCGGTATTATTTTGATGTATGTTTTTAATTAAATTTTGTGAAATTATTATTTATTTATTTATATGTGTATTATTATAAAGTGAATGATTTTAGTTTGATAAATATGAGCTTTGAGGAATTTAAACAAGAAATTGAAATCGGAAGTAGGGATTGTAGAAAAAAAGGAACAATAATAAGAAGTAAAGAACGTGAAGTTATTAAATCAATTATTGAAATTTGTGATCAAGAGGCAAAACAAAAGTCTTTATATTTTCCATTACGACAAGCAACAAAACGTGCTGCACAATATGCAAAAGTATCGGAAAGAACAGTGAAAAGAATTCGCGAACAGGTTAAGTGGGGTGTTGAATTTAATGATGATGATTGTCCTTCAGGTTTAACGAAAATAGTAAGTTCATATAATTATTTTATTAATTTAATTTTTATATTAATTACAATACTTTTTGTGAAAATTTCATTTCGATTCTAACCTCAAAATTTTTTTTTTCGCAAATTCGTATTTCTATGAAATAATTTTGTTAATTAGAAAAAATTTATCATTAAATTTTTTCTTTCGTTTGTAAACAAAGTTGTTGATTTATCGGTATTTATCATTTTATGTAACGATTTTGCGCATGCTTGTCTGATAATTGCTAAAAAAAAAAGGAATAAAGAAAAATATTGAGATAAAATAATCTTTACGTAATAAAAGTAATATTCTGTGTGTTTCAAAAGCTTTTTAACTTTTAGAAAAGAGGCAAAATGAGCTTAAAATTCGCTTGTAATTTATCGTTCATGTTTCCTGAATGTGCATCATTTATTGGAAGATATCAACTCGCAAAAAAAGTTGGTTTCAAAGCTGTTGAAAGTGGTTTTCCATTGGGATATTCCGTTGAACAGGTTGTTGAAGCAAAAACAAAAGCAGACGTTCAACAAGTGTTAATTAACGTTTTTACAGGTAGGAAATTTGTATTTTTTTGTTTTTTAACAAATTTTTTTTCTAAAAATTTCCATAATTTACGGAATTAATTTAAATACAGAATTTTTAATTATTACTGTATAATTTTTGGAATAAAATTTTTATTTTTATTTTTCTATTTTAGATTCTAGAAAAAATTACCAAATTTTAAAATTCGTTGGCAACAAATTTAATTTCGTATTATATAAAGAGAAATTAATTTATAAAAAAAAAATATTCAAAATTCGACTGTTTTTTAAAAAATAACAAAATTTTTATAAGGAATTTTTTTTATAAAATTTTTTTTCTTTAATTAGGAGACGTAACAAAAGGTGATCTTGGATTTGCCGCCGTTCCTGGAGAGGAACAAAATTTTCAAAACAGTATTGAACTTACCATTGAATATGCAAAGGCTCTGGATTGTAGAAAGTAATTTATTTATTCTATTTTATTTAGATTTTATAAGATAATTTTAAATTTTCTTCTTTATAAAAAGAAAAACTATAAAAATAAAAATATAATAATAAATTATTATTATTTAATATGATAAATATATTATTTTTTATATTCTTCTTTATAATTAGATAAATTATAAAATTGAAGAATAATTTTATATTTTTAAATTAAAATTCAATTTTTTCTTTTTAAATTAATTTTTTTTTCCAGGATTCACGTAATGTCAGGAAAAGTGGAAATATTAACAAAAGGCAATGATGAAGCTTATGAAAATAATCTTAGGTACGCTGTAAAAAGATTTGAGGAGGAAAATATTGTGGGTTTAATTGAACCAATAAATTCCCAAACTGTACCAAATTATTATATGAACAGTTTTGATAAAGGTAAAATTTTCAATAAAAAGAAAATGAAAATTGATTTCAAAAAAAAAAATTTAATTCTCTTAAATATTTAAAATTAACAAAAAAAAATTTTCAGGATTATCAATCGTTAAAAAAATAAACAGTCCAAATTTACGATTAATGTTGGATATTTTTCATTTGCAACAAATTTGTGGAAATCTCACATATTCGATACGTGAATATTTACCATACGTTGGTGAGTGTTAAATTTTATTTTAATTTTCTTAAAAAAAAGAAATTGACGAAAAAATATTTGTTTTTTCAGGACATGTACAAATTGCACAAGTACCCGATCGAAATGAACCAGATACACCCGGCGAAATAGATTATCAATATGTACTATCTCTATTGGAAAAAGAAGGATATGAGGATTATGTTGGTTTAGAATATAAACCAAAAACAAGTACATTTGAGGGAATAAAATGGATAAGACGATTTGGATTTTCATTTTAAAAAATATTGCTGTATTTTCCATTTTTTTGTTGTTTTTTTATATATATATTTTGTAAAGAAGTGATGTTCTCGTGTGATATTTAAAATGGATAAAAAATAATTAAATTTCAAAATAAAAAATATACAATTGTCTTGCAAAAAAAAATATCCAAAAAAAAAAGAAATTGTTTTTAAAAATAAAAAAAAAATATTGTTTCCTTCTAAATTCACACTTCACTGTTAAAATACGCAATTTTATTTTTTAAAAAAAAATTGTAATTTCAATGTGTGCACTAATTTTATCACGACAGTGAATTGTCTCGCGATAATTTTTTTTTTAATATTAATTAACTTAAGAATTGTTTTTAATTAATAAAAAAAAATTTGATTTTATAAACCTGAGGAGCGTTTTATTAATAAAAATTTTTGCGAATCGATCAATTTTTGCTAATTATAATAAATTACTAATAATTATAATAAATTTTTAATTATTTAATTGATAATATATCATTACTTAATTACTAAATAATAATTATTTTACTGTCAATTTAAATCTGTTTAGAATTTTATTTTTAAATAACGTATGTAATTAATAATTTTATTAACGAACCGAGAACATGAATTTAGAAAATTATTTTTCAAAAATATCTTTCAGTGAATTAACATTAAAAATCGTTGTACAAATTAATTGTAAATTTAAATGTTTCTTTTCTTTTTCTTGACGGAATTGCACATGAAAAAATTGTCATTTAGACTTTATATTACAAATACTGATTAAAAGTCTACAATGAATTAACTGTTGTAAGACGTGTGAAAATGACAGAAAATGCCCCAAAAAAACAAAACATTTTTACAAATTTTATAGAATTAAATTATTTCATTTCTTTCCACTAAATTTTGAAAAATTTTATTTTTTTTTCCCTTCACATTCTGTCATTTTTAAGCTCTTACATTACCAACAATTTATTTCCTTTTTTTTCACTAAAATACAATTCTAGACTTAATAATAAAAGCTTAATTTAAAAAAAAAAAAATCATCGCATTGTGTATTTACAAATTTGATCGTTTGCTAGAAGAAGGGAGGAAAAAAAATAGGAAAGATTTTTTTTTTTTTACTGTACACCTATTTCTATATTATTGAAAATGCTTTAAATTTGCAAATTTAAAAAAAAAAATAAAAAAACTAAAAAAAGCCAATATTTAAAAAATTGAATATTAATATTTTAAGTTCGAATATTATTCGACTGAATAATTTGAATTTAAAATTGATTTAATTTGTTGCAAAAAAGAAAAGGAATTATTTTCTTTAAAATTAGTTTTTAGTTATTAAAAAATGTAAATTAAAACAATTTTAAAAATTATTTTTTTTTTTAATTACAAAATTGAATAATTAAAATTAAGAGTGAAAATGTAATTTTTTATTACTTTTTAGTATTTTTTTTTTTAATTTAATAAATTGAATTAAATTTATCAGTCGAATCGAATTCTATTTTTTAAAAAAATTCGAAAAATCCACTAAAAATTTCATTTAAACCTAATAAATTACAAAGTCTTGAATCTCATACACCGAGACTCGATTTTAATATGAAAAAAAAAATAATAATAATAATTGTGAGCTTTTTAATAATTGTACGAAGACATTGCTTTAAAAAAAAAAAGAATGAAAATACCTTTATTTATTTTACGAATTTTCTTTTCCAATTCTTTCTTTATGTAGTAGAGGAGACTCTTTTTTTCTCAAATAGCAAAATTTAATTTTACTTTACTCCATCCACAAATATTTTTTGTATAAAATATACTACCTCTCTTTTTTTTTCTCTCCATAATATTTGTCAAAGGTCAATCACTTATTTTGACCTTTATACAATTTTTTTTTTTCTAACTAGAAGCTATTTTTATGCGGGAGTCTGCAAAAATTAATTTTACAAACTTTTATTGTCTTTAGCTTTAAAAAAATATATTTTTTTAACAAGAAACGAGAAATTTCTAAAAAAAACCTTTAAATAATATAATTTCAAAAAATGATAAAAATTTATTATTCGAAAATAAATTTATTTTTTATATAAAATTTTTATAATTCGAAAATTATAAACTATTAGATTCATCTATATAATTTCGTTAATAATAAAAAAAAAAAAGGAAATTTAAAAAAAAAACATTGACAGACTCCCGATTAATAAAAAATATTACAGAAAGAAAAACAATAATTACTCGAGTCACGGAAGAATATTTTCTCATTTGCGCGAGAAAGAGAAAAAAAAAACTTCCAATTAATTATAATATATTTATATTTAATTAAATATCCTAATTAAAAGTCTATTATTTATAATTTCTATTTTTCTCTCGTTTAAGTTTCTTTTTTTTTCTCCCTCAATTAATATTGTTAATGAAACAACAAAAATATTAATTGATAAAAGAAAAAAATTGTCACAACTCTCTGATAATAATATTTTGTCTCCTTTTTTTATTTTTTTTTTGACAAAAGTCATTGGAAAATTTTGTTCTTATCGATTTTTTTGTGCAAAATAAAGATTTTTTTTTAGTCCTCGATCGAGTTTTTAAAATATAATTGAAATCTCGATTTAGACGACATCGGCAGGATCCACGAGACGCTGACTTACTTCTACTGAAGGTCCTAAGACAGCAGTGCTAAAAAATTATTCAAATTTTAAATTAATTTTTATCTTTATAAAAAATATTTTTTTTTTATTTTTTGTTTCAATTACTATTTTAATTTACAAACCAAACCCTTTTTTTTGCAATTAATTCTAAATAAGCTATAATAAAAAAAAATCCATTTATTGTTTGAATTTAAAAATTCAGTTTATTTTTAATAATCTATTTTTTTTAACTTGGTTTCTTTTCGAAATAATTAAATAGAACCAATTTAATGTAAAAAAAATTTGTTGGAAAAAAAAGTTAATATTTGTTATTTTGTTACGAAAACTAAACAATAAATGGAAATTTGTACATATTATATTGTTTTGAATAAACCAATTATAAAACTAGGCAAAATTAAAAGAAGAAGAAAAAAAATTAAGAATTAAATAAAAAATTAAATCACACAATCATGCATTCAATCACTAATACAAAATATTTATTTATAATTCTATATTTACACTCAGAGAGAAAAATTTATTTATTACAGAGCTAAATATTTATTTCAATTAAATTTTATTTAAATAAAAAAATTTTATATGCACTAAAAAAATTTTATTAATAAAATAAATAATTTTATTATAATTTATTTATTATTTATTCCTATATTTATAAATTTATTTATTTTATTATTATTTATTAATTAAAATAACGGAAATAAATCTATTTAGCTCTGAGATAAATAACTATTTAATTCAAATAAATTAGAATTACAAAAAAAAAAATCTCTACACGTGTTTAAAAAAACTGTTGCAAGAAAAAAAAATGTCTATCGAAAAGTGACAATGACAAAAATAGAATTTTAAAAATAAAATACTCTCTACAAATAACTACATAAAGAAAAATATTTATAACTCTCATTTTTTTTTCTACTTTTTGGTAGACATCTCAAATATTTATTATGTGTTAGAATTTTTTTTTCAAGCGTTATTAAAGAAAAAACTGTTCTTTTTTTTTTTTACTTATTATACAAAAACATAAATATTTGTAATTATTACCCAGCACCAAGAGCCAATATAGTAGCTTCCTGTACCATACTCATTTCCTCTATAGCAGACCTAAGAATCACATTTATTTTTTCTAATTCTAACAAAAAAAAGGAAATTCTAAATATTTTATTACCAATTAGTTGTTCAAAAATGCTGCATTTTGCCAAAAGCGGTTACTGCACTTCATATTTTGTTTCTTTTTTTTCAAATTATCAACACACAGCTCTTTTATTTATTTATTTTTTTTTTTAATGTAAAAAATGATAATTCAACATTAATGTTATTCACCAAAAAATAAAATAATTTTAATAAACTTTTACCTATTTTATTTTTATTTCATTGATTCATTTTTTTTTTAAATTAATTTTTGTATTCATTCTTTTTTGTGTAGGAAAACATTTTTTATTTTTTTTTTTTTTGTCACAGATTTGAGATGACTAACAATAAAAACGGAAATATGAACTAAAATCACAAGTTTCATTATCGAAATTCTATAATTGAAAAAAATATTACAACTAGATCAAATTCAGAAAAAAGGTACTGTAATTAAAAAAGCAAAAAAATCAGTGCAAAAATAATATTAAAACGTGCTTACAAAGAAAAATCAAATAAAAGAAAAAAAAACTCTTTAATAAAAAAAAAATAGTTTCCGATTATGAAACTTCAGTCACATTTGGTTCCATAGAAAGTAAATGCAAAAATTCTATTTTAGAAAAAAAAAATTAAAAACATTTTTTCAGTCTCTCGATTATCTAAAAAAAAGAAAAAAAAAAAAACTTTAATATGAGAATGTAAAAAAAATTATTTATCCTATTTTTTTCGATGTCCCTGACTTTTTTTTCGAACTTGAAAAAGATTTTTTTTTATTTAATCAAAAGAAGAAAATTTCCATTGTATATTGGATTCGAAAATTTTCGAAAATAATTTCTCGAATTTTCCAATATCGCAATTATAGAAAATATCCGCGTTAATACAATTATTTTTTTTTTCAGTTCATTTTCACAATTCAATTTTTTTCTCGCAAGACTCAGTCGGTTTAAAAAAATATTAAAAATATATACAAAACTCACTAAATTACTTGGATGATTATACAAAAAGGGAATTTAATTAACGTATCTAATTTTGTCTAGAAATTGATACATAAGAAAAGCAAAAAATTTCAGGGGAAAAAAATATTTTAAAAAAAAATTCCTATTTCGGATTTTTTACTGACATTTAAAATATAGAAAAAAAAAATTAAAGAAATGTAACAAAACAAAAAAATGTATAATATTTTAGATATTGTATAAAAAAAATTAATATATAATATTTTTATATTATACATATTAATATTATATAATAAATGTTAATATAATAAAAATTGAAAATTATTTTCATGAATAGAATATTTACACGTAAGAGTCGAGATTTTCATTAAATAAAAAAAAATATGGGGGGGGGATTTTTTTTTTTTCAAATGGTAACGAGGTGCTGACTACAAAATACCTTCACGGGACCTGGAGGAGAGAGGTGGAGAGTCGAGCTCGGTCTCCTCTCCCCACCGTTGAATCTCCACACCGAGGAGCGTGTGGGTATCTTCGTCGACGAGCCTCTCAGGGAAGGAAACCCCATCTCCAAAGCTGCAAAACCCCATACACACCCCAATACTATTCGATGCAATTTTACTATTATTATATACACAAAAATGTGACGTAACTATTTTTTTTTTAATTTTATTTTTTTTAATTTTAATTTCGACTTTTCACTAATTTACTAATTTTTTTTTTCTTACTAAATATTCTAATTATATTTATTACTATTATTATTGATTATAAATATTTAATTATATACACAACTACAATATTTATATTTACTCAAAAGGTACCTAGGAAAATTAATATAAACATTTATTTATAAAAATAAAAAGAAGGGGAGACATTTAGAAATTTTTCAATTTAATTAATTATAAAAATTTAAATTAATAATTGATTAACAATAATTTAGTAAATGAAGATTTTAGAGGACAATTTTTTTTTACCACAGTTAATTAATTTATTTTTAATAATGTTTTTAATAATAATTACGAAAATTTACAACTGTGTTTTAATAAAATAAAATAAAAAATAGAAACAAATTAATTAAATTGAAAAAAAGGTAATTTTTTATAAATAAAATTCAAAAAAAGAAATAAAAATACAAAAATTGCATTTAATTATGTACATGTATGCAATATTTACATTTAAAAAAAATGGGGACAAAAATTAAAAATAAATACAGGTTTACAATTGATAGGAAAATAGAAAATGTTCACAAAATGAAATTCGACAAAAAATATATATAATATATACACCAGGAAATAGTCGAGATTAAAAAGAAAAGTACAAAATAAAAAAAAAACAATCGATCTATAATCTTGAGTATTCATTTCAAAACAGATAGATATTTTAAAAATTTCGAAATAATTGACCGAGTTTCTATTCTTAAAAATAAAAATCAATTTTTTCGAGAGATAAAAATTTTCATATTCTAAAAATAACAAAAAAGAAATTTAAAAATATCGTCAAGAGATAATAATAATCAATTTTATATTCTAAAGATAAAAAATAATAATTTTTCTTTTTTCAATCTTAAAAAAAATATTTCAAAAAATAAAAGAAAATTTTTTTTTTTGATTTAAAATAAAAATTTCCAAAGATTAAGATCGATTTTAGAAATATTTAGAGAAATAAAAAAAAAAAGGAAATAGTTACGCCACTTAATAAATAATATAATTTAAAAAAAAATAAATAAATAAATATATTAAGAACCAGATGCACAATACCTCCAGGATTGCAACTATTCAATAAGAATTTTTTTTTTTTAATTTTTGTTTTACGCAAGAATGAAATGAGTCTTGGATCGAGTAGAGAAAAGATCATGCATCCACATGATTTTCAAGGGTCGATGAGCGTCTACATGAGTTGAAATTCTAGAATATTACAATTTTTTAATAATAGAGAGGTTTTTATATCTAAATGTTAACAAAAAAAAAACTAAAATAACTTTCAATTTATTCTACTTTCAAGCCTTATTAATATCGTCTCGATTCTGCAAATATCAAATTAATAAATAAATAAAAGTCTCTTTTCACCTGTGACGTCATTCAAAGTTTGCAAATTTCCATACGTATTCAATTTGATTTCGAAATATTTAATTTTCTTATTCCTACAAAAACTAAAAATTTCCCTTTTGATTCTTTTTTTTTTTAATTTTACTAAACACCAACACTTTGCAAAAATAATTTTTTATTCTTTCTATATTTGAATTCGTCTTTATTATTCAAAAATGATAAATATAGAAAAAATAGAATTTTGAAAAATAAAATTTTGAAAAAAAAGTAGAATTTAAAAAATCTCAAAGTAAATAATAAATAAAATATAAATATTATTAATAAATGTTATTAGAAAAAACGTAATAAAATCAATTTTTTGAAAAAAAAAATGTAAAGAAGCGAGAAAATAATTTATATTTCTTTTTTAGTATTATAAAAAACCAGCTTTGCACTCAATTCTGTGATTAGAGAAGAGAAGCATATTTAAATAATAATAATGAAAAAAAAAATTAGCTGTAAAAGAATAATGATAAATTTTGAATTACATATAATTCGAAAAGCCTCTTTCAGACGTTTTTTTTTACCTCACCCAAATTTTCAAAATTTTTTCTACAAAAAAAAAAATAATAATTGAGGTGCTAAAAAAATATCTGAATTATTTTTTTCTCACCAAAAAACCAAGCCAAACACATCAAAGATGAATGATAAACATGCACATGCAAATAATCTACTTTTATGGAATTCAATCACAAAATCCAAACCCGTTTTACTCAAAAAAAATTTTTTTTTTTAATATTGTAGAATTTTATTAAAATAACGAAATTTTCTTTTTGTAAATAATTAAAATAATTATGAAAATAATAAAAAAAAAAAAATGAGAAAAATTGACATAATTCTGAAAATCTATTTTTGTAAATAAAGAATTTCTTTTTTTTGTCATAGAAAAATATTCGAAAGAAAAGAAAAATAATTAACGATTTTTTAAAGAAAATTAATATGAAATCCTTTTTTTGATTTAATTTGAAAAAAAAATTTTGAATTAATAAAAAACGAAAAATTTACGCGAATTATGGTATTAATCTAACTCTAAGGATTTCTGACCTGTTCTGAGTGTTGCCCATCGAGTTGTATGTATTCGGGGCACCATCGTCTTGTAAGCGAACTGGATAGTTGACTCCATTGCCAAGACTAAAACACATTTTTTCCAAAAAAAAAAATACCCTATTTAAAAACGTGCTCTCTACGATTCCCTTAGACTACAATTCTCCTTTTTTTTAAAAAAAAAAAAAAACTTTTCTATTTAAAAAAATAATAATAAAATTGCAAAAATTTCCCTGTCAATCTAATGTAATTTATAATTATTTATTTATAACAATTAAAATTTTTCGAATATTTGCAAATTGAAATTTAAATAAAAATTTTTACTTTTTTATATATTTTGACGTATTTTCGTTCGCTACTTTAATTTTTTTTTTTTCGTCTTGATTCTGTTTTTATATTTCGAACGCTCTATGAATAACAATTTAATGTAAATTTTATTATGCTTTTATTTAAAAATTTCTCTCTTATAAGATTTAAGCGAAGAAGAAAAAAAAAAAAGTAAAATAAACGCGAAAAAAAAATGAAATAAATCCCCACATTAAATAAGTGTCACGTCTACAAAAATGCAAAGGATGCAAATATATATATAGATTTAAAAAAAAACCATAATTCTCTATTTAAAAAAAAATATATATATATATAACGTCAAGCACTCAAAAAAACATTTTTTTTTTTTATACACTTATGCACATTTTGAAATCGACAATATTATTAACGGAAGATCAATTGGAGAAATTTTTTTTTAAAATAAGAACAAACGAAAAAAGAAAACAATTTATAAAAATTAAAAAAATATAAATAAAAAAAAATAGAATAATCGATAAAAATATTGAAGAATATTAACGAAACAAGAAAAAATAACAATTGAAGAAAAAAAATATCGAATTCTTATTTAAATAAATTGTAATTTAAAAATGAAAATGATGAAGTGCAAATGACCAGCGATAAAATGCAAGTGCTACAAAAGCGAAACATTAATATAAACATTGAGAAATTTGATTGTAAAAATCGCCAAAAAAAAATGTTGCTGGTTTTTTTTTTTTTGTTTTTTATTGTTGGTCCTTTTGCACGTACAAAAAAATCCCAAATAACCGAAACTTCCTGTCGACTATCGATTCCAAATTTCTAAAAGGTTCACTAAACTTTGTATAACACACCAGAGATAATTAAAAGGTCTCTTGTCTAAATATTTGCAAACCAAAATCGACTATAGAGACAGAGAGAGAGAAATAGATAGAAAAGAGAGATAGAGACAAGGAATTCGTATTTTACCAAAAAAAAAAAACTTGGAACAATTGCACTCGATAATTTTCCTTGTAATATAATTACCAAAAAAAAAAAAAATGCAAAAAAGAAGAACAAGGAAAAGAAAATAATGAAAATGAGAAAAAAAAATAAAAACACGAATCTCAATCGGTATTGTGCAATTGGCTCGTCACTGTGAAATTTTCCAATAAATTCTCTATTATTGTCCACGGTTTACATATATATGTATATTCACTATAAATATTAAATACTTAAACAAAACTAAGTCTCGTACTTTTGAAAAGGAGGTCGCACACGCCATTGTTTCCATAAAACTCAATTCAAACGTTGAATTGAAATATTCCAATAATATGATTGGAAATTTATTGAAAAAAAAAAAATGAATGCAAAAAAAACATCTCATTCAAGGACTCGAATTAAAATTAGACACATAACAAAACGAAATCAATTCATTACAAAAGACCCAAATTTTTTTTTCATATTTTTCAAATTTTTCAAAACAAAAATAATTAAATAAATCAATTTATATATAAATTCGTAATTTTAATAACTAAAATTTCTTTTCTAATTTTTCGAAAATAAAAATAAATTGGGACAAAATATTTTTCGAGAGATATTGGAATTTTTCTGAAAAAAAAATCCTTTTTGGAATATTATAAAAAAAATTTAAAAAAAAAGAACAAAGGAACAAAAATAGTAGAAAAAGAAAACAAAAAAAGAGAGACTCACCTGGAGAATATGGGAAGGAACCAGAGACGTGTATTGTCTCCAAATACTTCTTGAAAATTATTATACTTTCCAAGGCTATAAGCGTTTTTGTCTTGTCCACTACGGAACATTGGCGGCCTGTAAGCCTCTGAAAAATTGATAATAAAAATAAATTTTCTCAATCTGAAAAATACATAAATTAAAATCCTTTTAAAAATTGAAAAAAGGGGAAAAAAAACTTGTACTTACCTAGTGTCGATCTGTTTCGTAAAATGAGGTAGCAATGGTAGAAGAAAAGTGAGTTGAGACTTATTGCAAACATTATTGCAACGAAAAACAAAAAGAGAAGATGAAACTTGACCGTTTCATTTAAGTCATTCTGAAAAATGAAAAAAAAAATTAATTAAAATAGTTCAAAATTTTAATATTTATTGTGAAGAAAATAAAAAAAACTTTTTTTTTTCTAAAAACTAAATTGCAGTAAAATAATAATAATATTAATAATAATTACAATAATAATAATAATAATAATAAACGATAATAAAAATTGAGGAAAAAAAATAGGTATATAAAAATGAAATTTAAATTACCTTCCAAAAACGCACGAAATACTGCAATGTCGTGGCAGTAATAAATGTGCAGTATAAAAATGCGTAAGCTAAGAATAACATGAAGAATTTATAATTATGGAAGCCAACGCAATTATTCACCCATGGACAATGATGATCCATTTTCAAAACGCACGTCCCGCAAACGCTGCAATGATGCGCTCTGTCTGGTTTTACACAATAGCATTGCTCGCAAAAGCGCACTGCTAAAATTATTCAAATTATTATTTTATTTCTATTTTATTATATTTTTTCAAGAAAATTAATATTATAAATTTATTTTAGGAATAAATTTTTTTTTTTCCACTATTAACGTAAATGTTACAATAATGTAAATTTTAATAATTCTCTTTAATAATTAAATTTAAAAAATTATCAAATAAATGAATTTTCAAAGAATTGAAAAAAAAAAATTCAATTTTTAATTAAAAATAAAGAAAAATAATTTCTTTTACCTCCTTTAATGGTTCGATTCGTAATGGGAAGATCCTGTGCGAATCGGTCCAAAATTTGCCTCTGAATATCTTCCGTTTCAGCTGTTAAAAGTTTTTCCATTTCGACTGATGGTATTTTAAACTATATTTTTTGAAAAAAAAGCAATTTTTGTTAGTTTTCATTAACGAAAAAATTTTTTTTTATCTATTTTCTAATTGTTTTAAATATGATAAATTTTATTATTATTATAGAAAAGTATATAACAATAAAAAATTGCAAAAAAAAAATAATATTAAAAAATTAAAATAGAGATATAATGAATAAATAAATATAACAAAAAAAAGAAAATAATATAGTCGAAGAAAGAAAAATTATAAAATAAATGATAAATAGAACAATAGAAAAATATAATAAAATAAATACAAATAAGTAGAAATGTAAAATAAAAGTAACAAGTATATAAAAAAAAAAATATTATCGAATAAATTAAATAAATAAATAAAATAAATACATAAATTTTAAATACAAATACTTAAAAATAAAATAATAAAATTCAAAAAGAAAAATTCAAATTCTACTTGAACGATCAAAATTTCAACGAGTTTTTTTTTCAAAAATAATGAAAAAACCATTTTAAAAAGTACATTAAAATACCTTATCAGGAATTGGTGTTAACTCTGTGAAGACAGTTTGCCAATACGACCAGAGGAACATTGCAAACAGGACGTGGAAGAAAATCAAGTAGAAAACTGCATTTTGAGAAAAAAAAAATCATAAATTATTATCTAATTTGTTTTAAAAAATCCAAATATTCTCAGAATTTGAAAAAAAAGAATAAATAATTAAAAAAAAAAATAATTTCTAAATAATAAAACAATTTTATTACCTTTCTGTACTGCATTGTCGACAGTGTCTGTAAAAAAAAAACAAAAACCATAATTTTTATTTTAATACGAAATTCAAAAATAATAAACACATTTTTTTATTAAAAAATATTTTTTTCTATATTATAAACAATATTTTTTTTTATAAATAATATTTTTTTCTATAAACAATATTTAAAAAAAAAATAAAAAATTCTATTTCCGAAAATTCGCGTGTAAAACAGGAAATTAAAATCGATTGCGGTTTATAAAGAACTTCTGTTTTTACTCAAAATAGTTACAAACGTTTCTATATATCTAAGAAATAGGAAAAATAAACTATTTAATACAGAGAAAAACTGCAAAATCAAAAAAAAGTTTATTGCTACGGAATATAAACAAATAAATTAAATTTCATATAACGCGCAAACGTAAACAATAAACAAAAATAATATACGAATTTTATTGTGTTTTTTTTTTCTCTCGCATAATAAATAAAGCTGGATTATTATGTTTTAAAATTAGCGAAAACAACCACACATAAGAGACCCTGGAATTTAAAACGTGTTAGAAATAATAAAAAAAAAAAAAAAGTGATAATAAATTCACGCTCTCGACCCTGAAACACGAGTAAGATAAAAAATACGAGATATAACTGTTTTTGAAAATTATACATGACATTTTGAAAAAAAAAAAATTAATAACGTTAATAAATATTATTTAATAACCAAAACTTAATTAAAATATTTATTTTTTAAAGAAATTAAAATAAAATTTTCAGAGAAAAATATAAATATAATCATAATCGGCGAAAAATAAAACATAACCTATAAAACGGGAAAAATTGTTCCAAGTACCGGGGCTTTTTTTAATTATAAATAAATTAAATATTATTATTATTATTATAATCCTAATCGGCGAAAAATAAAACATAACCTATAAAACGAGAAAAATTGTTCCAACTGTAGGGGCTTTTTTTACAACAAATACATATATTTAAAAAACACATATACATATATATTTCAGTATCAAATAAAAATAGATTATATAGAGATATACTTACAATAGCAGAGTTGAACTACATAAGCGTAGTAAGACCAGGCAACGATTGTTAAGATAAAGATAACTGGAATCCATTTGACTGCTTTTAAGCACCACCAACACGATCCGTTTTGTTTACTCATTTTTATTTTATAAATTAAAAAAAACACACACACACTTTTTTTTAATTTTACTCACACACAAATCGATCACATTACAATAAATATAATTTCTATGTAGACACGTGCCTTTTTTAATTGTATATATTTAATATACATATAGAAAAAAAAAACAAGGGACGAGGCCAACAGGAAAAATTCGAAACTCTCCCCGCACACTACGAAGGAAAAAAAAATATCCTCTTACATCAGGCCATCATCATGAATTTTTCATTGCCGCGGATTATGACGTAAACGTTCTTTCAAATTTAATCGAGGCGTTGTCTTTAATTTCACGTTTGACATCGATATACTTTTATTAATCTCACACTTTATTATATATATATATATTTACTGTTATCACAAATTCAATCCATTGACGTCGACATTCCCAAACTGACTGCGAGAGACGAGAACTGACAGAAATAATTTTCTATACTTGTCTCCATTGCACATGCGCGCGTTTTTGGATTTGGATATAATTTAAAAAAAAACTTCTTTTTAAAAATAAAAATTAGTTCTTTTAATTATATAGTAAAAATTAATTAAAAAAAGGATTTTTAGGTTATGTTAATATTAAATATTTGTTAAAATTAAAATTCATTGTTTCTCTTTTGTGATTTTATATTTAATTTAGTAAAAAAAAGGATTAGGTATTTTATTTCTTTAGTTAAAAAAATATATTTTGTAAAATAATTTTAATTTTGAATTTTCGCGGTTCTGATTTTTTTTTCGTCCAAACGGAAACGAATGGCGCCCACCACAATGTTGGTTGACTTCCTTCTTTCCTGAATCGCACGTGTAGTGAACAAAATGGAGAAACCACAGAAGGTAAATTAAAAATTGTTTTTTAAGTGTTTTGTGAATTATTTATTAATGTGTAAATTGAAAAAATTGTGAATTTATTGTCTTCTTTTTCAGAAACAAAAGGAACCTATCCACTCTGTGCAAGTCTTCGGACGCAAAGTAAGTACAAAAAAAAAAAATTTCTATTGAGGTTATGTTGTCGCGTGCTTGCTTTTTTTTCTCTAAAAATACAAAGAAATGTGTCAGATTTTAAAAAATTTCATACTTTTTAGAATAATGTAAGTGTTTTTTTATTTTAGTTCACTTTTTATTTTTTCTAATTTGTTTTTTTTTTTTTAAATGGAACATAATTTTCAAGACTTTTGAGTATTTTTTTTATTTCCTCCCATTTGCAAAGATTCGTATTTAATTGGTTGGCATTTTTATTTTTTTTGTTGAGCTTTTTTAAATTTTTTAACTCTACTAATTAGAATTATTAAAAATGAAACGGGTGTTTTTTGACGTGTCACCTGAGGAAAAAATTTTTGTAATTTTGTCGTGATTGGTTGGATCTAAGAGAATAATAATGAGATTAGATTATGTTAAAAAATTATTTTATTTTAAAAAATTGATTGTTTATTTTAATATAGAAAAGCGCAACTGCTGTGGCATATTGTAAACGGGGACGCGGACTTGTCCGGGTAAATGGACGTCCATTGGAATTAGTAGAGCCCCGTGTTCTTCAATATAAACTTCAAGAACCCATTTTGCTCCTTGGCAAGGTAAATAACAAATTTTTTCTCTTTTTTTCTAACCCTTTGACGAGATAAAAATTTTTTTCAAACAATATTTTCATTTAACCAAATTTTTATTTCGCCACAATTTTTATTTAATTTCTACTTAACTGAATTTTTATTTCTCACAATTTTTATTTTTCTATTTAACTGAATTTGAATTTAGCAAAATATTCATTTCGCCAAATTTTTATTTTTCTATTTAACTGAATTTTTAATTAACCGAATTTGAATTTAGCAAAATATTCATTTCTCCAAATTTTTATTTTTCTATTTAACTGAATTTGAATTTAGCAAAATATTCATTTAACCAAATTTTTATTTTTCTATTTAACTGAATTTGAATTTAGAAAAATATTCATTTAACTAAATTTTTGTTTTTCTATTTAACTGAATTTTTAATTAACCGAATTTGAATTTAGCAAAATATTCATTTCGCCAAATTTTTATTTCCCACAATTTTTATTTTTCTATTTAACTGAATTTGAATTTAGCAAAATATTCATTTCGCCAAATTTTTATTTCACACAATATTTATTTTTCTATTTAACTGAATTTTTAATTAACCAAATTTGAATTTAGCAAAATTTTCATTTAATCAAATTTTTTTATTTTCCACAATTATTAATATTTAATTTCTATTAAACTGAATTTTTAATTAACCGAATTTAAATTTTCGTTTGACAAATGAAATCAACAAAAATTCCCATTTGATCGAAATTTTATTTGGTAAAATAAAATAATAAAAAAAACGAAAAAATTTCTATCGATTAAAAATTATGATGACTTTTTTATTCCGAACATGATTGACTGTGAATAGAAAACGGATTCTGAATATTTGATAAATTAAAAAAATAGAAACTTTATTTGAAAATACAAATTTTAATAATTTTGTATTTTTTTTTTTTTTTTTTCTTTAGGAAAAATTCGCAGGTGTCGATATTAGAGTACGTGTCAATGGCGGAGGACATGTCGCACAAATTTATGCCATTCGTCAAGCTATTTCCAAGGCACTCGTATCTTACTATCAAAAGTGTTAGTAAAATTATTTTTAATTTCATTTTTATTGTATAATTTACGACTTTTTTTCTATATATTTTCAAAAGGAGTTCTAAATTTTCTAAATTAATTAATGAAAACAAATTTTTAAGCATTTCTTTAATTATTTTATTATTATTATTATTAATATTATTATTATTATTATTATTATTATTATTAATTTACTAATTTGGAAATTTATAAATATTAATTAGATTTGTATTTATTTTTAACAGATGTCGATGAAGCCAGTAAAAAGGAAGTTAAGGACATTCTGATTCAGTATGACCGAACACTCCTTGTCGCTGATCCAAGGCGTTGCGAGCCGAAGAAATTCGGTGGTCCCGGTGCAAGAGCACGGTACCAAAAATCTTATCGTTAATTTCAAAATTTACTTGCAAATTTTTCTTTATACTATTCAATAAAAAAAAAAAGCAACACGAAATTCATCTGTTTTTATTTAATTCTCCTTCTTATACAAGAGATTTACTATAAATTATAGTAAGAATATTATAAAAAAAAATTTTATTTCACCGTATTTTTATTTAATTTTTCACTTTATTATTTTAATTAGAAAAAAAAATCAAGATAAAGAAATTCTCTGAATTTTTATCAATTTAGAAATTTTTCAAGTTGTTAAGCAAAGAAACGAAAGTTATTTATTTTTTTAGCCATAGCAAAAATTATAATTATGAATAATATTTATAAACTTTTATATTTCATTAATTGTTTATAATAGAAAACAATTTTTTGCTCTATTGCATTTAAAAGAATTTTATTTCCATCTCAAAATAAGATTTTTTTTTATTAATTTTATTGAAATTTCAAAATAAGTTTTTTTTATTAATTTCATTGAAATTTCAAAATAAGATTTTTTTTTATTAATTTTATTGGAATTTAATAATTGTATTGTTTAAATAACCTATTGTAAATTAAAAATGGAATTTCGTGAATATAAATAAAAATTTTAATAATTTATTGGAAATATTATAGCACATTCGGTTATGTTGCTCTGAGAGCGCCCTTACTCGGAGCAAGAGCAATTGGCAACTTTGCCACAGAGTGCTTTGCTTCAGAACGAAGCAATGTGTGACGTCATTAGCAGTGATCTGCCAACGATCTGCTCCATGGCAGAAAGGCAAATGACGTAATAAAATAAATTCTTTTTCAGAGCACTCTGCTTGCGAGCGACTGGAGTACTCCAAAGCAGATTTTTCAATATAGCGCGAAGTAAAATTTTTTTTAAAATTTTATTTTTTGAAAAAATTATTAGGAACTAAATAAAAAAGCGCATATAAAAAATTGTCAATGAAAAATAATAATTATTATTATTATGAAAGACGTAATAATTTTGATTTTTCGAGAATTTCGAGTTTTATTAAAAAAATTATTGACTATTTAATAATAATAATTAAATTTTTATGTTAATTTTATTGATTTAATTTAATTTATTTAAAATTAATACACAATAATAATTAATTAATTAGTTACTAATGTTAGTAATTAATAAAAAATTAATAACCTATTTACTTTTAGCTTATTCCAAAATGTTTCCTTTTTGACAGTAAAATAATTTCTTATAATATTAAAAAGATATAATTTAAAGAACTTTCCTTTTATCATAAAAGAAAATCCTCTTAAATATAAATATTAAAAGGAAAATTCGTTTACGATGAAAGGATTCGTTTAAAATTAAATAGATTGTCCTCTCAGTGTATATACATTTAAAAAAAAATTTTTTTCTCTTTTTCTGATAATAATAAAATTGAACAGCTTGAGTAATAAAAGTGAAAAATAAATTTTCAGAACATATGTAACCAAAGGTTGTAGAGAGTAGAAATAAGTCTGATTTGAGAAAAAATTTAGTGTTTATGGAGCTTTGAGTCTTTTAAATCGGTAAACAGGAAAAGGTTTTATTGGGAGGCCTGTTCTATCCCTTTTTGCAAAAAGTGAAAACTTTCTAAAAGTTCAAAAGCTAAAGTCAAAGTTTCTGCTTCAATTTCCATTTTTAAATTCAAAATATGACATGCGCAGTAAGATATTTAAAAAATTATTGCTGTCGCTCCGTCGAAAAAGATGGAGCAAGATTTCTTGCTCTAGATTGACTCCGGGGTGGATTTATGTTACAAACCGAATACGTTTTTTGCCCTGTCGTGGAGCAGGATTTGTATCTCGAATACGCAAAATGCTCTGTGACGTAGCGGAGCGTGTTACACGAACACGTGTTCTGCCTGCTCTCGGAGCAGTGTTGTCAAGTCGAATACGCTACACGATATGCTCCGGGGCAGAGTTGCCAACCCGAACACATGGTTCTGAGTTGGAGCACTCTTGGAGCAGTTTAGAGCACATAACCGAATGTGCTATTAATTTTGAAAATTAGCGCCAAATGATAAAAACGCAATCTACGTTACCATGCGAATAACATGTGCGCGTCTCCTAACCTAAAAATGTCAAATGAAAACAACTGTTCAGAAGCATCGTTGGATTTATATTTTTTTAAAAAAAGGTATGTAAATTCTGAAAATAAAATTAATACTATTTATAAATTATACATTTTTATTATTTACTATTTTTTAAATATTTTAATCTTCTAAATTGTTTATTCAATGTATTTCGTCTATGTTCAATCTTTCGCTTTCAATTCTTTGACACGTTTCTTATTTACTTTAAATAAATTTCTTTTCTGAAAATGATATTACTTTTCAACTAATGAATATATTACACATTAAATATAATTTTAATTAAACGCATTTAAAGTTATTTCCAATAATTATTAATTATAATAATGTGTTTTTGGTACTGGTTATTTGTTTATAAACAATAGGTCATTTAAATACAAAACAAATTTTCTGCGTATTTCTAAAAATTTATTTACTTCTAATCAGAGTTGCCACGTGTCAAAGAAAATCAGGAAAATTTTATGAAAAAGTAGTGAAAAAAATATCAAATTTCCAAAATTATTTAAAAATTTACAATTCAAATTTTTCCTTCTAAAAATTGTCTTAATTTTTGTCTAATTAAAAACCTCGGAGAAAAATGTTTTCATTCGAATCGTATAAAAAAAAAAAATTCAATTCTCACTGAAAATTAAGGAAAAATAAAATTTTTTCTAACAATCAAAAATTGAAAAATAATTTTTCTTTTTCAGAAAATGATGATCGGATGAAAAAAAAAGAAAAAAATAATTTTTTTTTTCTGAAAAAATGGCAAAATCAATAAAAATTCTTTCATCTGAAATAATAAATAATTTCAAAGATGCATTAAAACAAAATAATAAATCACTCATCAATGAATTAATAACAAAAGAAAATGTTCTAAAATCTGACAATAATGGTACAACATTACTTCATATTGTCGCTAAACAAGGTACATGTGAAATTGCTCAACAATTATTGGAATTTGGTGCAAATTTACAAGCACAAGATAATAATAAACAAATTCCAATTTATTTTGCCATTGAAAATTCACCAAAAATGATGAAATTACTTCTCAATAATGAAAAAATGGAAAATTTTCATTTACTTTATCGTGCATTATTATTTGGTAATGTGGAAATTGTTACTATTGTTATAAATGCACTTCCTAAAATTCATCAATTTAATAATGATGAAGAAAATTTATCAATTGAACAATTGATAAATAAACTATTACATCATAATATACATTTATCAAATATTGAATTTACATATCCAATTTTAATTTTTTTTGCTGCTAAAATTGCCAACATCTTTTTATTACAATTAATATTAAATAATTGTCGAATATTTTTACAAAAAACACATCTTAATTATAAAGCATGTTTGGCATTAGTAAAAATTGAAAAATATCCAAAAGAACAATACGAGAGGGAAATAAATTATCACGATTTACATGATAGAACAGCATTATTTTATGCAATTAATCAAGAAAATGTGAATGCAATAAATTTTCTTTTAAAAAATGGCCTTGATCCAAATAAATGTCAACGTTTTCCAAATAATAAATTTTATAAACCACTTCATTATACATCATTATTTGTTAAAAATGAAGAAATTAGTCAATTATTAATTCGTTATGGTGCCGATGTGAATGCAACATTTTTTTATAATACAAATCCAATTGAATTAATAACACAAACAATAAATGTAAATTATTTTAATTCAACGATATTAAAAAAATTCTTATCAAAAAGCATTGATATAAATACAAAAGATTTTAATGGCATGACATCAATATTAATTGCATCAAAAGCTGGAAATTTGGAATTAATAAAAATTTTAATTGAATTTAATGCCAATATTTATGTAGTTGACAATAATGGCGATTCAGTACTTCATCACGCTGCTATTGGTAATTCTTTTGAAATTCTTTATTTTCTTCTATCAAATGAAAAATTTTCATTTAATATTAAACAAAAAAATAAAAATGGTGAAACATTTTTATTTTTACTTTTAAAATCAAAAGAAATAATAACAAATGATGTAAATTTAGAAAAAATTAAATATTTCCTCAATTATGGCTCAAGTTTATTGACAAAAAATAATAATAATGAAAATATTTTAGAAATTATTGCAAAAAAAAATTATTCACAATTTGGTTATTTAAATTTATTAGAATTAGGTGAAATATCAATAAAACGTGATATTATGGCAAAAAATTCAATTAATATTTTACAACAATTCACCGATGGTTTAAAATTATTTATTTCTTATTTTCTCTTAAATAATAATGAATTTAGTAATTATTTGGAATATTATTTAATACGCGATAAAAATGAATTGGGTATGGATTTTTTAAATGGGGCAAAAATTGAAATTATCAAATTAAAAACAATAATAATATTAGATAATTATTCATATTATGATTTTTTAACAATTGATTTATTAAAATGTTGTCATATTGTTAAACAATTGAAATTAATGCAAAAATTATTTATCACTTATCAAAGGAAATGTGAATTTTTTTATTATGAATTATTTATTGCAAAACGATTTAGTGATATTAATAGTGTTATTAAATTTTTTCCTTCAATTATTAATTTTTTATTAAACTATAGCGATTATAAATTACCATTATTGATTGTTGAGAAAATTTTTAATTATCTCTCACCAAAAGATGTACGATTATTTGGCAAAATTTTAACTAAGAAATTATGAAAACTGTAAAAAAAATTTTTAGACAATTTATGTTTATATATAGAAACAATAAATATTTATATTATATAATTCAATTTGTATTTTTTATTTATTTTCAAACAAAATAAATATAATGATCAAAAAATAAAATAAATTTAGATATAAAAAGTAATGAAAAAAAAAAATTTTTTTCGAAAATAAATTTTTGGTTTTAAAATATGGGGGGGATAAAAATAATAGTTACGGTCCTGACTAGAATTTATCGCAGTTTAAATTTCTACCGAGACATCAGTAAATTTAATCAAATATTTTGTCGCGTTTCGTGGCAAAATCAGTGTTAATTAAATACTTCGATAGTTGTATAGAATTTTTCGGGATTATCACTAATAAATAACAGCTGTTTTTTTTTTTTCAAAAAAAGGAAAACGCAGAAAAATTGTTTTAACGAATCTCTTTTAATCGGAGTGTCATCATCTGTCATGTAATTTTTTAGTTTGCGATTTTTAATTTAAAAAAAACAAAATTACTAATTTAATTAATTTGCTAAGAGAAATACAAAAAGATTAAAAATGAAGACGAGATTTAATACTTATGATCTTGTGAGCATCATCACTGAATTACAACCGTGAGTATTTCTCCCCTATAATTTTTACTTGTTTATTTTTTCATATATTATTTATTTTATCAGACAATTTGCGTAAATATTGCAATTTTGTTGCAATTGTTGTTGTTAATTTTTGGCAATAAAACAATTTAAATGTTTCAATTTCGTGAAAAAAAGTATAAATTTTCAATTCGATAAAAATATTTTGAGGTTATGTTATTTCGAAATTGTTATTTAAAAACAAAAATAAATTATATCCGGATTAATTAAATGTTGTGTTATATTTTGTTTTAAATGAAAAATTTAAATATTTTCCTGGTATTTACAAATAGTATTAAATAATAATTATTTCAATAAAATAATAAATTTTATATATATATTTTTGACTTTCCTAAATAATTAAATTATTTTTTGTTTAAATTAAAAAAAATGAATAATTTTTTATTTACTGTTTATATAATTTACTAAATATTAAAATATTAAAGAAAAAAAAGAAACTAAATTATTAATTATATATATATACATAGATTAATTGGAATGCGAGTGAATCAAGTATACGACATTGATCATCGTACATATTTAATACGTTTGCAAAGAAATGAAGAAAAACGTGTTTTATTAATTGAATCGGGAAATCGATTTCACACAACAGCATTTGAATGGCCAAAAAATGTTGCCCCATCTGGATTTTCAATGAAGGTATTAAAAAAAATTTATTTCTATTTTAATTGAATTAATAATTAAATAATTAAAAAAATTTTTAATTTTTTTTTAATAATAAAATTTCGTTATAATTTAATTTAAGAAATAATTCTTAGAATAATTTTAATTTATTTTCATTTTTAATTATAGATGAGAAAACATTTGAAAAATAAACGATTAGAAAGTTTAAAGCAAATTGGCGCTGATCGAATAGTTGATTTTCAATTTGGAAGTGGCGAAGCTGCTTATCATATTATTTTAGAATTATACGATCGCGGTAATATTATTCTCACCGATTATGAGATGACAATTTTAAATGTTCTCAGACCTCACACTGAAGGCGATAAAATTAGGTAATTATTATTAATTATTTATTAATAATTGTAATAATAAAAAAATATTATTAATTAATAATTGTAATAATAATAATAAATATTTTAACAGATTTGCAGTACGAGAGAAATATCCATTAGATCGTGCACATAAGGAAACAATGCCAGAATTTGAAGAAATAAAAAAACGTCTCCAAAATGCAAAACAAGGAGAGCCATTGAAAAAAATATTAAATCTACTTCTTGAATTTGGTGCCTCATTAATTGATCATGTTCTATTGAAAGCTGGTTTTATAAATTGTAAAATTGGACAAAATTTTCATATTGAGAATGATTTACCAAAATTACATTCAGCACTCATGGAAGCTGAATTAATTCTCAATGATGGGAAAAAAATAATTTCCAAAGGTTATATAGTACAAAAAAAAGAGACAAAAATTACAGCCGATGGTAATGAGGAATTTATCTATGCAAATATTGAATTTCATCCATATTTATTTGAACAAATTAAAAATCAAACATGTAAAGAATTTGATACATTTGATAATGCTGTTGATGAATATTTTTCATCAATGGAGGGACAAAAATTGGAATTAAAAGTATTGCAACAAGAGCGTGATGCATTGAAAAAATTGGATAATGTAAGAAAAGATCATGATCAACGTTTAATTTCGTTGACAAAAACACAGGATGTTGATAAACAAAAGGCTGAATTAATTGCTAGGTATTTTTTTTCTATTTCGAATAAAATTTCCACAAAAATAGAAATTGTTTTTTTTTTGCAGAAATCAAGAATTGGTTGACGGTGCAATAGTTGCTGTGCAAAGTTTATTGGCACATCAATTTTCATGGCCGGATATTGAGGCATTGGTGAAAGAAGCACAGGATCGTGGTGATCCAATTGCTCAACATATTAAACAATTGAAATTACAGACAAATCATATTTCATTATTGTTAACGGATCCATATAATGAGGGCGATGATGATGATAATGAGGAAAATGAAAATAATGCCAGTGGATCAGAATTAAAATCAATGATTGTTGATATTAATTTGGCGCACAGTGCATTTGCAAATGCAACAAAATATTATGATTTAAAACGTACGGCAGCGAAGAAACAGCAAAAAACAATTGAATCACAAGGAAAGGCATTAAAATCGGCTGAGAGAAAAACAAAACAAACTTTAAAGGAAGTACAAACAATTCACAGTATCAATAAATTACGTAAAGTTTATTGGTTTGAGAAATTTTATTGGTTTATATCGTCGGAAAATTATTTGGGTAATATTTTTTTTAAATATTTTTATCTGTTTTGTAGATAAGGAATTCTAAATTATTTTTCTTTTCTAAATAGTAATTGGCGGAAGAGATCAACAGCAAAATGAATTAATTGTAAAACGTTATTTACGCGCTGGTGATGTTTATGTTCACGCTGATTTAACGGGAGCGAGTTCAGTGGTGATTAAAAATCCCAATGGTGCTCCAATTCCACCGAAAACTCTCGCTGAAGCCGGAACAATGGCAGTGACTTACAGGTAAAAAAAAAATAATTAATTTTATATAAAAATTATAATTATTTTATGACTAATAAAAAAACAAATTTCTACAGTATTGCTTGGGAAGCAAAAGTTGTTGCAGGCGCTTGGTGGGTAAATAATGATCAAGTATCAAAAACTGCGCCAACTGGTGAATATTTAACGACCGGTTCGTTTATGATTCGTGGGAAAAAAAATTATCTTCCACCGTGTCAATTGGTGATGGGTTTGGGTTTTATGTTCCGCCTCGAGGAAAGTTCAATAGAGCGGCACAAAGACGAAAGAAAAGTGAAATCAATTGACGATGAGAATGAGGAAACATTTGTTGAAACGGAAAAAGAAATTGAAATTGAAGAAGGAGACGACGAAGAAGGTTCAATTTTTTTTTTTTTTTAATTTTTTTTAATAATTCTGACTAAATTCTATTTTATTGCACTTTAGATAATTGCGAGCAGGAAAAATTGGATGCAATTCAAGAAGTGAATGAAGGAGAACAATGTCGAGAAGAAAAAAATGAAGAAGAAAGTAGCGATGATGAAAATTCTCTATTTCCGGATACGAAAATAAAAATCGATCTCTCAGGATCAAAGTAGGGGAGAAAATTTAATAATTTAATTTTGCTAATTAGAAGGAATTTTTATTTTCCTTTTTTTTTAGAATGCATCTAAGAGTCGACAACGCAAAACCGTTGACGAAACAACAAAACGAGGAAGTGATGATTGATGAGAAACCCCAAAGAATTGTGCAAAAGAAACAAAAAGGAAATTTTGAAAATAGACCCACGGAAAAATTGGAGAACGAAGAGGAAAAACCAAAGCCACAAGCATTGAAGAGGGGACAAAAGGGGAAATTGAAGAAAATTAAAGAGAAATACAAGGATCAAGATGAAGAAGACCGACGACTTTTAATGGCAGCTCTACAGGTAATTATTTTTTTTTCCAATTTAAAAAGAAATTCGAAATAATATTTGCAATTTTTAGTCGGCGGGCGCAGCGAAAGAGGATAAAAGAAAAAATCGTCAAAAAGATCCCTCGGGACCGAAGCAACAGAAGAAGAAAAATATCCCACCGAAAAGAAAACCAATTGAACAAAATTTGGAAATTGGCGAAAATATTGAGGAAGAAGATTTAGGACCGGCTCCTGAGATTGATATGTTGGATCAATTAACTGGAAAGCCAGTCGAAGAAGATGAACTTCTCTTTGCTGTTCCAATAATTGCGCCATACAATACTTTAACTAATTACAAGTAAGTTTTTTTTTTTTTTTAATTGATTGAAATTTCTTTTATTTTCTCTTCACGTTTTTCTTATTTTACAGATTTAAAGTGAAATTAACGCCTGGCACGGGAAAAAGAGGGAAAGCGGCAAAAACAGCAGTTGCCGTATTTTTAAAGGACAAAACAATAACATCACGTGAAAAAGATTTAATAAAATCCGTAAAAGACGAAACAATCGCAAGAAATATTCCCGGTAAAGTGAAAATTAGTGCTCCACAAATTCAGAAAGTGAAGAAATAATTTTTTTTTTCCCCAAATTTCAAATTATATTTTATAGAAATTTATTTATTACTTCTGATAAAAAAGGGTAATTTTGTAAATATTGCATCTATTTTCCTCTTGAAAAATAAAAAAAAAAATTAAAAACAAATTTTCTATTTACCTATCTTTAGTTTTCAAAAACTGAATTTTAATTAAAACAATTATTTTCGAATATTAAAAAATTGTTTTATTCGAAACTGTAAAAAAAAATTTATTAAAATTTTTTACATTACTGAAAATTTCACTATAAAGCAAAAAATTTATTCAAATTGTAGTTTCTAATAATTTTTTTTTCTCTCGGTTAAAAATTAATTTCGTGTGATTGGAAAATAATTTTTTTTTTATTTTTTCTTTATTATTATTAGTTACTTAAAAGTCATAAACATCGTGGAATGTGAAAAAATTCCTCTCATTTAAACGACCACATTTTTTTTTGAAGAGAAAAATATATAAGGAAAAAAATACTGATAAATTATTTGCAATGATCGAAACAAAGTTTTTCCGGAAAACTTTATGATTGTTTTTTCTTTTTTTTTTTTAATAAAATTTCTTTTATACTTTCCTTGAAAGAGCCTCTTCCTCGATTTTTCTCTATTAACATCATTATCATTAATCATCAAACATATCTTTTTCGGAGTCGAGACTTGAATTCTTTTTTGTTCTCGGTGTCGCTTTTCCTCGTGGTCTCGATCTCGTTCCAACACTGATAATCTAAAAACAAAAACAAATTAATTTTCAATTTTTTTTTAAATAAGTCGAAGAAAAATTGTATTTTAAAAAAAAAAATTTACCTCAGTATCTGAATCAGAATCCAATTGTTTTCGAGTCTTTTTCCTCTCTTTCACAATTCGTTTAGTAGACGATCCAGCATTTGTTTTTCCACTCGTTTTTTTCACTGGCGTCACACTCTTATCATCATCTTTGACAATTCGTTTTTTACGTTTTATTTGCACCTCATATTCAGCGCCTGGATCAAGATTAGCCAAAACTTTTTTCATCACATCATCGCCACTAATACATGAATTATTCATTATTTCCATTGAATCATTCAATGAATTTGCCTCAGAACTTAATCTCTTGAGTGCTGCAATTTTTCTCGGTATTGCCGATACACTCGCACCATTTGTAATTTTCTTTGGTAGACGCGTAACTTTTTTCTCAACAGGTATTTTCGTTGCCTTCGTCGTTTCTTTTGTTTCCTTCATTGTTGTTGCAACTTTTCCCAATATTTTACCGCCGTTAAACACTAATTTATCACCTGGCATTTTACCAAGTGTCTTTAAACCCTGTATTAATGTTTGTTTAAATTTTTCATAATCGGGCGTGTCATTGAATTTCATTTTTGACAATTGTCCAATAAATTGTGATATTGCCACGGGAATAATTGAATCGACAAAACATTGTTTCAAAAATTTACCCGTATCGTTGAAGGCCGCTTCTTTTTGCTTTTGTACTGTTGATGGATCGGTTAAATTTTTTTCCCAAGGCAATGCGCCACAAATCCATTGAATTAAATTGTAGGCGAGAATTTCCATATCACCACGCATTGTTGGCACTGAAATAATTTCGATTTTTAATTAAGGAATTTATGTTTTTAAAAAATTAATAGTTTTTTTTTTTTCTTTCTAAAAATTTAAATAAAAATAAAATTTACCTCCCATGTGAGCATCGCGACTCGTATATTCAATAGTTCCATTGTGCGCTTTTTTTGGATCTAATTTATAATCCGGTTTTGTTGTATAATGCGACGCCAAACCAAAATCAACGAGATAAACTTGATTCTCATTTTCACGATTGAGTAATAAATTTCCTCCCTTAATGTCAGCGTGAACGTAAGTTCGACTGTGAATATATTCTAAAGAGTCAATCTACAAAAAAAAAAGGAATTTAATAAACTAAAAATAATTAAAATTAAATAACTAAAAGTAAAAATAATTAAAATTCTCTGTACTAATTTAAAAAAAAAAGAAAATTTACAATTTGCAAGCCAATTTGATAAACTGTATGCTCGGGAAAAATTCGATTATTCTCCAAAAATAATTTCCATAAATCTGTACTGTAACGTTCCATAACGACAAAACGATATTTTGTATTGTGACATTCATGACTTCCAGAACCAAGAAATCGTGGCATTCCAATGAAGGAGAGTTTCTTTTTCTTCCTCCATGATTCGACTGAAAGAAAAATAAATTTTTTTTTTTTACACATAAACTTTTAAATTTCATTTTATTTAAAATATTTTTAATAAATTAATAAAGAAGTAAAATAATAAATTAAACAATTAAACAATTGTAATTCTAAAATAAATTCAAAAATAAATTCAATAAAAAGAAAAAAAAAAAATTGTAAAAAATTATACGCACTGTCATCTGATTTAGCATTTCTCATGTAAAAATGCATTTCCACGAATAATGGTCCATTTCCATGTGGTTCCTAAATATTTCAAAAATTATTATTTATTTATATAATCAAATATTTATTTAGAATTTTCGAAAATTTACATTAACTTTATTTTATAATTAATTAATACTAATTAATTTACCCAATTAGCAATAGTAAATTATTTAAATATTAAAAAAATTCTAGTGAATCGTAAATAATTTAATATTTTTTTAATTTAAAAATAAAAAATGGGTAAAAAAATTCTACTCACTATTTTAATGACATTTGGATAATCTTTTGGTGTTTTGCCTGGTAAATAAGGCGCAGCTGTAAAGATAAATAAATTAATAGAGAAATTAAATTTCAAAATAAAATAACTTCAAAATTTAATTTTTCGCAAAAAAATAGGAAATTAAAATTCTATTTGTCTTTAATAAATAATTACTGTAAATAATTACTATAAATAACTACTATGAATAATTACTATAAATAATTATACATTTTTTAAGTTATATTTAAAAAAAAAAAAATTATTTTCAATTTCATAAAAGGAAAAAAAAAATACAGCTGCATTAAAAATGACATTTTTAAAATACCTGAATAAATTTCACCAAAACCGCCAACTCCAATTGAACTGCTAATAATCCATTGTCTTTTCATTAAATCAGTTAAAATTTCACCTTTTGGAATTGGATCAGGCAATTTATATCCATTTGCTCCTTTTTTCTTCGGCGCCTTTTTTGCCGTTGCTTTTCCGGCCATTTCTTTTTTTTTGAGGTTAGAATCAAAAATTTACAATCTTGATGCACACAACAGTCAACAATTTTATGCACACACACACAAATAACTGAGCTCGTACAACACTTATGTAAAAACTTGTTACAGTTTATTTAAATAACCAACAAAGACAATTATTAGAATAAAATTACGTTTTTTTTTTCTCAATTTGTTTCTATTCTTTACAAACTTATGTACATGATCTATAATCTGAAACTTTTTTTTGACTTTTATAGAGCAGCCAATAGAATTCACGCGTTTTCGACAAGATTCAACGGGAACAATTTTTAAAAATAATAACGGTCGATTTTTTTTTTTTTTTTTTATTGATTTTAAATGGAGAAGAAAATATTAATTTAGAGTTGAAAAATCAAATTATAATATTCTTTATCAATTGTAATTTTTTTCCAATGGATTTCAAGGTTAAATTTATAATTTCATGATGGGGTGCTATATGTACGTCACTGTAGTTGTCATGGCAACGGATTTGATCCAAATTTGAAATTCCAGAGAATTTAGTTTTTTTATTAATTAATTATTATTTATTAATATTAAAAACTTAAGTTCTTGTAAATTTAAATATAAAAATTTCTATATTTTACAATAAAGAATATTGCAAAAAGAAAAGAAATTATTTTTCGATAATAAAAAGAATTTTGAAATTGTGTAATCGTTGCTCTCTGCATTTTATTAAAACCTCTTTGTTATAACATATAATATAATTTCTAAATTCTAAATATACGCGCAATGTATACCAACACTGTTATATATGAAAAAAAAAAATTTGCACACAATATTTTCACTGTGTATAATATATATATTTATATAGATATATATTGGCTCGGTTTATTTTCTGGATAAAATATTTTTTTTGGATGGATGATTTGATATTATATATTTATTACTCGCGCATAAATATAAATAATAAAAAATTAAAATCATGTGTGCGTTAAAAAAAATTGAAAAGTTTCGCCTGCGAAAAAAAAAATAATTACCAATTTTTTTTTTTTTGTTTCTAATTTTCCTAATTAATGATTATTATATCTAGAATACAATTTCTCGAAAAATATAATTTTTATATTAAAAAATACTCATATCTACTTTGATCCTTTCGTATTTATATAGCCAAAATTTTTTAAAATTAAATATATTTTTTTTTTTTTAATTCAAAAACGATTTAAAATTAAATTTTATGTAATATCGCATATAATATCAAGGTTTTTTGTAATTTTTAAATTAAAATTAAATTGTTCACGCAATACATTTTTTTAAATAATCAAATTATCAACTTCAAAGAAATTTGTTCCATTGAATTTTTTTTTTTACCGAAAATAAAACGAAGCGATTACAATTTCAATCTTTGGTACGATTTTTAATTTTAAAAAAATCGTCCGATTTCAGTCTTCTCTTTTTTTCAATATATGTATATAAATTTCTTTTCAAAACGAAACATATATTTTTTTTTGCTGATTATCATTGCGATTGTATTGCAATTTTTTCCAAAATTATTTAAATTCAAAATTTGTCCCTATTTCGAAAATAATTATTATTATTAAATTCAATTTAATATTTTCGTAAGAGTAAAAAAAAAACAAATATTATTTGTTGACAAGAAATTCTCATAACATCGCAAAAACATGGAAGCATAAAAAAAAACCCAATCACGTAATTAATTTGAGATTTCCCCCCTCTCATCCCTTGATTAAAATTAAATAAAAAGAAAGGGTTTTTATTTTCAAAAAATTGCTTCTGTGATGTAATGAGAATTTTTAATTGATAAAATAATCATAATTATGTATCGGAATCTCAGTTATGTATCATTGCACGTAAAATTGGTGTGAATACTTTTGGTAGAGCACTTTTTGGCCCTTATCACAAATTGAGATACATTAACGAAAAAAAAAACTCTGTTGGGAGTTTTTTTTTTTTCGTTTCTATTTTAATGGTAATTTTTTTGTTGCAAAATTTAAATTTTTTGCATTCTCACAATTTTTTACGGTTGTTTTTTTTTTTTTATAAACACAATGATATTACGTGTGTTAATTAATTTGAAGATGGAAATTGAAAAAAAAAAATAATTAAATTTTCAATTCCTGACTGACGAGGGAGGTGATTGCGTGTTCCTGTGTAATTGCCGCGAGTTCCTTGAGCCATTCGTCCAAAACAACTGCGCATAAAATTACATTTTGCACGGCTGTTATTTCACTCGGCGATTCCCATGAAGTTTTCGTGTAATACCTGAAAAAAAAAATTTATTTATTAATAAATTCAAATTTAAATCAACGGATTAAGAATTTAAAATAATAATTAATTAATTACCGATATCCAGAACCGTCTGGAACGATTTCCAGATGATTTTCAGAAATACTTGATTGTGGATTTGTTAAACTGGAAAAAGAGGAACTTCCGCTTGATCTTCTAAACATTTGAGTCAACGAAGAAGTTAAACTCCGTTTTTTTGGCTCACCTGAAAATAAAAATTTTCCTTAATAAATCGAAAAATTGTTTTATTAAGAAAAATTAAATTTCATTTATCTGCTAACCTCTTGAAAATGATTCGCTGTTTGTCGTTGTTTTTATTGTCTCATTTGTCGAAGATCGTGCCGCAGCTTCTAATGCATTTTTTCTCGCATTAACAAGTTTATCCTCACGGCCAATGAGAAAATTTCTCGCCTGCTCAATAAGTAAATCCACATCCTCGTGTTTTAATAGAAATTGATCGATTTTTTGTTTTAATGACGCAATTACCTGAAAAAAGAAAAGAAAATTAATTTCCAAATAAGAAACTAAAAAAAAATGAATTATAAATTAAGAACAAACCTGAAACAATGATCGGATATTGGGTTGAAAAACAAGTGAATGATTGAGAAGAAACGATTGTAACAATGGTTGTGAATAAATAGCGAGCCTGCTAATAAGTCCCGTGAGATGTAAATTAACATAAATATTATTTGACATCATACATTCTAATTTTCTTAATAAAACATCGAGAAAAATTCCAACACTCGGTTGTCCATTAATAATGGACCGTCGATTTTGTCCATTATTATTCAATGTTTCTCGACTCGATGACAAAATTGTTTCACAAGATTCACCCCTTAGACCGTGAATTTGTACACTTGCCTCCTCGCTACATGACGATTCAATTATTGTTTCATCGTGTTCACTAATATGATCTTCATTTGATTCATTATCAGGCGTTGATTCCGATGATCCTTTAAATGCAAAACTCTCATAACCACTGCTTTCACCAATTGATAACAGTGAATTCATTGCCGTATTCGATTCATCAATTCCACTATCTGAACCTTAAAGATTATTTTTTATTTTCTAGAATTTTTTATAATTTATAGAAAAATATATAAAAATAAATAAATACCTTTTTTATTTAAATTCTCAATTGTAACGATAGTAATTTCCTCGTTTAATAATTCAGCGATATCAGCATCTAATTTCTCTTGATTTTCCCTAGATAAAATTTTAATTGACGATTCATTATCACTTAATAAATTCTCTTCACTTCCACCGCTAACATTCAACAATGATTGAATATTATCGAGAATATTTTGCATTTGTGAATTATCGGTGACATCTTCGCTAATATTCTCAATATCCGGGGAATAATTTGTACGATTTGTGCTATTATGACTATTATTATTATTATTGGCATTGTCATCGGCAAGTGTTGTGACACTACTTGTATTACTATTGTCACGTGGTGATGATTCTCCATCGTAGAGGCAGGACCAATTTGTGCAGGCAATTTGGCAAGAGGTAATTTTTTGTCGCGCATCACAAAGATAGGCATGATAATTTCCATAGAGACTTTCTGTTGTACGTGAACAATAATTACTTGCTGTTGTTGTTGATGTTGTCAATGGTGGTAGTGATTTTATATTTCCATCATTGGAACTTTTTCTACGCGCTGACGAAGGCACTGGTGGCAAAGAATTTGGAGGTGTTAAATTTGAAGCAACAATTGCAAATGGTTGACAACATTTTGGCGTTAGTGAAAGAAATTTATCAGCAGCACGTGCAAATGGATCAATATCGCGTAACCTTCGTCGTTGTGAATGCATTACATGATTGCAGGGACTTAAAGAAGCGAGACAAAGTTCCAGCATCACGTCCTCGCAATTTAAATCAATTAACGTTTCAAAAAGTGCGAGTGTCACTATACAGAGCTGAAAAAGCATAAAAAATTTTTTTATTACTTTCTTATTATTTTTTAAAAATAATTCTAAAATTTACCTAAATTAAAAAAAAAACTAGAAAAATGTTTATGAAATAACTCACCCGAGACTTAGATGATATTCTTTGGATTAAACTGTCAAGAATACGACAATCATCGAAATTATCCTCCAATAAAAATCGAACGAATGAACGCAATAATCCGGGTTCGGTAACTGAACGTAAAAATAAATCAAAATAAGCTGTTGCTGCAATAAGATCCTCCACTGAAGACTGTAAATTATAAAATTATTATTATTATACATTTTTTTACTATAACCAAATCCTTGACATGCTTCTTAACCCGAAAAAAGAAGTAATAGAATTATTTTAAAAATAATAATTTCTATTTCTTAAATTAAAAATTACAAAAAAAATTTCCATACCTAATAAATGGAAAGGGCGATAGTAATGAGAAAAAAGCAAAAAAACAATGTTAGAAGCGAAATAAAAAATAAATATGAAATGAAAAATGCAAATAAAAAAATTGTAATGAATTTAAAAAAAAGGATAATGTAACAGTGAATATAAATTATAAATTACAATTTTGTAATTAAAATGAAACATAAAAATAAAATTAATAATTAAAATATATATAATTATTAAATAATTAATAATTAAAAGAAGATTATTCTGAAATAAAAGCACAATTTAAAAAAGAAATCAGCAAATATTACACATAGGAAATTTATTAAAGTGAAGCTAGTGCAAAATTTTTAATTTTTAAATTAATAGAATTTAAATGAATAGGTGTATTTGACTTTGGTACGAACCCTGTTTTGCGGTGCATCAAGCTGTTCTATAGTCAAGTGAAGAGAATCCTACAAAGCAAGATGATAATCACCTCAGAGCCACCGACAACCACAAACATTTACATCAAATATTACCTTAACCATTATTTTTTTTTTCACAGATATTATATACATATTTTTTTTTTTTTATATATTTTACATTTAAAAATACAATTTTTCGAGAAAAAAAAATTTTCATTTCTTTACCACCACCGATCACAAAAAATATTTATTTATTTATATTATAAAATAAAATATAAAAAATTCAAAAAATTTATTTTATCAATTTAAATACTGAAAAAAATTATTTATTTGATTCGAATAATCAATTACTTAATATCAAGTAAATATTTACTTGAAGCAAAATAATTTTTAATTGAATTAAAAATTTGTATTTAAACCAATAATTTGTGTATTTTAAACAAAATACATTGAATCAAATAATAATTATTTGGTTCAAGTAAATATTTCTTTGATAATGATGTCAAAAGTAATCGATTATTTGAAATCAAATTTTTTTCAGTGAAGAAATCGATAATATTTCATCTCTATAAAAACAGAATTTAGACGAATTTTCCATTTTTTTAAAAATCAAAATATAAATTTTTAGAAAATTCAAATTGTAATACGGAATATTTAAAAATTGAATAATATAATAAAATAAGAATTCAAATTTCAAATAAACAATAAAAATTTTATTCTATTGTAAAAAAAATTAATTTACCCAAAAAAAATGTCAAATTTAAAAGCTAAAATAGTAATTTTTCTTTTATTTGATTAAAAATTTTCTTTTGGAAAATTTACAATTTTATCGAAATAATAGAAAAAATTTCAAATTTACGTATACCCAAATTTTTACATTTACATAAACAATTTTAATTTACAAAACTAAAAATAGTTTAAATCTAATAAAACTAACGGCAATTTTTTTCGTTTGTAGATTTAAAAAAACTTAAAAAGCTTAAAACTTGTAATTTAAAAAAAAGAGAAAAAAAAAATAGGACAAAACAAGCAAACAAGCACTCATCAAAAAAAGGTAAAAAAAATACAATTTTTTTTTTTTTTTGGATAACTAGGAAAAATTGTGAAAATATTTTAGAGAAAAAAAATAATTTTTTTGTTTACCTGTAAAAGCGCATAACCCATAACTGGAACTAAAAATCCATTGTACAAAAAATCGAGAACTTGCTTTTGAACAAGTGGATGGGCAACTTGTGCCACTGCATTACAAAATTCAAGATAATTTATTAATTGCGTAATTGCCGGCATATCATTGATATCATCGGGTGTCAATCGATGCCAATCATCTGTTTCGATATCCAATTTTTTCGGCAAATCTGAATAAAGGGCATTTATAACCATTGCCAATACCTTGATGAAGAAAATTAAAACAAAAAATTTTTTGTAATATTTTTGTCTATAAAGTATTTTATAATATTCAAATATTCAAAAAATATGATTTTAAGAAAAAAAAAACAGAGAGACAATTTACCGAACAAACTCCAGTTGATGGATCGGCAATATAACTTCCAACTTCATCGTTTTTTCTCGATAATGACATGCAAAGTAACATTGCATCTCTTGCTTGTTGTCCAACACCACCTTCACGATGGATATGTGGTATTAAAAGTGTAAAAATGAGAAATCTACAAAGAAAATAAGAAAAATATATGAAAAAAAAAGTAGATAATAATTTTATGAAAAAAAATAAAATAAAAAAATTCTTCTCACTTATTTTTTTCATTTGCTTTGGGATGAAAAAAAAGATCAAGAAGTGCAAGATTTTGCATAAGAGCAACACAAAGTTGATTAAGTAAAATTACAAGTTTTTTTTCAACTTCAAAAGGCATAACATCGTTTGCGCATTGTTCTAATAATCGTAACAATGGCCTTGCCACTGGTTCATGTGCCAAAAGTGCACTATTATGGGAAACCAAAAGCTCATATAATTTCAATTGTTCCAAACGAACAGCGTTGTTAAATCTAAAAATGAAAATTAAAAATTACAAACTTAATTTATTATATTATCAAATTATTTATAATTATATTATATAATTTATTCTTTTTAATTATTTATTATAATTCTGCAATATCCGAAATTGTATTATTATTATTATTTTTTTTTATTATTATTACTATTATTATTAGTAGTAGTAGAATTTTTATTATTTAATTAAATAAAAAAAAAAAAATTTTTTTTGATTTAAATAAAAAATTTTTTAACGTTAAAAAAATTGAGTCCAAAAAATGAGATCTTACTTTCCTGTATATAAACTCCAATCAAAGAGTTTATCAAGTAAATTTTCGCTGAGTAAGTACTCTAAACATGGAGAGTGTGTAGGCGATGCTGTATTCCGGTGATTAGGTAATGTGGAATTTCGTAGTTCCAACAATAGAAGAGTCACCATTTGATCAACATGATTCACCACACCAAGAACATCGTCCTGCTTTGGAAGTCCTTTTGGAGGCTGTAAATCAAGAAATTTAAGAATTAAGAATTTTTTTTCTTCTTCTAAAAAATATTAAAATGAAAAAAAAAAAATTTGTAAATTTAAATTTATTAAATTAATTTTCTATAATTTATTTAATATAATTGACCAAGGAAATTTCAATTCAATTATCAAAATATGTAATTCGTTTAAAACGTTATATTAAAAATAATAATAATAATAATAATAATAATAATAGAAACAGTTAAATTATATAATATTTATTTATTTAAAAAAATTAAATACACTTTTGATTAAATTCGTTGAATGTTTGTTGAAATTTTTTTTTTCTAATATTTTTCTTTTTAAAATTATATTTTATCGATTCATTTTTCAGCCCTGAAACTATGTTTACAATAAGGAAAAGATTTTTATCATTGTTAAAAACAACTTCTTCAATAATATCGATTTGTTAAAAAAGAAAATGCAAATAAAGAAAATAATATAGGAAACATTTTTTTGAATTGAATATTTTACATTTCAACATTTTACATAAAATTCATAATTAACAATTAACAATTGGCAATTAACAATTAACAATTAATAATTAATAATTAATAATAAAAAATTCTAAATTCATAAATAACATAATTACATAAAAATTTCAACCAAAAATTAATTACAACAAGAAAAAAATAACTAATTTATAACGAAGTTTTTTTTCATAATTAACAATTGACAATTAATAATTAATAATTAATAATTAAAAATTGAAAATTCATAAATAACATAATTACATAAATAATTTCAACAAAAATTAATTACAAAAAGAAAAAAAATTCCTAATTTATAACGAAAAAATTTGTTTAACTTATCAATCGCCAATTCACCCAAAAAAACAATAAACGATAAACCAAATCCAAAACCAAGAATTCGTAATAAAAAAATTTTAAAAGGAAACATTTGATATTCCTCACTAATTATTACTGATTCATAATCAATAATTTTCATTTCACTTTTCATATAATCGAGAAATTTTATTTTCCAACGATTTAAAATTCCATATTGTCGCATTAATGAATACAAATTTTGAAATTTTTTCCGATACGGTGATCCAGGTTCAACAATAAATCCCTGTACAGTTGTATAAAAATTATCCGGTATCAATTGCATCACCTCTTGTCCTTTTCTATTGTACTGCAATAAATACCATTCGGCAATTGTTTTTTTCATAATACAAGCGACATTTTTCTTTTCAATCAAATTTTTAATACACAATTCAGGTGAGGGAAAAATTTTCCTCTTTTTCATTACCATTGCTATTAAATCTTTATCCTGTGTTGAATGAATATAGAGCATTGTATTTATTTGTGTACCAATTTCAAGTTCCGATTTATTTAAATCCATAAAATTATATACCTGACTTGTGACATTGTTTCTAATACTGTAGCCAATGAAACCAGCAAAAATTTCCGATGAAAAAAAGAAAGAAACAAAAATTATTGTTAGAAAAATAATTCGTTCTTGTAATTTATCCGGTTCTTTATCAACGGTGATGTTGAGGAAAATTTTTATAATTGTTGTATAATTCCAAATTTTTGGATCAAATTTTATGAGATATTCAAGTGTCCAGATTATTAGTAAAATTGTGATTAGAGGAATTATATAAATAATGTTGCCTCCCATTGAAAATGTTGATGTATCTTTTAATTTTGGAATTAGAGCAACAAGTTGTTCAAGATCAAAACCAACAAATCCAAAAAGAAAATTATTTTTCCTCTCTTGACGAAATAAATCAGTGTTTGATACCATTGTACTGACACCAATGTATTGCAATTCTCGATGAAACATTTTTGACAATAAACCCGTTACTTTTTTTTGTTTCGCTAAATATTTACCAAAAGAATCATTTTTTGTTGGCACAAATATCGGTTGAAAATTCATTCGCTCGGCAAATAATTCACCGATAAGTGCATCTTTTCCAGATGTTTCAATTGGATGATTTGTGGAATTTCTTCTTACAAATGCCAATGGTGGATAGGTAAATATTCCAATTTTCATTGGATAGCCATTCATATTTTTTAATTTATCCGGAAATAAAATTGCCTTTCTTGTAAATTTCACATTTTTGTAATCAATAAACGGATTTAATTGATGAATTCTAAATTTTTTGTTGCTAATTTCAATTATTGTGAGATCGAGAAAATATTCCATTTTCCACATTTTTCGAAGAAATTTCTCATCATTATTTGAAATTTCACGAGAAAAACGAATAATTAGACATTTTGGACGATTTGACGAACCTGCTAAACGGGCAATTTGGATAATTGATTTTTCCATTTTTAAAAAATTTTCCCCATCGCTTATTATTAGAAATAGAGTATTATCACGTGAAATTGCCAATGATTGAAAATTAAAATAATTGTCAATTTTCTCATTACTCAAATAAGAGGTATTGAAATGTAACGTTGGTAAATGATGAATTTTTTTCACAAGTACAGCAGCATATTGATGTTTAATTTCATCATCGGTGATCACAAATATTTGCTGAATTTTAAAATCAATTGATTTTAAAATATTATCAATTTTTGGTAATTTTATTCTAATTTTAGAAATAATATTTTCATTTTTAGCCAAAATCAATGGCAAAAGGTAAATAATTTTTAAAATAATTAGCATTTTTGAATTTTGAAAAACAATTTTTGTTTCTTCTATACCAAAAGTCGGTTTGATACAAATTTGAGTTTGTTGATTTTTGTATCCTTTTTTTTGTCACTAGGCAACAATAATTTCGATTTTTAAATTACAATTTTTTTCTCAGCTGACAACGAAATATAAAAAGATTACTATTTTCATTCCCCAAGAACAATTTTCTTTTTTGCATTTCTAGAGAAAATTTTTTCATTGAAAATAAATTTTATTGATCTTGTCAATGAATAATTCACCGAGAAAAACAATAAACGATAATCCAAGTCCAAAACCAACAACATAGAATATTAACATTTTCAAATTAAACACTTCATTCTCTTCTTTAATTACCGATTCCATTTCGTCAATTTTTCCCTCATTTTTCACATAATCAACCAATTTTGCCTTCCATTGATTTAAAAGTCCACTTTGTTGTATACGTGAATACAAATATTGAAATTTTTGCCGATAAGGTGAACCAGGTTCCATACCAAAACCCTGCATCGATGTGTAAATAATTTCCTCCATCATATTCATTACAATGTGTTCTTTTTTATTATATCTCAACATATACCATTCGGCAATTGTTCGTTTCATAATGCAAGCGATATTTTTTCTTTCAATCAAAATTTTCAAACATAATTCAGGTGAGGGGAAAATTTTCCTCTTCTTCGTTACCATTTCTATTAAATCTTTATCCTGTGTTGAATGAATATAAAGCATTGTATTAATTTGTGTACCAATGTCAAGTTCCGATTTATTAAGATCTGAAAAATTGTTAATTTTACAAATAGCATCGCTGACAAAACTCACATTTGTGAGATTTGCAAAAATTTCCGACGAATAAAAAAAACCAACAAGAACCATTATTAGAAAAAAAATACGTTCTTTTAATTTTTCCGGTTGTTGTGGTATGGCAACTCCAAATAAAATTTGTATAATTGTCGTTGAATTCCAAATTTTTCTCTCAAATTTCAATAAATATTCACAAATCCAACTTAAAAGGATAATTGTGATTATTATTGTGATTGCATAAAATATTGTTGATCTCATTGATGATGTTTGTAAATCAATTAAATTTGGCACCAAAACAACAAGTTGTTCAAAATCCAATTTCACAGGTTCATAACCAACTTGAAATTTTTTAATACCAGGCATTAATGTATCAATGCCAACGTATTGCAATTGTCGATAAAGCATTTTATACATTAAACCAGTTGCCTTTGTTTTATCCGGTGTATATTTACCAAAATAATTTTCCTCTGTTGTCACAAATATTTGTTGAAAATTCATTAAATGGGCAAATAATTCATTAATTAATCCATCTTTTCCATCGGCTGCAATTACATGATTTGTTGAATTTCGTTTTAGAAATGCCAAAGGTGCAAGTTGAAATATTCCAACTTTTATTGGATAACGATTCATATTTTTTAATTTATCTGGAAATAAAATTTCCTTTCTTGTGAATTTTACATTTTTGTAACGACCATAAGGATTGAATTGATGTATTCTAAATTTTTTGTCATTAATCTGAATTATTGTGAGATCGAGAAAAAATTCCGTTTCCCACATTTTACGAAGAAATTTCTCATTAGTAGAAATATTCGAAAATTGGATAATTAGACATTTTGGACGAATTTTTGATTCTGATAAATGGGCAATTTGCATCATTGTTTTTTCGATAGTTGTGAAATTTTTCTCGTCACTTACTATTAGAAATAGTGTTGTTTCTCGTAAAATTGACATTTTTTCAAAATTGAAATATTTTTCCACTTTTTCATCATTAAAAAATGAGATATTCAAATGTAAAATTGGTAAATTTTCAATTGTTTTCAAAAAAGAAGTAGCATATTGATGTTTAAGTTCATCATCAGTTATCATCATTGTTTGATGAATGTTGAAATTAATTGATTTTAAAATATTATTGAATTTTGTTTTGCCTTTAGAAATGTTTTCATTTTTAGCCAAAATTAGCGGTAAAAAATAAATGATTTTTAAAGTGAATAACATTGTTAATTTTTTTGGATTTTGAAACTTCTTCTTTAGAAACTATTTCCAGGAGTGGAAATTTCAAAACAAGTCGACGGTACAAAGTCGAAAAATGATTTGAAATTTTTTTTTTTTTTTTCTTTTTCTACTATTTTTTGTATTTCTTTTCTCGTTACATAGCAACAAAGAAAGTTTTTAATTACATTTTCTTATTGATTGTTGTGTTTTTTTTCTTAGTAACTCGGCAACGAAATAAAAAATATCTTACAAAGAATCTTGCTTTACGTTTTCAATTTCTCTTTTTTAAATTTCAAACAATTTTTGCTATCAATTTTTGAATCATCTTTATTTTTCTAAGCATTTTTAAAAATGAAAATTATTTAAGAAAAGAAGGAAAACTTTATTGATCTTGTCAATTAATAATTCGCCGAGAAAAATAATAAACGATAATCCAAATCCAAAACTAATAATATACAACATTAACAATTTAAAAGGAAACATTTCATTCTCCTCCATAATTATTGTCTCAAAATCAATAATTTTCATTTCACTCTTCATATAATCGAGAAATTTCACTTTCCAACGATTTAATAATCCACATTGTCGCAATAATAAATATATTTCCTCAAATTTTTGCCGATATGGCGAACCATTTTCAAGAGCAAATCCTTCCATTGACGTGTAAAAATTATCCGGAATCAATTGCATCACCTCTTTTTCTTTTTTATTATACTTCAATAAATACCATTCAGCCATTGTTCGTGTCAAAATACAAGCGACATTTTTATTTTTAATTAAATTTTTCACACAAAATTCAGGTGAGGGAAAAATTTTCCTCTTTTTCATTACCATTGCTATTAAATCATTATCATGTGTTGAATTAATGTACATCAATCCATTGACACGAATACCAATTGAAAAATTGGATTTTTCTAAATCGATGAATTTATTAATTTTAAATTTATCATCTCTCATAACAGTGACACTGGTGAGATTTGCAAAAATATCCGAGGAGAAAAATAAAAAAATCAAAAACATTGTTATGAAAATTATTTTTTCTCTCAATTTCTCAGGTTGTTTGACAATTGCTATTCCAAGTAAAATTTGAATAATTGTCATTGTATTCCAAATTGTTTCGTCAAATTTGCAAAAATATTTATAAATCCAATTTATTAGAATAATTGTAATTATTAATACAATTGTATTAAAAATTGTATCACCCATTGAAAATTTACGTGATTCCATCAATTTTGGCATCATAACGACAAGTTGATTAAAATCAAAAATTGCAAATTCATAACCAATTTGAAATTTTTTATTACCAGGCAATAAACCTCTAACGCCAATATATTGTAATTGTCGATCATATAATTGATACATTAAACCAGTTGATTTATTTTTATCAGAAGAATATTTTCCAAAATAATCTTCCATTGTTGGTATAAAGAATAATTTAAAATTCATTAATTGGGAAAATAATTTATTAACAATTGCATCTTTTCCAACGAATTCAATTGGATGATGAGTGGAATTTCGTTTTATAAATGCCAAAGGTGGACGTTGAAATATTCCAATTTTCATTGGATAGCCATTCATATTTTTTAATTTATCTGGAAATAAAATTTCCTTTCTTGTGAATTTTACATTTTTATAACGAATAAATGGATTTAATTGATGAATTCTAAATTTTTTGTCGTTAATCTGAATTATTGTGAGATCGAGAAAATATTCCATTTTCCACATTTTTCGAAGAAATTTCTCATTCGAAATTGTATCAGAAAAATGGATAATTAAACATTTTGGACGAATTTTTGTACCTGATAAACGAGCAATTTGCATCATTGATTTTTCGATTTTTAACAAATTTTTTCCATCGATTATTAATAAAAATAAAGTCGTGTCTCGTGAATGTGAAATTATTTCAAGATTTAAAAAATTGTCCATTTTTTCGTCATTAAAGTGTAAAGAATTCAGTTGTAATGTTGGTAAATTTTGCTGAATAATTTTTACAAGGGAAAATAAATTTTGATGCCTGTTTCCTTCATCATCATCATCAGTGATCATCAGTGTTTGATAAATATCAAAATTAATCGATTTTACAATATTCTCGAATTTTCGAAATGTTTCTCTCTTCTTTTTAAAAATGCTTCTGTTTTGAAAAATGATTTTTTCATTTTGAACTAAAATCAAAGGCAAAAAATAAATTATTTTTAGAGTAATTAACATTTTTAATTGTTTTTTTTTCTTGTCTGCGTTTGGAAACGATTTTTTAAATTCTATTCTTCAAGAACTATTTTCAAGGTATAAAATTTATTTTTTTTAAAGTTTTATTTGAAAACAAGCCGAAGGTACTGATTCAAAAAAAAAAAAAAAAAAAAAAAAAAAAAACTGTTTTTTTTGTATTTAATTATTGTATTGTTTTTTCGTTACTTGGCAACAAAGTAAAAAATTTCTATTTTCAAATTCGATTGTTGTGTAATTTGATTTGTTTTTTAGTAACTTGGCAACGAAATAAAAAATAATTGTAATTTTTAAATTTATATCCAATTTTCAATCGATTTTTAAATTATTTTCTTCTTTTTTTCGAAATAAAATAGAAAATGTAGGAAAATATAAATTTTTTAAAAAATTATACAATTATGTAAGAATTTAATTTATAAAAATTCAAATATAATAATATTTATCAATTAAAATAATAAAATAAAATTATACAGAATAGAAATATTTTTTTAAATTATTGCTAAATCACATATTTATTTAAATTTTGAGGTTAAGTTACAAATATTTCGAGTCATATTAAAAACTCATTATTTCATTCTAAAATATTATAATTATTATTATAACTAATTATTTATTCATTATTATTTCTATTATTATTATTATTATTATTATTATTTTTATCATTATATTATTTTTATTATTACATTTTTTTTTATTATTGTGTTTGAAATCAAATTACGTTACTGTTATTTTTAGTAACGGTAACTCTGGCGCGTAACAATTTTTGAATAACAAAATAATATAATAAAAAAAAAACATAATTGTCACTTTGTTTATTATCAATAGAACTCGATATAAAAATTTATGATACAAAAATACGAACGCAATATATATGATAAGGAATTGAGAAAAAGTAGAAAACCTTGGAGAAATATATATATATATATACGTATCTATCATGTATATATATAGAAATAAAAAGAAATAAATAAACTAACCTGTGTGCTGGAAATAATTTCGTAGCTCTGCTGCCAATGTTTTTTAAAACTGTCATAACATGCCGTGGGATCAGCATCCTTAGGTGGAGAATCTCTGGACCTTTGTTTACCAAAATTTGTCCCAAGAGAATTACCTCGTAACCAACTCATCTCCTTTATTATTCAGCTTGCTACCTTTTTTTTCTCAAAATTATTTTCAACATAACCTTTATATAGATCTATTTTTCATATATATATATTTAGAGAAATAACGCGCATTATAATTTATAACAATAAAAACACACAACTTCAAAAAACGTTTAATTGTCATTCACATTTTCTAAAAAAAAAAAGAAAAAGTTTTAAACGTTTTTAAACAAGCTGTCTCAACACTGTACGCGTGATAACTATGCAAAAAAAGAAGGAAGATATGGAATTATAATGATCTCTTATTTATTCAGTCCATGTACTCGTTTATATTTTATCTCAGTTTGAAAACAATGAATAGAAATACATTGACGCAATTTTCACTTTACAGTAGCACTATAGCAAAAAAAAAAAAAAAAATTCATCTCGTTTCCAGGAATTTTTGACTGTCATATATTTTTAGGTTAGTGTGCAACATTATCGACCGCAAAAATATGTATAGAAGATTGACGATTGTTGGTAAAACAGTGCTGTCAAATTTTCTAACCTTTAACACGTGTGTTTTTCTTCTTTTGTTGATATTTTTCTCTGCTGTTTATTTTGATATTTTAATAAAATGTCTTCAATTAAGGTAAGTAGCTGTATTAAATCTAAATTGTAATTTATAATAAATGTAAAAAGAAACAGTTTAGATTTGTTATTTATATATATATATAGAAAAATACCGAAAATTCACAATGATTTTGCAAAATTTTCTATTTCGCATTAAAATTAAAAAAAAAATTTTCTAAAATACTTTTGAATTATTAAAAATTTCGGTTTTATTTTTAAAATATAAAAATAATAATTGTATGTAATAAAATATAAGATTAGTAAATTTTAATTAAATCTGAATTTACTAGATTGAATTCGCAGTGCAAATGACGTGTCAAAATTGCGTAAATACGATAAAAAATACATTATCCAATGTCAATGGTATTCAAAATGTTGATATTTCTTTGGAACGAGGAACTGTTGTTGTTGATTCAGAACTTCCTTATTCTTTAATTCAGGAAAAAATTGAGAGTACGGGAAAAAAAGCCGTTTTTAAAGGTTACGGAGGTGAATAAAAAAATACTATTTAATTTTTGTTTGATATATAAAAATTAATTTTTTACTATTTATAAAGAAAATTTTATTATTCGAAAATTTAAAATTTATGCGCAAGTAATTTTTAAATTTAATTCTAAAATACAATTATACTGAAAAAAAAAATTTATTTGATTCAAATAATCGATTACTTTATTATCAAATAAATATTTATTTTAAGAATAATTTTTATTTGAAGTAAATAAACTTTATTTGAACCAATAAATTTTGTATTTGAAAGAAATAAAATTTAATTGCCATAAATAAAAATTATTTAGTTCAAGTAAATATTTATTTGATAATAAAGTAATCGATTATTTGAATCAAATAAATTTTTTTTTCAGTAGTTTGCAGTATTAATTTTTTTTAATTTCGAATTTTTGAAAATCTATTATTTAAAAATTGATTTAGTTTTAATTTAATTGTTATAATAAATTAATTTATTCTGCAATTTATTTTTATAAATAAAAAATATAAATAAAATTGATTTACTTTTAATTTAATTGTTAATAAATTATCATTTATTTTGCAATTTCTATAAATTTAATATTTTTAATAAAATTAAAAATTTAAATCACTTTTAAAATTTACAATTATAAATGTAATTTTTAATGAAGAAAACATAATAATATCGATAGAATAATTTTTTAGGCTCTGAATCGTATAGCGCTGTTTCGATGTTGGGCGGAAATTCTGGTTACAGTTTCGGTGAATCAGCGAAAGGTGTTATTAGATTCGCGCAAATTGATAAAGGTTGTATAATTGATGGCACAATCGATGGTTTGTCACCAGGTGCTCATGGTTTACATATCCACGAATGTGGTGACATTTCCCGAGGTTGTGAGAGGTAAAAAAGAAAAAAAAAAGAAAAAAAAGAATCTATTAATCTCTTAATAACGAAATATATAAAATAATAAATTAATTTTGTAATATTAAAAGAAAAAAAAAATTAATTACAGCGTTGGCGATCATTTTAATCCACATAATTCACCTCACGGTGGACCAGATGACGAGTCTTCGAAAAGAGTGCGTTGAAAAAAAAAGAATTCATATTTAAAATAAATAAATTTCAAATTATTGACAGAAATTTAATTAATTAGAAATTAAATTAATAATTAATAATTCTATAAATAAATATTTTATAATTTATTGCTTCAAAAAAATTAATTTCTTGATTTTTTTTTTCTTTTTTTATAGCACATGGGAGATTTGGGAAATATTATTGCCGACGATTCTGGACGCGTGAGATTTCGAATTCTCGATCATTTATTGAATGTTCCGGAAATAATTGGACGATCTTTGGTTATCACGGAAAAAGCCGATGATTTTGGAAAAGGCGACAGTCCAACTTCGAAAATTGATGGAAACAGCGGAAACAAGTAACGAAATATTTTAAGGAAAAAAAATTTTTAAAAAACTCTAAAAAATAAATAATAAATAGAAAATTAATAAATATTTGAATATTTAAATATAAACAAATATAAAAAAATATATAAAAAATTGCATTAATAATTTATTATTAATTAACAAATTTTTGTTAATTTTCAGACTTGTTTGCGGAATAATTGCAAGATCTTCGGGATTATTTCAAAATACAAAACAAATATGCGCCTGTGACGGTCTCACACTTTGGGATGAGAGAAATCGAAGTATCGATGATCAAAAAACAAATTCGAGTACGATTAATAAAATATGTTCTATTTCTTGACTCATTTGTGTTAATTTTCGATTCATATGTAAAAAATTAAAATTTACTTTAATTTCATTATTCATTAACAAATTATTATATTTTTTTTTTACTATTAACAAATTAACGTTTGTTTCCCTTTTTTTTTTGTTTTGCAGAAAATCCTTGACAATTTGGAGACTAAATTAATCGATAAGAAACAAATTAACCCAGTGAAGAGCATTCCTGAGCATGAGAAATACAAATATTTTTTTTATTTACATTTCAAAAAATATCTAGTAAAAAAAATTATTTTTGTATATTTTTTTATAGTTAACTTTCTATTTCTCAAAATATATATATTTTTGTAATTTACAATTTTCTAATATCAATTTTTAATATTATCAATAATTATCAATTTTAAGTAAATTTTTTGTGGAATTTTTCAAAATATTTCTGTTTAAATTAAAATAAAAAAGATTAAATTCTATTTAACAATTTCTTTATTTAAAAAAGTGTGTAAAAAGCTTATAATTCTATTTTTGTCTTAATAAATTATTCGATTTTTGTTTATTAAAAACTAAAATTAGTGCGAAATAAAAATTTTAAATAAAAAATGTTTCTTTTAAATTGTTTTCTATTTTCATTCGAATTCAATTTAAAAAAAATACTAATCAATTTTTCTAATCCTGTTTCCAATTTAATTTCGTTTTAATAATTTTCAAAAATTAAAATTTTTCAAGTATTAACAAATTTTTTTCTTTCTTTTTGAAATTGAATTAAATAACTATAATTTAATTAAAATCTTAATTCAATTTTTGTAATTTCTAAATTTTTTTTTTTTTTTTTAAATAAATTCCTCCCGGCACGACTTGTAACAAATTTGTAAATGTATAAATAGTGCAAATTTTTTGAAATAATAGATTATTTTTTTTTTTAAAAAAAGGCAACAATTGAAAGCTCGAGCAAATAAAAGGAAAAAACAATTGAGGTGTGAGAATTATAAAAATTGAGGAATAAATATATAACGAAATATGAGAAATTAATCGTCGTCATCGGAATCGTCAGATTCTTTGCCGCGAATTGTTTTTGATTTTTGCTTTTGATTTAGCCATGGTTTTTTCTCTTGTTCAGGTGGATGCATTAAATCGCCACTGTACGTTATGCAACCCGATTGAGCGATTCGCCATTCCATCATTTCCGTTGAGAAATCATCACAATTACCCAAATCAGTGAAACCAACAATATAATCCTTTGCCTTGCTATCAACGACAAGTGCAATTGTCGGAATTATTCTTATTCTCAATCGTTCTGTTAAAAAATTTAATTTTTTAATATCAAAAATTATACTTTTTATTATTTATTATTATTTTATTATTTCTTTTTTTTATTATTTTAAGCAAGAAAAAATTCTTCAATGTAAAGAATTTTTAAAAAATAATGATTAAAAAAAAATAAAATTTTTGAATTCTTTTTTTTCAATTAAATTAATTTTAAAATTGAAAAATGATTTAAAAATTGAAAATATTTTTTGTTTACCCGTTAAGAAAGGACATCTTTCGACATTGAGTTTACAAAATCGTGCCTCCACGTGTTTTTTGGCTAGAATTTTTAAATGCATATCGGCAATTTTTGAACGTGGCGAGCCATCTTTGTAAAATAGACAAACGATGTTTTTCGATTTTTTCGAAACCTCGAAAAATTCTTTTTCATCAAAAAGCTCGGAATATTCTCCATGACCCTAAAAAAAAAAAAAAAAAAAATTATTATTTTACGATGAAAAAAAACTGATTAAAAAATAAAATAAAATTTCTTTAAAATTAAGAAAGAAAAAAAATTATTTAAACATTTTTAATTTTATTGAGACAAATTAGATTTTATTCAGTTTTTAAATTAAAATTTATTTAAAAAAAAAAACTCACTAAAGAAATCCAGATTTGCTTTTGATGTTGAATTTTTTTGATTTCTTTTAATCGTCTTTCACGTAATTTTTCAATATCATCAATGTCCAATTTATCGAGACGCTCAATTTCTGCGTCCAAATGTTCCTCTACTTTCTGAGCAACTTCCACGAGTTTCTGTTGAATGGCTGCTTCCATTTTTTTTTCTAAACTTAAATTTAATAATATTCAAAAATTAAAAAAATAATTTTCTTACCGCCGAAAATATTTTGCCTCAATAATTTATAATTATTCTACAAATTTCTATTAAAACTACAAATATTTTATTTTTGTTATTAATAACCAAAATTGATAGTATCAAATAATAATATCAATAAATTAAAAAAATTATTAACAATTCTCTAAAATCGAATATCAAACGTGCAAAAGAAAGTGAGGTTATGTGAAACAAAAAAATTGTTAAATTAATTTAAAAACATAAGTAAATTTGAATAAGAAATTCTTAAAAACACACTTGGAATAAAATTATCAAATAAAATTCATTCAAATAAAAATTGTAACGGTAAATTGACAGCCACGCACCCCGATAATTAAATATTTTGTTCCCTGTCAATTTGTATTTTTAGTAAAAATTAAATAAATATTTTCTTATGTTTTAATTTTAAATACCTGTAATAGTTACACAAGAGAAACTTTTTTCACACCTTATAAGGTAAAACGGAATAAATTATTAAAGAGAATAAAAACAACACGACATTCACGTATTAATGTCAATGAATGAAATTGTAAAAAAAAATGGTGATCTTTAATGTTCATTCACATTTTTATCATTCATTAATTTATTGTAAAAAGCAATAGCTGATTGGTCACTTCCATTGGGTCAATATTACGTAACAAATCAAAGGGTTTTTTAATATTTTCAAAAATTCACAATTGTGATTATGCCTTTATTTACCATTTTTTTCCCAAGTTCACAGAGAGCGCTGCAGTCAGTTGGCGTGAATTTCAAACAATTCAAACAATTTTAAAAGAATTATTTAACAAAAAATATAGCCTTTTTGTAGAATTTTAACAAAATTTTAAAATTCCAATTACCTTTTACTAAAATTTTTTTAAACAGTTTTTTTTTATTGATTCAAAAAATATCGAAACCGTAAAAATCGATCTTTATATATCGAAAATGTTGAATGAATTAGACATAACCTATACTTACTAAACAAAACAGAAAAATAATAAAAATTTGTATTTGTTGAAGAAAAAGACAAATATAAAAAAATGTTAAATAGTATGAGAAGTGTTTTAAATTGTTTTCGATCAAATGAAAATACTTTACTTGAAAGTTCGAAAATAATTGGCGTTCAACAAAAACGGGTAAGAAGTTTTTATTATTATTATTAATCTTTTCATTATTGTTTAAAATTCAAAAGTTGTATGGTAATTAAAATTATAAATGAAAAAAAAGTTAATTATATATTGTTAATAAATTAATTTTAACAATACAGAGTGAATAGAATACTTTCTATTTTTTTTTTAATTTTCCTAACCTCAAACAAAACGATGGTTTATTATTTTTTTAATGAATTTATAAATGTAAATTAAAAAATAAGAATTTTGTTTACACAATTTACAATAGTTTATGTAATTTATAAAATTATTATTATTATAATTAATACAGTATTAATAATTACAATATTAATTTATTTATTATAATTTTAATTTATATAATTATATAAATAATAAATGACGATTTTTTTACGATCGTTTTTTTTTATACGAGATATATTTTTAAGATTTCAATTTGTTTAATTGATATTAATTTACTTTATTATTTTACAATTGCTTTTCGGTAATTATGCAGTTATTAATTATTAATAATTATTTTTAATTATTTAATAATTAAATATTATTAATTATTTAATAATTAATTATTATTAATTATTTAATAATTAATTATTATTAATTATTTAATAATTAATTATTATTAATTATTATTAATTATTTAATAATTAATTATTATTTTATTTTTTATTTTATTTTTTATTTTTATTAATTATTATTATTTTTTTGTTATTATTATTTTATTGCAGTTATTAATTTATTATTATTTCTGTTATTTTATTTTTCACGTTTATTTATGTAAATTAATTTTTAAATTCCAAAATTTAATATTTATGTATCGAAACGACAAAAATAAAATTGAATTTTAAACAAATGAATTTGGAATAAAATTTAAAAAGAATTGTTAATAAATAAAATTTTGAATACAAAATTATAATATGGTTATTACATAATTAAATTTGCAATTTTCTAATTAATTGAATTTAAAACAAAAATTTAATTTTTAAATATATACAATTGAAATTTGAATTTAAAAATTCTTTAATTTTTTTTTTTTTTTCTTTTTGGTAGACTACTTATGTGGTAAAACGAAAATATCCCGTGGGACTTCAAAAAAAATCATTACCACATCCTGATAAATTAAAGCATCGACATTTTATTTACGAAATAATTGGCTCACCATATAGAAAACAATTGCAACCATTGGATGTTATATTAATGGATTATGTTGAAGGAATTGGCAATAAAGGCGAACGATTAACATTAAAACATTCAATAGCTTATAATAAATTACTTTTACCAGGACTTGCTGTTTATGCATCACCTGAAAATATTGCAAAATATGCAAATGTTGAGGAGAAAAAAGATAAATTTAGTTCACCTTACGTTGAAAGAACATTAAATATTTTAGCAACACGTCTTGTAATAATTGAAATGAATATAAAACAATCTTGGACATTAGAAAAATGGCATGTAAATTGTGCATTAAGAAGACATGGTATTTATTTGCCATTAGATGCAATAACAATGCCCGATCATGTGATAACGGGTCCAAATTTAGAATTAATGGAAAATAAAGAATTTTTTATTAAAATAACAATTAATAATCGTGAAACAATGAATGTACGTTGTCGTATTCATCATGTACATAGAAATCCAATTCTCAGCGCAAATCTTGATCCAAATTATTTTCTATATCCAGCTGAAGCAATATTTCCCGACGATAAACCAATATTGGATTCAATGCTTCGACATAGATTGTGTAAAATTAATGAAACTAAAACTGAAAATTAAATTATTTTGTATTTTTTGAAAATCTTAATTTCACTGTTTTAGATATTGAGCGATATTGAAATAATTGTTGATTTATATTAAAATGAAATTTGAAAATAAAAAAAAAAAATAAAATTATTTTTTCATAATTTGTTTTTTCCTTTTTGAAAAAGTATTAACAAATATTTTTTATTAAAATTCAAAAATTATTTTTTTAATATTTCTATATTTTCTATTTGACAATGAAAAAATTTCTTTAAATTAAAATTATAAAAAAAAAAAATAAGAAAAGAAATATTTTCAAAGGTCGCCGCAATTTGTTTTCATTGAAAATAATTTCGAAACCATGCCAACGATTTAGAATCAAATCAATATTCCTACAACTTCAGCTCGTGTCATTTCTTTGGTTTCACATAATAAGTGAACCAATTTGTTTTTTAAATTTTCTCTCAATTTGAATAGAATTTCGATTTTTCTTTTTTTTTTTTAACAAAATGAGCGAGAGAAAATATTTTGTTTGGAATGAAGTTACCGAAGGAATTTCACTTGCAGGGTACAGTTAATTTAATTTCTTAATTAAAAATAAAAATAATAACAAATTTTGTTAGTAGATAAAAAAATTTTTATTATAAAAAAGTAGAATTTTTTTCTTTAAAAAAAAAATATTTATATATTTTTTCCTTTTGAAAAAGTAGAACTTCAAAATTAGAAGAAGATCAAAAGAAAAATAGAGGGAAATTGAAATTATCGCAAAAGGAAATTGATATTTTTTGTCCACACTCATATTTAGTTTTTAATTTTCAAGAAGCTTTGAGCACAAATCAAGAGGTGAGAATTTTTTTTTTTCCCCTAAAAATAATCTAATTTTGTATCCAATAGAATTGAAATTTAAATAAATTCTAATTTAAATTATTAAAATAATAAATTATTATAAACAATAACAGATTTTTGCAGATAAAATTTCGTAAACATTTTATGAGAAAAAGCAAATCAAAGGAGAATGATATTATTTATTTACAAGATGTGAAAAATTTAGTACTTTATCTAACGACAAATCGAATTAGTGTACAGTTTATTAATTTTTTTCATTTACCAATAGCCGATTGTTTTTTACGTGCACTTATTATTTATTTTCAATATTATCTTGAGACTTGGGAGGAAATGATGACAACACGAAATGCAATTGAGAAGAAAATTGAAAATCCTTTAGCGCATGGCGAACAATTGAAACGTGCAAATGATTTAAATTGTTTACGTTTAATTTTAGCCAGTGAATATTCAAATTTATTAATTGGCTCCAATTATGGTGAATATTATCATCATATGATGATTGATAAAAAATCATTTATTCAATCGCAACATGAAAAGGATTTGAGAATTTTTGAAACTTTATTGGCAATTTCACATCAAGTTATTTGGATTGCATTGCAGAGAAAATTTTACAATTTAATTGGTAAAAAAAAAAATTCTTTACATTTGGAAATTGTTTTTTTCGGAAAAAAATAAATTAAATTAATATTTACTAATAATTAATTTTTTTTTTATTTTAAAAAGCAAAAACGGTATTGAAAAAAATAATAATTGTTCGTTTTTCAGAAATTGAATTACACAGATTGTTTAGAAATGATTCTTACAATATAGCGGAGAGAAAAAATCCAGAACTGATGAAAAATATCAAAGACAATGAACGTGTTGAGTTACATGGACCAAAAATGAGAAAAAGAAGAAAACTTTTGAGAAATTCATCATTGCCTTATCAATTATTGAATTCAGAATGTGATTTTCGACTTTTGGCTTTAGGTATTTGTTTTTTCTTTTTTATATAAAATCAGAATCATTGATTTTTATCAATATTTTAAAATAATTTTTTCTAAAAAAAAAGTAGAATACAAAAGTAAAATTTTTTAAATTCAGATTCATTGACATCAAAAGATCCACGTGTTATTTTTTTTCAAAATGCTCTACATCTCGAAGAAGATAAACTTGGAGAATTGGGAATAAAAGTGGGAATTTTGGGAATGCCACGTTCAAATTTCGATCATTTACTATTGCCAATTTCTGAGCCAATTAAAAATGAAGACGAAGATCTATCACAGGATCAATTCTTCCCCTGGAAAATTAATCTCGAGGTTTTAGTTGTATAAAAAAATACTTTATTTAAATTAATTATTAAATGATAATTAAAATAAAATTCAAATTAAATTAAAAGAAAATAAAAAATTAATGAAAATAAATTCAAATATATAAAATTGTTTGAAAATTAGTAATTATATTTATAGAAATCGTTTGAGGAAATTCCAAATGCTCGACCAGATTTTGAGTTAAATTTAAAATTGGAGAAAAAATCGAAATTCTATACGAGTAAAAAATATAATAAATCACGAAAAGAGGAGAGAAAAAAATGGATTGATCGTGCAATTATTCTTGCGACAAGAAAGCAAAAAGATATTATTTCAACGACAACAACAACATGGGAGCATAATTAAATTAGTAATGTAAAAATGAAAAACAATTATAAATAACTAAAATTTTAATTGTTTTAAATAAATGGAGAAAAGAAAATTTCTTTTGTGTCCAAAAATTTTTGTCCCCTCTTTTTCTCATTCAAGAAACTAAAAATATTAATTGCTTTTTATTCAAAAATTTAATTTTTTAAAAATAATTTTTCTAAAGAGTAATAAATTAAAAATTTTAACTAAAATCTCTAATGAATTTTCGTTATTTAATAATTATTTATTATTTCCATTAATTATTTTTTAATATTAATTAATAAATGTAATTATTAATAAATATTATAAATATAAATAATTAATACTACTAATAATAATAATAATTAATAGTACGAAATAATAAAAAAAGTAAGAATAAAATTAAAAAGTAAAATTCATGATTAAAAAAAGAATTGTGAAAATATGTAAATAAATAAAAACCCAAAGGATTTGACAATATATTGTTTTTAAAAAAATTAAGGTCTTGAATTCTTTAATTATATAATTCCGTAATGGAAATACGTTAAATGACATTTACAATTGAATACTAAGAACAATGTAAAAATATTGCTTATTGTTAACTTGTTACTATCTAATAAAAATAATAATTATATATATTATATATAAAATATAAATACGATGTGTAGCATATTACATTTTTGGAGCAGCAGTAAACAATTTTTCTACGTTGAGAAACAATTTTTATTTTTATTTTTTTTGTCTTCATTTTTCATATAATTTAAAAAAAAAAATGTTTAATACGATGTGAAATGTTTTTTTTTTAACAAATGGTACTCAGTACCAATTAATTATTTATCCTAAATATATTATATATTTATCAGCGAAACCTAGACGATTTTTTCCCCCTTTTATTTTCAAATTGAAAAATTTAGTTTTATTTTTTTTTATTAAACTTAAATAGAAAAACATAAATTTTTCTTTCTCTCTTCCTCTCAACTGTGGTAAAAAATGAAATAAAAAAAAAGAGATCAATTATATTATACAGTTTATTTAAAACTCAATTGTGAAATTAAATTTATTTTGCTAATACTTTATGACTTCATTTTTTGTTCATTGACAAAATTCTTTTTTTTATTTTTAAATAAATAAATAATATGGAAAAAATTATTATTTCTAATTGTATGATTTTTTTTAAACTATCTCGGTACAAGAAACAGTTTTTTTTTTAATTTACCTCCCAATTCGAAACGACGTTTTATAAAATATTAAATTGTTTGTACTTAGTTCTGTTACAAAAAAGAATGTATTTTTTTTCATCTAAAAATGAGACGCGAAAAATGATATCGAGGAAAATTCACTATGTTTCGAATTTCCAGTAGAACGAAATTTTTTTTTTTTTTTTGCAATTTAATAATTATTATTTAACTCATTTTAATGAATAATTCACTATAATATAATTATTAAGTTATACTAATTTAATAATTCACTAAATTAATTAACATTTACTAATTAAATAATTACTAATTTGATCATTTTCTTAATTCTCCTACTTAAAATTTTTTTTTTCTTTTTTTTTTTTTTGTCAAAAGATAATTAATTTTAATTGTTCTTTAAAATCGAATAATTAGATAAAAAGAATTTTTCAGTTGGAAAAATTCGAATTATTGACAAAAATTTTTTTTCTTACGCCAAATTATTTTTTAAATAAAGTTAATTTTTTTTAGTATTTTTTTTTAGTTGATGAAATTTCTTTTTGCCAGAATTTCGAGAATAGTAAATTTTCTATACGCGAGTTTCTAAAATTTATAATTTTTAACTCTAAAGTTGATTTTTATTTTTTGTTCCAATAATTTTATTTGAAAAATTTCCAATCAAGTTTCCTATACAATTTGATAAAGTAGAAATAAAAAAAAAATTAAAATAAATTCAACAAAATAATCATAAAGTTCACATAATAATAAAAATTTAATTTTCAAAGAAAAAAAAAATACTATTTAATACTGGTTTTTTTTTTTAATAAAATTTGATAAATACAAATTCAAAATCTGCTGAAAATTCGATTTTTGATATTATAATATATCGTACAATATTCGAGAAATCTATTGAAATGTAAATTTTTTCTTTTTATAAGTAAAAAATTTCATTTTACTTAAAAATTCGGTTTTTGCATAAATTTTCAACGAGTAAAAATTTGATCACAATGAATATGGAAATTCTAATGTTTTGTTTTTTTTTTTTCTTGCGCCTCTTTTAAAACATTATTTTGCGCAATTATAAATATATATATAGATAATTAATTGTATTTAATTATAATGCGCAAAAAGCTATTTTTTTTTATCAACATTTACACGGGTTTGCAACGTCTGCGAACTAAGTGCTCATTTTTTTATTTTTTTTTTTTATTTTTCTCCCTTTTTGAAGATACAAAAATTACCTATCATAATTATTATTATATAAATTTATCTATATATATGTATATATAAAAAAAAGAAACGTGAAGCTTCTTGACTTTTTTTTTTGTTGTCGACTGCAAGAATAATTGAAAATGAAAAATTAAAAATCTCGTGAAAATGTCTTGCTTCTACTATATATGCACAATTTAACAAATTTTTTTATTAAATTGAACGAAACTGGTGTTACTTGTATATAACATGTATAAATAATTCTTTTACATTTTTTTTTTTTTTTCGTGAGAGGATAATAATTTTGCAACGTTTTGTTTTCGTAATTTAAGGGAATTTTATCGAAATTCAATTTTCATATTTTTTTTTGTTTTTCTTTATTATTATCACGTAAAGCGAATATGAAAATTGTAAAAAAAATTTCGATTTTAACGAATTTTTTATAGAAAAGAAAATTTTGCAAATTATTTTTAAGTTTTAATAAATAAATAAATATTTAAAAAATATAAAACAAATTTTTATTACTATTCTTTTTAGTTGTTTTTTTATTTCTCTTATGAAAAATAATTATTTTGAAATTAGATTCGTTAAATCTTTTCACTTGATTTAAATTTGGTTTTCAGTTCACTTAGTGAAAATTTAAAATAAATAATTTAAATTAATATGAATATTCATGCATTTGCAAAAATTTCTTTTCCCAAAAATGATTCGTAACTTTTTATTTTCGGAATGTTCTCATTTATACGAATAAACGTAGCAAAATAAGTTATTTTTTTGTAAATCGCAGCTCATAAACTCTTAATTGGAGTTAAAGCACTGAAAACTAATTTTCATTTATGAAATTCGACTATTGTTTCGAAAAAACAAAAAATTCGTATCTAATGTACACGCACTTTGACTGTCTGGTATTTTAATATTTTTTTTTATGTACAAAGGTCGATTAATCGACTTTAGAGAAATACTTAAGCCTCTTTTTTTTAAGTGACAAGTTTTTCACAATAAAGTTCATAAATCCCTGTGGATTATTTGAAAATTGAATAATCACTCGGATTTTTCAATTAAAAGTTCATTTAAAATCGTACTCACATTATTTTCACCCCCTTCAATTTTTTTAAACTGTTTTTTTTTTTATTTTTTTTTAATTAACTATCACTCATAATTTGAACGAAACGCTCAACTGGTTTTTATCACAACAAAACGAAGTCTCACTATTCAATTTTTTTTTCTTTTTAATAATTTCGAGAATCTCGAAAATAATGCATTGCTCTCTAATATTATTTGACTAATAGAAAAAAAAATTGTTTTTTTTTCCAAGTGACACTACCACTTTTTCTTTCTTTTTTTTTTTTTGTTACCAGCACAGACATTGACGATAAAAAAAAAATATATTGTTCGCTACGAGATATGCGAGAAAGTGTTTGATGATTATTTTTTAAGTTTTCTTTTTTTGTTCAACACAAAAATTTAATGAGGGGGCTACGAAGCAATATCTGACATCAATTGGGCAAGTAAAGCTGGTTCCAATAATCCATGCGATTGTCCCAATCGCTCTAGAGTTCGTACATCTTTGTCAACAGCTTCCAATGCACGTTCCAATTCTTCTTCTTCTTCGCGCGATGGCTCGTATTCACCGTTTCTACTTTCTGTGAAAAAAAACGGATAAATCAATAAAATTTTGTACAAAAAAAAATTACTGATAAATAAATACATAACTAAAGGTTAACAAATTACTGTTGATTTAAATTTAAAATCGATTTCAAAGACAGAAAAATGAAATAAATAAATTTTTTTCATTCTAAAATTTTGTCACCACTTTTTTTTGTTTTATCATAATTCTCATTAATATCAAGCAATTAAGATAAATTTGGTAAATTTCGAATTTATTCGAATTATTATTTAACAAAATTTCTTGCATAATTGTTATTTAAACAAATTTTTATTTTACAAATTTTTTAATTCATCGAATTTCAATTTATCAGAATTATTATTTGCTCGAATTTTCATTTGTACAGAATAGTAAATGAAAATTAATTTAAAATGATTTTTATTTTAGAGAAAAAAAAAATATTTCAAAAGAATTCTTTTTTTAGTATCAAAATATTCATTTGTTCGAATTTTTATAACTTCGAATTTTAATTTTATAGTTATTTAATTTTTAAAAAGTTCTAGTTATTCAAACCTCCTACGGTATAATATTACGGAATTATTATTATTATTATTATTATTATTATTATTAATTAATTAATAGTATTTTTAATATTATTAATTCGATAATTTGTTATTAATTATAATAAACTTGATAATCAAATATTTTTTACATACAAATATAAGAAAAAAAGAGTGAAATTAAATAAAAGGAAAAAATTTTTTTTTCTAAAGTTCATTTCTAAATTATTTTTTTTTTTGTAATAAATATTTAAATGGTAAATTTAATAATAAAAATATCAAAGAAATATTTATATTTTTATCAAAGAAAATAATAATTTTTGAAATAAAAACAAAATTTGTACAACAATTCTAAAATTATTGATTTCTAAAAAGTGAATAATTTTGTAATATTTTATCCTATAAAGTTTGAATTACTAGAACTTTATTTATTTATTTTTATTTTTTTTTGAAAATATTAGAACTGATATAAATTTTTAAATAAAATTAATTTTTATTTACTTATTATTCGAAAAGCAATTTAAAAAAATTTTTTTTGCAACTTTAATAATTTTGTAATAATAATAAAATTGCTTAATTAAATCAAATGATATATTTTTAAATATTTATCTAACTAATTAAAAATAGTTTTCACATAATATAAAGATTTTTAAACAAACAAAACAGAAAATTGCCATTAAAATAATTATTTACTGATTGGAATAAATCATCGATGAATATTTTAAGGAAACTAATTATTATTTTAATAATAAATTTTTTGTCAATTTTGGAACAGGAAAAATTATATATTTTTTTTTAACTTTTCGTAATTATTGGAAGTTGATAAAAATTTATTTAAAATTAATTATTTATTGATTGAAACAAAAAAATCGATGAATATTGAAATAAATAAATATTTTAAAAAATTTTGTCAATTTTCATATTTTTTTCTGTTCCAAAATTGCCAAAATTTATTAAAATAATTATTTATTGATTGAAACAAAAAAATCGATGAATATTGAAATAAATAAATATATTTTAATAAATTTTGGCAATTTTGGAACAGAAAAATTATGAAAATTGACAAAATTTATTAAAATTGATTGGAAGGAAACATCGATGAATATTGAAATAATTAAATATACTCACCAATAAATAAATCATTGAAAGCATCAGCTGGCAAATTATTGAGTACATTGCCAAAATCATGTTCGGCCGCATCTAATGATGCAAAAACTTCATGATCGCCAAGTTCAACTTTAAGTCCACCACCAAGACCCAATCCACCCAATCCTAAACCAAGATTTAAATTTGTATTCGATGTGCCTTGTGGTGCATTTAAATTATTTAATGTTTTTGTATGACTCTCAGGTGATATATGACTAACAAAACGATGTTGCTGCTGCTGCTGTTGTTGTTGCTGCTGATGATTATGATGTTGATTATCATCATCCGTTAATTCAATAGTTTGTTCCGATATTACCATATCCACAGTTTTTGTTTCTTGTTCTTTACAATTCGATAATTGCAATTGTGGTGGTGGTGGTGGCGGAAGAGGAGGCGGCGGCGCCAAAGTTGTCGCCGTTGGTCGTTTTCTTTTTTTAGGTCTCGATTTTGCCTTTGGCCTTGGCATTGTCGTTTGATTAACATTAATCGATGACGATGATACTGATAATGATGATGTTAATGACATTGATGAGGGTTTTTTTCTCGATTTCTTTGGTTTCGATTCCTGTGCTTTACGATGATAATTATCACGTTTACGCGCATGCTCAGGACATAATGGCAATTCATGAGCAACATCAAAAACAGGAATTGAACATTGTGTATTGTCACTAAATTTGGCAGTGCAATGCTCAAATAATTGTTGATCGCAATTCATCATAATGTGTCGTGAACAATGTCTTGTGCATGGTAGTGAAATTTGACGACAACCATTCATTAGACATGGACCACCAACAAGTAATGGACCATCGATAATTTTTCTTGTCTCTTTAATAATGCTTCTATTGTCAGCTGTGTCTTTATTTCCATTAATTTTACGCGCCGCCAACGATGGATCACGATATGCTGCCTTCACCAATAAACGTGTTCGACAACGTAAATTTGTCTCCGATTCAATTCCACTTTTATGCAATTGAATAAGCCGACGACGTAATTGTGAACGTAATTGTATTAGACGCGATGATCGTGTTGTTGGCTCTGTTGATTCACCATTAAACCAATGACGTTGATAAATTGATGCCTCCTCACCACTTGAATCACTGTCGGATATTTCATCGCCTGCACGTGGATAATAGAGAAGTGTATGATCACGACTCGGTCGTTTTGGAATTGAATTTATATTGTTGCGTAATAAATTTTCTTGCTTTCTTTTACGTTGTATTGCAGTTTCATTGAAACGAAAATTTAAATTTTTATTTGCAAATTCTTGATAATTTGTTGATATTTCTTGTTTTATTTTTATTATCCTCTGATTATTGCATTTTGATTTTGATTTTGATGGACGATTATTTGGTAATTGTTGCTGTTGATGTTGTGGTGGTTTTGAATTTTTGGATGCGAGCAATTTGAAGTTCTTGGCTGCTACTGCTGCTGCCGCTGATGTTGCACCGGATGATGATGTAAATGGTTCCGGTTCACTAAAGACGTAGGGATCAACGTCTTGACGTGATTCTGTATTGAGCAACGCTTTTAAGCGGTCAGCGAACTTCAATTTACTGTCCATGTTCCACGGATCTTCCGATTCTGGGATCCTCATCGATTTTTAATTGTTAATTCACTTTTTTGGTGTCACCTGCAATTTTAAAAATGTGTAAAAAAAAAGAAAATTAGGCGATTTTTTTTTACGTTCCTCTCCAATGACTTGGCATTGAATAGGAAAATTTGGAACAGATTTTTTTTTTTTAAAAACAAAAATAATAGAAAATTTATTTTTTATTACAATAAATATGAATTAAATTTATTATTCCTTCAAATGTAGATTTTTCTGATTTTTAAAAATATTTTTTCCATATTAATTCTTTCTATAAATTGAAATTTATATTTATTTTGTAGCAAAAAATATGTTTTTTAAATTCAATTATTTTCAAAAGTAATTATTTCAAAAAAAATTAAATTAGAAATTATTATTTTAAGAAAAAAAAAAATTAAAATTGTCATTTAAATAATTTTTCTAAATAAATAAATAAAAAAAAAAAAATACAAAATTTTTAAAATAAAACAAAATAATTGGAATTTTAATCAGAAAATTTTAACGACTAAATTAATAATTAAAAAAAAATTTCGAAACTAACAACTTAATTGGTATTAATAAAAAATTATAAAAATTTCAATTTTTAAAAAAATTCACTTCTTTTAAATTTATACCTTTAAAAAAATTCAATAATTTGATAAATTATTTTAAAATATTGTTTATATTTGCAAAAATAGCAAAAAATAAATTTTTTAAAAATTATTTATTATTATTATTATTATTATTATTATTATTATTGTAGAAATTTTGAAATTAAAAATAATCGAAAAAGAATAAAACCGAAATGTAAAACAAATAAAATAGAAAAAAAATTTCGTCAATATTTTGCAAGAAAAAAAATACCAAGTGGAAATTTAAGGTTATGTTTCCATTTTTTCGATGAATTTTTCTCAATTATATATACGCAAAAATGAAATAGAAAAAAAAATATTATCTATTCAATAATTAAATTTTACAATTATAAATTATCGCTCAAAATTTGTATTATTGATTAATTTTCTATTTAGAATTATTAACTTGCAATTGTTTTTTTTTAACTTTTATTTCTAACCAAATAATAGACAAAGATAACAAAAAGAAAAAAAAATTAAACCAATATTTAAAAATGATAAACATCTTTTGTTATATTCGAAATATTTAATCGAAAAAAAAAATTTTTACCAACAAATACAACAGTGAGCAATAATATAAACATCAATGTTATTAAACAGATAAATATATATATATACATATATATGTAAAATTCTTACCTCACACATTAAAATATTTTTGCCATGAATCCATATTATTATAATTTAATTATAAATTTCCAAATGGAAATCAATGTTTAATACACTTGATGTCAGGAATTTTTGACAAAGATCCATTGTTTCCTCTTTTTTTTTTTTCAAAACAAATGCAAAAGAAAGTTTCACAAAATTAGCAAATTATTTTTTTTTCTAGGTTATGTTCGTATCCTCCAATAGATTGACAACTATTGGTTTGTGTGCATGTGTATATATATATATATATTTTTGTGAAACAATGGAAATATTTACAATATATTCACGTTTAATTTTCACACATTAATTTGTGTATAATTATTACGGAAATACTGTAAAAATAGATTCATTTCTTTTTTCATCCACGTTTCGTAATATACATTTATATATACATATATTATATATACTTTCTCGCGAAAAATTGCACACACGCACACACACTTTTTTTCCCCCCAATGAAAATTTTTTTTTTCCCCACAGAGGTTGGGAACGTCGCTAACACACTTATATATTATATATATACATGTATATGTATACTTGTATATATATATATATATATATCCAAAACTGTGCGCAGGGAAAAATAACTTTACTAAGTATAAATAATTTAAACTCACTTGCAATATAATTGATTTGTTAGATATTGAATTCAAATCGCGGAATTTAAGGAAATATATTCGAAAGAAACGTCAATGACGAGAAAACCAATGACAAACAAATATCATTACAAGTTTGTCGAAGTCGATAATAACATTAGACTTATATTAGTGTGAGCATAGTGAGGTACGTATATTTATTTCTGTAAGATTACGTTGTATTGCGTAAATCGTGTAAATATATGTAAAATAGTGGGTAAAATTGTGCAAAATGGCGGGAGACGAGGTCGAATCATTCTATACTGGAAAACGGTTGACGACACAGCACAACGGTTTGAAAATCGTGCGAATATATTTTTCCGCCTTTCTCTTTTACATTTTTCTGGTTTGGAGATATAAAACAAAAGGTGGGAAGTAAATTGATTCTAAATTCTAAGTTAAAAGTTATTTTCGATGATTACGGTAAAATAGAAATTGTTTCTTATGCTCGCGCCATATATATGTACCCTAACCTAAAAAAATTTTGTGGTAAATATATGTTTTTCCTATTTTGTAATTTCAATTATATATTTTTTATTCATAATTTTTTCTCTTGCCTTGAATATAAAACATGAATTTTTTGTTTTTATATTCGTAAACAACAATTATTGTGATTTATGTATAAATATGTTTTATTTTTCAATTTTGCATTTATATGGTTTTTTTTACGTATTTAAGGAAGTTTAACACTCGTTGAATTGTTTTCAATTTTTTAATTAAAACATTTGAAAAACAATTATTATTTTATCTAATTTTTTCTGAAATTGAGGTTATGTTTTTAAAAAATATATAATAAAATCGCTGAAAAATAATGGGAAAATATATTTTATTGATAAAATACAAAGAAACTTTATAGAAAAATTATAACTTATAATATATTTAAAAGATTATTATAATTTATATATATATAATAAATGCAGAAATTATAATACAATAGTTGTCAAAAATTTTCAATACTGAAAGATAAATTTTTTTAATGAATTTATTTTTTTAAAAAATTATCTTGTGAAAATAATTCGTTATTTTTTTTTTAGCGAATTATTTTTCAATTAGAATTTTGTGTTGAGTTTTTTTGTGTTTATTTAAATCGCCCGTTCTTCGAAATGAAATACCACAAATATCACATTGATATGGCTTCTCACCTGTATGAATAAGTGTATGAACTTTTCTTGCATTCGTCTTTTTAAATGCTTGATCGCAATAATCACATTTGTAAGGACGAATATCAGAATGATGTATCATATGCTCACGTAGTCGTGCAGAATTTTTAAAACTTTTTTCACACATTTTACATTTAAATAAACGTTCTAAACTGTGAATTTTTTCATGATTATCTCTATCGGCTTTGAAACTGAATTTTTTCTTACAATATTCACAAGCAAATGGTTTCTCGCCAGTATGACTTCTCATGTGATTATTTAGATGAGCTTTCTGAAATTAATTATTATTGATTAGAACAAAAAAAAAAAAAAAACTATTTTTTTACATAATTAAAAATTTTATGAAATTTATATTGTTTAAAATAGAAAAAAAAAACTCAGCAAATAAAATTACCAAAAATTTTAATTTAAAATCAGTTGAAATTCAATTATTTTCAAAAAAATTAAAAAATATTCTAAAATTTAATAATTTCGAATAAAATTCTTTTTAAATTCAATTATTTTTATTGATTTTTAAAATATTTTGTGACAATAATTATATGAAAAGTTTATTCAATTAAAAATTTTTGAAATTCAATTTTGTTCTGTAATTCCTAATAAATTATTTTTTATTACGAAAAATTTCAATTAAAAATCACTTGAAATTCAATTATTTTCAAAAATCTGTATTGTAAATTCTTCGCAAATTCAATTATTTTTTTAAAAAATTGTTTGATAAAATTATTATGATAATTATTTGATAAATTATTGATACTAAAATTATTTGATAATTTATTTTCAATTCTGTAAAAGTTTAATTATTATCTGAAATTAAAAAAAAAATATTTTGAAATTCAATTATTTCTATAAAAATTTCAACTGTAACTATTTCGAAATTTGAATTATTTTCAATGATTTTTTATAATATTCTTCAAAAAATTCAATTATCTGAAAATATTTTTCAAATTAAAAAATGTTTAAAGTTGAATTTTTTTTTCTGCAATTTTCAATAAATTATTTAGCAACAGAAATCGTAAAAAATTTCACAAAAAAATTACTGAATTTCAATTATTTTCAAAATTTTTTAATTTTAAATCTACGAAAAAATCAATTATTTAAAAAAAAAAATGTTATCTAAAATTATTATATAAATTATTTTCAATTCTGTAAAATTCAATTATTCTCTGAAATTTAAGAAAATCTTTTTAAATTCAATTATTTCTAAAAATTTCAACTTTAACTGTTCCAAAAATAAATTATTTTTAATTATTTTTATATTATTTTTGAAAAATTCAATTATTTAAAAAAAAGTTTCAAATAAAAACTCGTAAACTAAATTTTTATCAAAAATTAAAAAAAAAAAAAAAACTACAGCAGTTTAAATTCACAGAAAATTTATTTCAAAATTAAAATCCTCTGAATTTCAATTATTTAATTATTAATTATATTTAATTATTTAATTTAAAAAATTTAATATTTATTAATATAATTAATATAATATTTAATATTTATTAAATTTAATATTTATTATTTATTAACTAATAAAATTTAGTTGAAATAAAAAAATTGACTTTTTCGACTTTTTTTTTGTATGTAAATCGACATTTTTGCCCCTTAAAGTCGATCCGAGGCCGTTAAATTTTTTTGCCTTTTAGTAAAATCAAATTAATTAATTAATAATTAATTTAAAAAATGTGTAGCAATCAAGCCTTATAAAAATATTCGTAACACAATATTTTTACAAAAAAAATGTCCCGCAAAAAATATATATTATTTTGAACAGGAATCGCGAATCAAAATTAGATTCACTATAGTCATTTCCTTATAAAATCGAAATAAAAAATTTGTATTAATAATTTGATTTTCAAATAATGATAAACAAAAATCCGATTTCCTTCCCTAATGAATTCATCGAAACTGATATATTTTTCTAAATATAATCTAAAATTTTTGTTAAATAAATTTTTCAAAATTTACTTGCTGAAATGCCTTTCCACAGTGAGAGCAAGTGAATAAATTTCTATTCTTCCTTTCATTTCCCATGTGAATAATTGTTTTATGTATCTCAAAACCACATTTATTACCAAATGAAATCTTACATTTTTCACAATTAAATTGTTCATCAATTTCTCGTCTTCTTTTGTGTTTCGTGAATTCTTGTTTACTCACGAAAAGAATGTCACACGATGGACAAATCAGTGTACTACCATTATTAATACATGTCTTTCGATGTACATTCATATTGGTAAAATTGCTAAATGTCTTTTCACAATTTTCACAAAAAAATAATTTTGTCACTTTATTTTCTTTATCTTCAATTGTTTTCTGATTTGTTTTGCTAATGTGGGCTTTTTTATGAGCTATTATCTGATTGTAAGTTGCAAAAGTCACTTGACAAATTGTACATACATAGGGACATGATCCAGAATGAATTGTGGAATGATTTTTTACCGATTCAATTGATGTGTAACATTGTTGACAAAATTCACATCTGAAAGATGAAAATTTTAGAAAGAATGAAAGATATAATTTTGAAGAGGCGTGCATAAATTTTTCTTCAAATGGCCTAACACTTAATTGATTTTAATTCAATTGGCCTAAAAGTCGAATGGACTAATTATTACTTGGCCTAATCTGTATATGACCTATAATCTTCATTCAATCTAATTTTGATTTGTACTAATCGTCATTTGTCCTAATTCTCATTTTGATCTAATTTTCACTTGGCCTAAACTTCATTTGTTACCCATTCATGAACGTGAATTATACAAATAAAATTTAGGCCAGGTAAGAATTAGGTAAGATAAATATTAGAACAAATAATAATTAGGGTGTAGAATGATTAGGCCAAATGAGAATTAGGTTTTATAAAGATTAGATCAAATGAAAATTAGTTTAAGCGGCGTTTAGTCCAAATGATTATTAGGACCGGTTGAAAATTATTTCAAATGATAATTATGGTAAATTGTGTTTAAGTAATAATTAGATCAGATAAAAATGAGGCTAAAAAAGTATTAGGTTAGAGAAAATTTAGGCCAAGTGAGATTTAAGACAAATAAATATTATGATAAATATAAGAATTAGGTTACATTAAGATTAGGCCAAATGGAATTAGGACAAATGACGATTAGTACAAATGAAAATTAGATTGAACGAAGATTATAGGCCTAATAAAAATTAGGTCATATACAGATTAGGCCAAGTAATAATTAGTCCATTCGACTTTTAGGCCAATTGAATTTAGATCAATTAAACCTTAGGCCATTTGAAATTTGGCCTCATTTTGATTTTTTCAAACCTGTAGACGGTGTCAAGTTGTTTGTGTTCGATAAATGGAAATTCTTCATTACAATTTTGAATATGAAATTCGGAATCATCAAATAATATTTGCTTGCAACCATTGCAGATTTGGCATAAAATTTTTGATTTTTCAGCTATTTGATGTATTAGCAAATGTTTATTGAGACTGTTAATACGATCAAAAGCCTTATCACATTTATTACACTGAAATGGTTTTGTTGGTAGATGAAGTTTTTCATGACGTCGTAAATTGTCCATTGAATTAAATTGTTTGAGGCAAATTTTACACTCATAGGGTCTTTCGTTGTTGTGTTTACGTTGATGCGTTGCCAATTGGCTCTGAGATCTGTGGAATATTTTAAAAAAAAAAGTTCCATAAACGTTTCGAAAATATTTCCGAACCTTTTTTCTGAAATAATTTTAAAATTAAACTCATCAGAAATATTTCCACTAACCTAAATTGAATTCCACAAATATCACAACAAAATTCTCTTGTTTGTTGATGTACCATTATTGAATGTTGATAGAGCACCGATTCTGATGAAAGAAATTTATCACATTTATCACAATAGCAAGCTTTAGCGTTTAATTCATGAAATTTTTGATGAAAATTCAAACGATTTATGGTGATGAATTTTTTTTTACAAATTTTACATTCATATTTAGCTGGCATTCTTTCACTAATTCTTCCATTATGTTGTTCAGTGTAATGTTTTTTCCATTCGTCTAAAGTTGTAGAATTAATATCACAAAGTGAACAGGGAAAATAATTTGACGATGTATGCATGGTGGAATGAAGAAAACATTTTCTTTGTGTTGAAAATTTTCTTTCACAAATTCGACAACTAATGTCATTTATTTGTGTTTTGTCTTTTGTTGATGGATGATTTTCTTCTTCAGAATTATTTTCATTTTCCTCATTGATCGATGTTTCAGAACAATCTGTTGATTTTTTAAAATTAGCCTCAGCTTCTGATACAGTTTTGTAGAAATTGTTAATAAATTCCAGTTTTTCGAGGCAAAGATGACAAATTGTTTTTGAAAATTTATCAGTTTCTGTGACCTGAAATTTTTTTTTTCTTGTAGAAATAAATTGAAAAATAATTATTATAAAATACTTACAGTAATTGGTAGACAGTTGTTAATTTTTTCAGCAATATTTTGTTGATTTGGTGAATATTGAAAAATGTAAATCATATTCTCGTTTTTTTGGGCACAAAGTCGACATAATAAAATTTCATTATCATTTATATTTTTGTCAAGTATTTTTTTATTAAGTAAATTCATTGTTTGTGGCAATTCAAATTCTCCAATAACTTCCATTTCGTTGAAATTAACATTATTTTCATTGGATAGTGATTGTATTTCTTTTGAAATTAAAGAATCTTGAATACTTTCATATATCACAAAATCATCCAATAATTGATCATTGACAATAATTTCATCATATTTTCCATCGAGGCAAGTTTCGAAAATTGTTTCTTTACTGGCTAAAATGTTCAAAAAAAAAAATTTCTAATTTTTTATCTTAAAATTAAATTAATTAATTAATTAATAATTAGTAATAATTTGAGGTAGTTTTTTTTTGAAATTATTAGTAGATTTAAATTATTATTTTTATTATTTAATTTGCGATTAAATATACACACTCGCCTAATTCTGATGAAAAGGAAATTGTTTCGTAATCATTTGTTTTTTCTTGTAGGTCAGTAAATTGCAATATTTCATTTTCGAAATCAGCATTGCTGAAATTTTCATTACTCTTCGTAACGTATTGATCATCATCAAAGTCATTTCCTAAAATATTCATATCTGAAATAAATTATAAATTATAAAAATTATTTACATTTGAAAAACTATAATTTATAATATTAAAAATTTTAAATCAAACATTAGTTACCTGATTTGTTTAATGATAAATATGTTGACGATTGAAATTTGATTTTCAAATGTTTCAAACATTTTTTCGTTGTTTTTTTTACCCGAAAAATTTGAAATTTAAAAACAAAATACAAATTCGTGTCTAACATATGTTACATACAAGAGATTCCTAATTTATCGACATTGTTCAAACTTTGAATTTATTCATAACTTCTAATAGATGTCGACAGCTGTATATCAGTGAATATATATATTTTTTTTAAATATTTAAAAATTATTATTATTATTAATTCTAAAAAAAGCAATTTCTAAATTTAGTATTTTTTTATATAGAAAAGTTTTTTAGATTTAGTATTTTTTTATAAAGAAAAGTTTTTTAGATTTTAATAAAACGTTAAAAACAAAAATTGAAAAAAATTAAATGTATAGTAAAAAGTAAATAATAAATTAAAAAAAAGGGAATAATAATAATAAATGGGAAAAATAATAAAGGATAAAGAATAATACAGTAAATTCTGTCGAAAAATATTTATTGTTTTTTTTTTATTTTCACAAAAAGCAAGATCAGAAGTCAAAAAATGATTTTTTTTTTTTTGGTACATTTTCTTTTAAATACAAAATTTTGTAATATAATTTTTTTTTTTTAATTTTTCATTATTGTCTCACACTTTTTTTTCACTCTCAAACGCACACAATATTAATATACTTATCTATTATATAAATTATGTAATTACATATAATTATTAAATAATTAGTTGGTAAATAAATAATATATAGGATCAAAATACAAAAATGTTCTCATTTAAAAATTTGAAAATAAATTAAAATTTTTAGAAAAAAATTAATTAATAGAACATGTTTGTATTTTTATGGGTTTTTTTTTATATTAATTATGAATAAATATATGTCACACATCATCATTATTATAATTGTAAATAATTATAATTATAATAAAAAAAAACATCGTCACACAAGAATATGATTTAAAGCAATTTTTTTTTTGTTTTTCTTCATTTAGAGAAAATTTTTTTTTCACACCAAATATATTTGAATTTTAAATAAATAAAAGTTTCTCATGGCTAGATAACTATTTATTTGTTTCAAATAAAAATTTTATTTGAACTAAAAAAATATATTTAGCTTTGAGAATAATGTTTATATTTTTTTTTTTTTTGAAAACTTTATCAAAATGTTGAAAATATAAAAATTATAATTAATTATATAATTAAAAATAATTTTAAAAAAGATTACAATTTTTTATAATTATTAATTTTTTTTTGAAGTTTTTACAATATTATAATTGATTGATAATTAATGATTATATAATTAAACACTATAGTGGATGTTATGTCGTTTTAAAATTAAATAATTAAATATTATAATATATTTTGCTGTAAATATGGAATACAATTTATATTGATAATTTTTTTTTATAATTTCTTTTAATAGAAATTATATTAGAATAAATATAATATATTATTTTTTATATATATTAATTATACAGTAATACCCGTAAACTGAGATCCGTTACCTTACTAAGTTTATATCGAAGAATAGAACTATATTTAATTACGTATATATTTTATATATTATATATATTATTATAATAAATATTTATTATATTATATTATTATTTAATTCGATAAAACTTTTCAGGTCTTTGTTCACGGGTTTTCTTTTGACTAGATTCCACTCATCTCTGTTTTTTTAATAAATAATATTTTAGGAATAATATATATATAATTTTATTTATATATTGTTATATTAAGTTATACTATTTTTTATATAAAATATTTTTCTCTTGTTAATATTACGATTAATACTGATTTTCTCTATTATATATATATAATCTTTTCTTTCATTTTTTAAAATTAATTTTATGGATTTTTAAATTTTTGGTTTTTTTTTGGTGAATTTACAAGTTTACGAATTTAGCTGTATTTGTTTCAAAATCGTTTATTATTTTTTCATAAAATTAAAGTGAAAAAAAAATTTTGTTTCTAAGGAATTTTTTAATTTTGTTAAATTAAATTTTATGGAAAAATTATTTTATCGAAGAGAAGACACAGCCTCTTGAAAATTTTTCTTATTTTTAAATACCTATATATATTTTATATTTATTAAGAAAGACGGTTGGCCTGATTTAGTTAAAAACTATTAATCACTATACAGTCAATAATAAATTTATGGAAAAAAAGCAATTTTTTTTTTGTTAATTTTATACAGCCAATATTGATTATTATTTAGAAAATTATTAGTATTTTTTTAGATTCCTATTCTATAAAGAAAACCCAAAAATCTTGTATACAAAAAGAAAAAAAAATAGTTGAAATTTTTTTTTTAGAAAAATGAAAAATTGTTTATTATTTTTGAAATTTTATAAAACAAAATTATTTTTTTTCTTTCTGTTCGTTTTAAGGGTTTTTGAGATCAATTAAATTTTTTTTTATTAATAATTATGAGTATATACCTTTTCTTTTTGTTATAAGTCTAATTTAAATAAATAAATACTGACGCATTTGTCCCGATTTTGGTCACTTTATGTGTGTATAATTATGGTAGTGTTATAAATATTATTTTTAAAAGTATAAATATTAGATGAAACTAAACCTAAAAATAATTCTAATAATAATTATTATTGTAATTTTATATAAAAGACTAGAATCAAAAGTGGTGAAAGATCGACAATTTATTTTACATATACGATATTTTCTAAGATTATAATATATAGGATTAAATATATGTATTAAAAATACTAGTCCTAAAATACTCAGAAAAAGATTTAATTAAGTCAATTTTAATTTTTTTGGTTTTTATTTGGTTTTTTTGGTTCGATAGTTAATCAAACACTATAAATCAAATTGTTTATATTAGATGATTTTTGGTTTTCAATTTTTTTTTGGTTTTTAACTTTTATTTGGTTTAAATTTTTATTTGGTTTTTATTTGGTTCTTTTTTGTTTCATTTGGTCAGAATGTACTCAATATTTACTTAATTTTTATTTTATTAAGGTTTGGTTTTTATTTGATTTATTTGGTAAAATTTTATTGTTATTTGGTATATTTATTTGGTAGATGTTTGGTTTTTATTTGGTTTTATTGTTTCTAAATAGCTATTTGGTTTCGAATTTTTATTTAACATTATATTTAATTTTTATTTGGTTTCCAATTTTATTTCTATTTGGTTTTTATTTTGGTTTTTATTTGGTTTTTATTTGGTTTTTATTTGGTTTTTATTTGGTTTCTATTTATTTTTTTTATTGTTATTTAGTTTCATTTGTTAGTAGGAAAAATTTATTTTTGTTTTCTATTTTCATTTGGTTTCCATTTTGGTTTCTATTTGGATTCTCATTTTTATTTATTCAAAAATTAAATGTTAAATTAAATATTATTAAACCTAAAAATTTAATTTGACTCAAAAAAAAATTTTATCCTGAGTTTTTAATTTTTTTTAGGACCCTTATAATTAATTAAATTATACAATACTTATTTGGTGTAATTATAAAATATGGCAGCATATCCACGGGCAGTGTTTGCTAGTATTTTTTTCATCTAAGAGTTATTTTCATAGTTTTATCAACAAAAAAAAAAATTCTCTTGAGATAAAAAATTTTTTTTTTTAAATTAATATTATACAGAAAAAAAATTGCATATGAAAGTGGCCTGCATATCTTTTTTTATAAAGAAAATTTTTTGCACAATTCCGGATAAAATTAGTATCGACTATTTTTTAGTGACTAGAAAATAAAGGTGAAAGTATAATCTAGGATATATTTTTATTATATATGTATATATATATATTTTTTCTTTCTTTGACTAGAATATTGAGATCATTTTATATAATTTTTTGTTTGTTTTTTCTCACTATAAATATATATATATATTTTTTAAATCTTTGGATTAGGGTTTCTCTTTGGTTTTTTTTTAGTTATTATATTTTTTTTATTTAATTAATATATTAATTAATAAAATTAATTAATTACACGTTAATTAATTAATTTTATTAATATGTATTATTTAATATAAAATTTTTTTGTGACTAGATTTTTGATTAATTTTATGATTTGTTTATATTTGTAATTTAGTGACTAGATTGGTTTTTTTTTTAAATTAATGACTAGATTTTTTTGTCATTTATCTGACTAGATTTATTTATTATTCAATGACTAGAATTTTTTTTATTTTTGTTTTTTATGACTAGATTAGACTTAAAAAAAATTCGCGTTGACTAGATTTAATTTTCTGAAGTTCTGACTAGATTCTTCTGCAAATTTTATGACTAGATTTTTCAAAAAAAAAAAAAAAAATTTGTGACTAGATTTTTTCCGAAAAGTGACTAAATTTTAAGTAGTTTTTTTTTTTTTTTTTTCATATTTTCTTTTTTTGGAAATGACAGACTAGATTTTTTTGATTAATATTTGTTGACTAGATTCTTTTTAATATTAAATTGTGACTAGATTTTTTTTTCAATATTTATGTTGACTAGATTTGTTTTCCTCATACTTTATAAATATTTTACTAGAATAATTTTTGGTTTATACTGTATGTGAACTAGATTTTTATTTTGTTGACTAGTTTCTTTCTTTTTTGGTATTTTTTGTATGAATTAAATTTTTTTAATATTAATTATTAATGAAACTGTAAATTATTGACTAGAGTAATTTATAATTCATTTTTTTTGCATAAATTTCAATTGACTAGATTTTTTTTTTAATTTTTGACTATAATTAAGTTATGGACTGGCTATTTTTTGTAAACTAGATTTTAAATAGATTTTTCCTGATTTTAGAAATAAATTTTTTTCCTGAATAATTCATCAAGTTTTATATTGTATAATTTAATTTCAATTTATGGTTTATAATTAATATTGTTAATAAATTTTAACCAATTTTTTAAATTTAATCTAAAACACATAAAAGTGTGGAATGACTCAGTATGGAATGTTACATAATTAGACTTAAAATTATTACTGTTTTCCTAAAAACTATCAGTCTATTATTTTGACTTTTTATATAATTTTGATTATTTTTCGATTTTTTTTTCTAATTTCCATATTTACTTAAATTTGATTTTTAAAAAATATTTTTAAAATTAAGTTCATTTAAATTAATTATATTGATAATCTTAATTATATATACTTAAATATATATATATGTAAAGCAAA